CTAAGCTCCTTCGAGTTCCTCTTCCTCCCACTCCATCACACAGACCTGTGGAGACTGGTCCTACCACTCAGCCTTTAGGGACCTTTGGGCGTCTCCCTTCAGATACAAAGCTGTTGGGCAGTTAGGTCTCGTTTGTACTAAACATATCTAATGTGACAACCATGTTTGTGACCCATCTTTTGCTCATGTGCCCATGTTACGTATGCCCTCTTCTGTCTACTACTTCCTTTGGTGTTCTTCCCATCTTCCAAAATATAGACCTGGTGAGCCAGAGATATGGAGGTGATGGGAACGACCCCTCCTAGGAATTCCAATGGTGTGAACCATGATGGCTCAAAGTACCTGACTGTAAGGATAGAAGGGAGGCACCGCTGGCAGCACGGTGGCAATGCCCAGGGCTTCCACTGGCCTTCAGAGTTAAGTCTATATCAAAACTCTTTACAGGGACAAAGGAAAAGATGTCACTCTGCATCTGACATTTGAATTCAGACATGCCATTTTAGTTGGAACCAGCACTGAAGTGGTAGAGATTTGGCGCACTTCACCACGCAGACTTGGTCTGATTCACAGCAGAAGCATAAGCAGATACAGTCGCTCCCACAGAACAAAGCACTGAACAGACACGCACCAGATGTTGACAGGGGTTATCGCTGGGATTACCAGGAAATCTCATTTTCTTCTCGGTGTTTTTATTTTCCCCAAATTTCTACAATGAGAACAAATTCCCTTTATAATCCACCCTCTGCAAAGAACATTATTTAAAAAGGTAAACTGGCTGGTTAAAATAATCTCCTAGGGTATGCACCCAAATCTGTGCTCTCAGTGGAGTCACACTCTGAGCCAGGCTGCCTGAGTTCAAATCTCAGTTCTGCTTCTAACTGGCTGTTGCGACCTCGGGCAAATGTCTCCACTTTTCCTTGTTTCAGCTTCCTTACCCATAACATGAGAATAACAGCATCCTCTTAAAGGCTGGTAGTGAGGATTAAGTGAGTTCATATACAAGAAGACCTCAGAAGAGTGTCCAGCATGTTATAAGTACCTATTCATGATTATTATTATTTATTGTTGCAGTGTTGACCTTGTTCAAAGTGCTTTTGAACCACCTTGGGGGAATATTCTTTTCAGAGAATGAACCACCTCCATGTGAATAAAATTTCCTCCTTTGAAGGTATGCTAATTCTCGGGAGCTGTCAAGCAGTTTGGGGTCCCAAATAAGGTGTAGTTATGAAACCAAGAGACTGATGCTTTTGTATTGTTATCTACTGCTTGTGAAAAATTCCATTAAACACGCATGCACACGCACGCCCAGACAGTTCAACACCATCAAGGGCTGAATCAATCCCTGGGTAACTAATAGGTTCTGCCTCTGCTAAGAAGAGATTGAAAAATAAGTCTTAATTATGAAACCTCGTCATCTGATCGATCCTGAAGGTTTTACGGATTGGTGTACAATCAAAGGGCACTTTTCATAAAAGGCTGATTTACATTTAAATCTGAGTCTTTTTTCTTCCTCAAAGTTTGCTGATGCCAAGTTTTAAGTATGAAATGTCATTGTTTTCATACAAGGATTCCCAAACATTATCAGTTGTCATTAAGGCATTAAATAGGGTTGCGACATTACAATTATAACATTAGCATTTTAAAAAGCATAACACCATTGTTCTTCTGTAAATGGTTGCAAGCTCACATTACCCTACACATAATCTTTTCTTAAAATTAATGGGGCTCTAGCATCAAAGCCAGTTGGGGCGGTATGAAAAGAGGGGCAACCATTTTCCTGCTGGGATCCTAGTGGCCTCCTGATAGCCCTCTTATTGTCCACAGAATGTGTTCTGATACTGAGCCTCGCTGTGCACAGGTGAGGAAAATATGCACTGGAAATCCTTCCCCAAGATGCAAAGGATTTTGATAAAATTTATCTTTTATTGCAAAGTCAAAGACTCCTCTGAGTTCCTAATTATGGAACTCTTTACAAAAGCATTTACCAATAAAAATGAAAAAGGCTTCGTTGCTCTCCCATGAGCAGGGAATATCGTGTTCTATGTAAATGACTTCATGAAGAAATCTATTATATAGTCTCCAAACATCATTGTAATCCTTCTAGTGGGAATGTTTTTAAGATGTATTGACTGTGTCCTAGGAGTCCCTGAACAGTGTCATTGTAACAGACCTCTAGTATTGTACCCACAGGACGAAACAGCATGGCACCTGACAGCAAAGCTTGAGAGTGGGACACCTGACTTCTCTGACTCTGCCACTGTACTACAGATGAAGGCTTGTAGAAGTTACACAACATCCTTCTAAATTTTTTTTATTTGTTCTTTTTAGATATACATGACAGTAGAGTGTATTTCAACATATTATACATACATGGAGTACAACTTCTTCTAATTAGGATCCTGTACATGATATGGAGTTTCACTTGTGGTGTGTCCATATATGAATATAGCAAAGTTATGTCCAGTGCATTCTAGTGTCTTTCCTTTTCCCATCCTCCCTCCCTTCCCTTCATTCCCCTTTGTCTAACCCAATGAACTTCAACCCCTCCCCCATCTTGTTGCAGAGAAAATTTGGACTTTGTTTTTCTGGGATTGGCTTATTTCACCTAGCATGATAGTCTCCAGATCCATTAATTTACTGGCAAAAGTAATAATCAATTTTAGAGCTAATATTCCATTGTGTATATGTACCACATTTTCTTTATCCATGCATCTGTTGAAGGGCACTTAGGTTGGTTCCATAGTTTAGTTATTGTGAATTGAGCTGCTATAAACATTGGTGTGGCTGTGCCACTGTAGTATGCTGATTTTAAGTCCTTTAGGTATAAACCAAGAAGTGGGATAGCTGGGTCAAATGGTGGTTTCATTCCAAGTTTTCTAAGGAATCTCCATACTGCTTTACTTTACATAGTGGATGCACCAATTTGCAGTCCCATCAGCAATGTATGAGTGTACATTTTCCCCCACATCCTCATCAACACTTATTGTTACTTGTATTTTTGAAAATTGCCATTTTGACTAGAGATGGAACCTCAGTATAGTTTTAATTTGCATTTCTCTAAATTTCTAGATATGTTCAATATTTCTTCAAGTATTGTTGGCCATATTTATTCTTCTATATCAATCTCTCTTAAAACTGACTTTCCTCTTTTAAAACAAAATCAATACCTAAATCAAATGATCACTTTCAGAATTCAAGTTTTTTTTAATGGTCTAGCAAATGGGTGCTCAACAGAGGAGAACCAACTGTAATTCTCATCAGATGGGTTGTTTAATGTGCAGGAATATCCCTATGTTAAATGGCCCCAACTTGTTGTGTTTGTTGGAGTTGCTTCAGCTCCAACTTGAAGGTTCTCAGCTTCTCTGCTGCTGTCCTCAGGGCATTTGCCTTTGACCACCTCTTCCTGGTCTTCATTTGCTATAGGCTGGGGAACCACATAATTATGTCCGACTGATGTAATCAGAATGTGGGAACTACGCTAAGGTGTCTCCTAAGACTCGGAAATGTCCTCCCAGAATTAAACTGCAAAATCAACACAAAATAGGAAGAACAATCTGACAGATCCAGTGGCTCTCAAGCCAGGAAGTTTCTATTGTAACCCAATCTGAACACGTGGATATTAGCTATAGGCTTTTCATTGGGAGGGAGGAGTTTGCTCATTGACTCAACAGAAATGAGTCAGAGTGGCAGATCTAGATGGTGCCCAAGCCCTGTCCAGAAAAACCATGTCAAATGGATTCCAAGTATTAGACCCCATTGGAAAGGCCTTAATAACAACGGACACAGACAGCTGTGACCCAGGGGTTTTAGACACAGAGTCCAAGTAGAGTAGATGGTTCCTGTTGTGGAGTACTAGTCAGTCAGTCACTCAATATTTACTGGGCACTAATTGTTTTGGCTCAGACTCCGTCCCCCCCCACTTCTTTATTCTTCATCCATGTCACCAGGTCACTTTCTAGTTGTGACTGGCCTCTTAGTTAAATCCTTCTAAAGGGGGAAGATGCACTTGTCATGTGACATTCTAAGTGCCAGAATTATTTCCTGTGGTGAATTCCTAAGAAAATAGTCATGTACACCATGATGCTGCAGGTCAGTCTCAGGAGACTGGTTAAGGTGCATTCAGTCATGAGATGAATGCACTATCATGCATTAGACGACAAATTATCAAAGCCTGAAAACCTAAGGTAAGGCTGTGACCAGGTCAATTCACCCAGGTGGAAGGTCTCCCTTGGCAGCAACATGTTGGACTGAATGTGTTTGTTCCGATATTGAATGATGGCATGAGGTTAGTGTGACAAAGCAACACAGAACGGGATGTAGGGTCAGAAATACCTGGGACTGAAGGTTGGCTTTGCCATTCACTCTGGATTCCCCTCAGTAAATGACTTCAACCTCTCTCAGCCTCTTTTCCCTCATCCATGAAACTGAATAATACACCAGAATTTCATTTTGGTTCAATATCTGAACAAAAGCAACATGCCAGAGTTGTCAAAATTAAAAACAAAAACAAAAGAACCTTCCCTCCCAACCCAGTCAGCTCCCATCTTGACTTAGAGGTTCACTTGACATTCTTTTGCACACGGCCTCATTGTTTATGGAAAACCCATGAAAGTGTTCCTAGGCACCCAGCTCCTCTGCACTGCTGTGCTTTCTTATCTTAGATTTGAAAATTGCCCTCTTAGCAAATTGTCTCTTAGATGTAGTTACAGCTCTAAGAGAGCCACCGCCCCTACGGAAGAACTTCACTTACTACAGAGCAGCCACATGACATCTTTCTACTCCAGCTAATATGAAGACACCATGTTCTTCAAGGATCCAACATCTGAGACCAGGTGGTTAATACCAAAATGATTCCAGGTCTTAGTGTTCTCTCATCTATGACATACACACCTCTTAAAAGGGACAAACAAATCGATGGTGTTCGGAGACCACGTTAGTCATCTTTATTGCACTCAAAAGAGCAACTCCAGACGCACATAGAGTGGATTTTCAAGTAGGCGTTTTTTGACCCAGTTAAATTTTTATTCAGTGAAAAAAGTTGACATTGAGACAAAAATTATCTTAAAATTGTGCAACAATATAGTAAAATCTTCAGCAGAAATCAATGATTTGGAAACTTACCAAGGCAATTGAAATTATAAATACCTAATTTTGCTTTGGAGAGGAAAGAGTATACAGTGCTTCACTTTAAATAAGAGCAGAATAGGCCTTTATTTTGCTGCAAATACTTTTTTACTTTGCCTAAAGTTTCTAATAATTCTTTACAAGAGTCCTTAAATGAGAAGTGACATGGAATATCTGAGGATCATGTTCCGCTTCAGCATTCATGCTTATTCCATTTGAGCTATTACACATGAAACTAATACCATTCTTGGGTTATTACTTGGCTCTGATGATTAAATTCATAATATGGCTGCTCAAAATTAGTGGGAAGAAACATATGCACAACCTATCCTCCCTCAACCCATGCTCAGTGGTGGTGACTTCTTCCAAAAGCTGACATCCTGTCCATGGACCCAAGAGTTCGCACATCGTGCTATCTATTCCATATCTCAGTCTTGCATAGAAAGTAGTCTATATAAACTTAATGTACTGGCTTTTATTACACAAAAATTTTACCTGAAAGGCAGCACACACTCCAGTTAAGAAAAATAACATAATAGGAATGTCAAGATACAATCTCAACACAAGTGAAGATTCTGCAGAGTTTTAGAGTCAATTCCTAAAATCACTCTGGGGGGTGGCATTCAGTTTGGTTATATCTCTGGCTCTCTTCTCTATGGGAACCACCCCCATCCCCAGTCTCTTGTTTAAGGGAGAGAATTCTAGGGAATTCACCCTGACCCCCTTAGTGGGGGAGGGAACAACCAAACCTAACAGAATGGGTTTTGGCTCTTAGGAAAGTGCAGGAGACCCAATCTTATTAGATGAAGTGACCTCTGGGTGGGTATCTGAAAGCAGGATTCTCTAGGGAGAAATGGGAGTTCATCTATAAAGGGCTCACCATTCCATTGCTCTCCCCAGCTCCTTCCAAATGCCCAGTGTTTTCAGAAGGGTTACATTCCCTAAACTGGTGAGTATGTGACCACACATGATGGTCAGGAGAGATCATGCAGCTATGTGTCTCCTGCCCCAGTCCATTCCACAAATATCCCTAGTGATACTACCAGAGATGAAATCCTAGGAGCCACTCTTCTAAAAGGTTCCAGAGGTTCCAGCCAGCTCCCCAGCAGCACAACTATCTACCTAGGTCACCAGGGTTCCCAGTAGTTACTTCTCCTCTTTCTGGAAACCCGTCTGCTCGGACATGGCCTCACTCTGGAACTATGTCATTTCATCCACATGGATCCATGTCTCACAAAGCTCCAGGTGTGTTCAATGCAGAAAAGAGCAAAATCAGCTTCCAGAGAGAACTCATGTACAATTCCCCTTCAGGGATGCAAGCACCTGACTTTCCTGGTATTCTGGGACAGAATAAAATTCTTTCCCTGTGCACTGGGAATTCTAAATGGGCATCTCCCACACAGTATAAAACCCCCTTTTTGCAAGTAACCAGAGGGTCCAGTGGTCACCGTGAAGAGTTATCTCCAAAAGGTGAAGTTATCCAGCTTCACTTTCAAAGGCTGTTTCATTTCCTACTGTCACTCCAACCTCTGGAATCTTGCAGATGGCATAGATACATCAAAACCCCCACAAAGCTATGTGGAGGGAAACAGGAATGTGTGCTTCAAAAGTTCATAAAAATATATGATTTACACTTAGCTGCATCTATCTAGCTTAAGTCTTCAGGACCTTAGCTCTTCTGTTTATATAAAATACTCTAGCCCTAAAAGGCTGCTTGTTTTCAAACAGCACAGTGGCGTCTTCCAAGGAGAGGGGTGATGGCCGCCTGTACAGGACTGTGCACTAGGCATGGGGAGGCACTGGTGACCAGAACTGGATGCTTGAAATGTCTGGAGTTGCCAACTGGAGACGTATGCTCTGTAAAAAGGCTTGCCTGTGGAATCACTGAAAACAGTATCTCAGAGCCTTTTACATGGGCTTTTTATAAATGCCACCAAAAGTTGGCAGAAGAACAAAATAGACTTTCTAGTGGTTCAATTAAATGACTTGCCTCCCACCATACTGTTCATTTTAAAGAGTTTATTAAAGCAGAGGTGGTAGGGCTTGGAGCTTAAAAGCTCCAAAGCAAGACAAGACAAAGCCAAAAAAAAAAATTCAGTCTGGAAGAGAAAAAAAAAAAAATCAAAAAGGGGGAGTGAAGGAAAATAAGTCAGAGGAAGGCCCATCATCACCACCATTCCATAACAGGAACTACAAGCCTACCCTGACGTCTACGGGTCAAAATACTCCCCACCTAAGATAGAAATGTTTACAACGAAAAAATTTAATTGGCTCTCTGTTTTCCAAACAATCCCTAGACAGAATGAAACTCTATTACTACCCAAGAATGATACTTTTGGTTAAAAAGAAAAACCAAACAAAACACCTGGGAGAAGGTGACACATTGCATTGAAGGGGAGATGGGGCTTCACAAAGCTTGCATATAAAGGACACATAGTCATCGGCGTGACTTTGGAATATTCCCAGAGCTTGCTGCTTCTCAGCTGGGAGGAAATTCTGCAGTGAGGTTGTTCATACAGTAAAAGTCACAGTAATGCTAGACATTGGTGCCCACAACACCAAGTCTAAAGACAGGCAGCAGTCCACAACGGATCCACGTAACTTTCAAACGACCATGATTTGAATACAGGGGTGGCATTTTAATGGCAGAAGGATGAAAGCATAGCTTATCTTCTAGGGAGAATAAATGAACAAAGCCCAGTACTGCTGCTACTGTGTACTGGAGGGAGTGGTTAGATCGCCTCCATCGCTGTGAGCATGTTGAGCGCTTTCTCTGTAGAATGGGTGAGGGCACAGGCAAGCGAGGTGGATGAAAAGAAAAAAGAGAAAAAGGCACTGACCCAATTCAAAATAACTGCACACTTCAGTATGTTTTGTTGAGGACAATTCAGTGGCCACCTCAAACCAAATATAAAATTTTACATTTGAGCTTCTTTAGTGGCAAGTAAAAACAAAAATTGAAAATGCAGAAATCACATACTATTTTTTGCCAGTGTTATCTATCATGGCACAGATCTAGAACTCTCTCCCACAACCAGAGTTTATTTTTCACAATGACAACGATCCCAGTGTATTAGAAAGCAGTGCTATTATCTGGTAACTTTTGGAGCTACACCTTGTTCAGAGGCATATACAGTAAAATGCCAGGGTTAATATCAACACCTATGGCTTGCAGGGCTTCCCCAGCTGCAGCTCTGCCTAACTGAAATCTAGCAATGACTCAGAGCTCTCTTCTGCCAAAGACCATTACATGACACACAAGTGAATAAAAATGGATTCTTTCGGAATGGCAACAAAATCTTCTGTTCTCTACCCCCCAACACTCTAGGCGAGGGGCTTATAGTACGTGGTATCAGATGACCACTAAAGCCTGGCCTTATATAGAGTCCCAATAAATTAACAAATAACATAAAAGAACCTTCCCCCATAAGACACCCAAACACTTACACATAAACTAAATCCAAACAAAATGTAAAATTTGAACACACTCTCAAGGAGAAGGGATTCCACCCATCACTCTCTCTTGAACTTTTTATTAAATACATTTCTGTGTCTTAGAAAAATAATAAGAACGGCCAATTTATTGAACCAAAATAATCTCACAGACTTAGAAGCATGCCCAGCAAGCACAGCCGTGTAAGACTACATTAATGTCAAATCAAAGCAATTTGGTTACTAAAATCAACCTGACTTGAAGTTCACAGTTGATCCCTACAAAGTTTATTCATTCCTTTCTTTCCTTTTTTTTTTTTTTTTTTTTGTTGTTGTTTGGGGCCCATATAAAAATAACATATTGCAACTCAAAGTGCATCTTTTAAAATAAACCATCAGCTATCTTTATCAAATAAAATATTTACACCATTTGGTTTCTAGTGAGGAAAGCTGTTTCAGGCTATCACCATGGGGACGTCGTCTGAAAATCCAGTAATCATAGGAGCATCTTCATCGTCCTCCCCTAAAGACAAAACAGTCAGGCTTTGTGAGTTCCATCACACAGGACCTGAGCCCATGAGCCACTGCTCTGCCCACCCTCACCTTATCCACCCCCAGCTAAACCCACAGCATCGCTGGCCACTCACAACCATCAGTCCTAAACTCGGCTCCTCTCTGCTGCTCTTAGGTCATCATCCCTATCAATAGGTGACCAAGCGTATTTTAGCGGTAGCTTTAACTTATTAGACAAATAAAGCAAGTCAAACTTGAAGGAAGAAGAATCTCATTGCCTACTTACCAGACTAATGGCTGTCCCTCTGACATTCCTGGTACGAGCCTGTGCAACTAAGTGCTGATCCACAGTTAGTGGGGACTGCATGGCTCGGTAACAGGGTGAGTCTTTTTGTCCCCAACAGCGGCAAGCAAAGAAGCCACCCATTCCTTACTGATTAAGCAAGGAAGGCAGCTGAGAAGTGAGCAGGGCTCATCTCATATGATCAGTGAGAGGAAATACATAAATGTCTTTATAACAAAGAAAAATAATCATAACTGGTTTATAGGAAAAGTAAGTATGCAAACTCACATTTAGCAGCCTGAGTTGAGGTGCTAAATAAAATACCCACTTTCTTATATAAAGTGGTTTACAAGTTCTCCTAGTGTTCAAGAAGAGCAGCGTGCAAAGGTTTTAAGGAGGGACGAAACGATCTCCTTCCTTCCCCCACAATACATGTTATCACAACATAAAGTAAGAATGGCTGATAAGGCTGCACTAGCAACTGGAAGGGGAAAGAGTCGCACTAAAGGGCATCTTCTGATAGAAACCGACTGGGGAAGCACTACTTTTGTCTTCACCAGGCTCTCCAGCCCAGGCACCCACACAATTCAAAATCACTGCATGTACCAGTCTGACCTCAGGTCTGGGAAGAACAAGACGAATCAGATGGACATTCTTGAGAATTTCCCATAAGCAGGGCGTCTAAAGCCCATGGCCTTCCTACATAAGGCACGCTCCTACCAGTTCTTCCCTATTTCAGGTCAAAATACACTAGTAAACAGAACACAATACTTTAATTTCGGAGCAAGGTACAAGCCATGAGTTCCAAATGGTTTAACCCTACGCAGGGAATCACTAGCTACTGAACAACTCCTCTCATGTCAAAAGGTAAGCTGGAGGCAGGTACTTCCCAATCGGATCAGTGGCCCTGCCACTTACCCAGATCATCCCCCGAGGAGAAGATTGCTGAACCCAGCCTCGAGCTGTAGTGGCTGTTGGCAAAAGCAGTGAAGCTGCTCTGTAACCTCCGATGCTTTGTGTACAGGATGGCAAAGCCGACCCCCAGGCTCAGCAGTATCAGGAACAGGATGGGAACCACCACGGCAGCAACATCAGTAGATCTGGTAGCCTGAATGGCTGCTGTATCTCCCCCTGCAGAGGCAAAATTCCCAACCATGAGCCTCCTTCCTGAGGGTAGGAGAATGCACCAGGTGGCTCTGCAAGGCCCCACCTACCAAAAAAGCTAGAAGTTCAGCACAGCTACCCAATCACCTGTCTGCTGTGACGCGTTCCTGCACGTGCATGAGGCCTGAATGTTTCCCAACCACTCGCCCTGAGTGACAGACCATGGGCCTTGCACATGCTAATGCGGTAATTACATTAGCCTCCTAATCACTGCCTTGTTGGTTATTTAGATAATCTCTTGGAAGGGAGACCTTTGTTGGGGTATCAACATTGATTTCATTAGCATTATTACTTAAGACCACTTGCTCGCCTTACATAAGAGGATGTGAAATCAGACCACTAATTAACGAGATTGCAATTATTTCCCCCTACTTGGCACCAAAGTCACTCTGAACTGCAATTACCTGAAGCTCCATTAAGTGATACAAACGAGATTCCTTTACTACAATACTGACTTAACAGCTCGTGAAGTTTTACAAGGTTTTTTTTTTTTTTAAACTTAAGTAAAAAAAAAAAAAAAAAAAATTAGGGAGATCACCTTTCCATACACCTTTAACATTTTTTAAAGTTCTCTGCAAAGCCATTTAGATGTTTATAACCTAACAAAGAGGCCACTTCCCTGGTCTTATAGAAATGCAGTCTTATTATGATTTACAGATACAATCATACCACTGGGGCTCAGGGGCAAGCCATCCCTCTCCAACACCCTTGTTGGGGAAGGGGCCGCCATCTTGAAAGGGGGTAAACTGTTCATGTCAAAAGCCCCTAAGGGAGCAGGGCCAGTCTGAACCTGAGGCAAGAAAATGGAGCTTAAGAGTCCATTTTTAGCCAAGGAGGCACTGTGGACTTTTCTGGTCTAGGTTTCCATAGGCTTGGGGGTTATTCTCCAGTGTAGTGGGAGGTGGCCCAGGCAAGGGATCTTCTACCCAGGGATTCAGCCTGGCAGGATACTCACAAAGATGGCCCAGAGATCAGTCATCTCTGCTAAACCTAATCCAGCAATTTAATATTCATGCCTTTATTTAAAATTCTCTCATTTATTTTCTTTTAAAAAAAAACTTTAGAAAAAATACTGTCAAACTCTTATTTAATGTGTCCTAGGCCATCCCAGCTGTGCAGTGGTAAATAAGAAAAGACTGGAGCTCAGTGGAGGCATCAGGAGTGAGACCTCCAGATGGTCCTCGTTTCAGAGGCAGCTGGTCCAGTCCTCACAACAGGTTTTCCTGGAGTATACTGCACAGGTTGCTAGCTAGTTTCACTTGAAAACTGGGCGCTAGTAAGGAAACAGGAGGTTAACAAGAGTTCTGCTGTCTGTTTTTTGTGGGACCTTCTCAGAGCCTCTGATTCACCATGATTCACCGGAGGAAGGTGGAAAGCAGGGCTCCCTCTTTTAGGAGGATGAGTATTCTGCATGATCATACCCAGGAAATATTATGTGCTGGAACACTTAACAAGTTAACACAAGATTTTGGCTTGAGCCCTGGTTAGTTCTTGGCTGGGAGTGAATGTAACTAAAAAGACCAGTGGCAAAATGTTTGTTAAAATCCTGGCCAAGCTACGCCGGTGCAAACAGACTTTGGGTAAACCATGAGCATGGCCCAGCACTGGTATCTATGAGTTCCCTAAGACATAGCGTAGGCCCAAATTGGGATCCAGATCTGAGTCTGACAACTCAGATGACCGGAGGGCTAGATGGTCAATTTCTTCACACTGAGGAGAAGAACTACTGACTTGCAGGATCACAGGGTGTGTTAGCATGTTAGAGGCTCTGAGAAATCCTGCAAAAATGAACAACAAAACTCTTGCTAAGCTGATGTTTCTCACATTACACCTCCATTTAAAACAAAATGTTTCCTTTCTCATACTTTGCATTCAGAATATGGTCACCTTGTAAACTCAGCTTCATTCCATGCCTGGCTCAGAATTTGTTAACTAAATCTGTACCTCATGAAATCGAGACCTAAATGACTTTCCTCTGAGCTAAGAGAACATTTCAAGTGTCTTTAGAAATAGACACATGTTCATTGGACTATTCCACATCCTTCCTCTTTCCCCAGAAGGGACAGCAGAAACTGGGTGCAGGGCAACTTACCAGACCCCAGCTCATCATACAGTAGGACAGCAGGCTCCCCACAGATCTGGCTGCCAAAAAGACATCGTGCTTGGACAGTGAAAGTATAATTATGACCCATCTTCAGGTTGGAAATTTTAAAGAAATTGTCAGTAGTATTCCCAAGGTAAGCTGTGAGATTCATGGCACTATCAAACATATGTATCTCGTAGCCCTGAAAACAAACACACACAAGACTGCTCAGGAAGTCAAATAAGGAACCCAACAGCTTCTACTACTGGTTCCAACCATGTCTGAGCCCCTTACTGCAGCTTTTATAGATGCTAAAGCACTTTGAGTTTCTCACTAGATTTTTTTTTTTTTTTAAAGACATTACCATGGAGACACTGCATTCAAAAAACAGGAATTTTCTCATCCCAGCATTTCAACTAGCGATGGCACCCACTTGGGAACTGAAGACTAAAAGTGAAAAGTGTGGCCAAAGGAAAGCTATTTCAGCATATATACACTCAAAGTTCTGATCAGCAGTCACTTGTCTCAAGCAATATTCAACACCACAAAGAACCTGGACTCTTCAGCCACAGTTCGTAGTATGGGATTTGACTCATACTAGATCACCCTCAGCGTGGCCTCCAGCAATAGGTAAGACAAGGGAATTTACAATCAGAAAGGACAGCACGTTTCTCCTTAGTGCAGTACTTAGGAAGGCCACTGCCAGCTTGCTTCCTTTCTTTCTAGCTCTTCCTAAGCTGATACCAGCTCTGACCATCTTGGCTGTGATAATAACATTTCAGAAGGCATAGGCACCTGTGCATGGGAGAAGGGGATGGGATAATCTTCTGGACTGTGTCGGAAGACTCCTGCCTGAATTCCTGTGAGGGAAGTCACCCTCTGATAGTGCTGACCCAGGATGCTGGATGGCTTCAGGCTGACTACTGGACTTCTCTAGTGATTTCAGTGTCAAAGCTACAAACATCCATTTCCAGTGCCTCAAAAATGATTCCATCCATTATCTCTATCCTCGTAGGGGACCACTGTGTAATCAGTGATTTCTTATTCACATTACATTGACCTGTCTAGTCTCCTAACTCCAAGCCAGAGAGAAGGGGAAAGGGCAAGCTATGCTGATGCCAGGACCCTCCCTCTAGGAATGGAACACTGACCTGCATGCAACCCCAACCTAAAAGCTGGGCTTCTGCCATCCCCAGGCAGCATCACCTAATGGCAAATGGAGGCCAAACTGGGCTTCTTGGCACCTGCCTGGCATCCCATCCCTGTAGTTATTTCTATAAACTAGCAATTTATATTGACTATCTAACATATATTCAGTCTAGGACATCTGCAAAACACACAATAACATAAAGAAAATAATTTAAATTACACAAACATCAACAACCTGAACTTTATTTCAATAGTTCTCTTCTGTTGGGAGTTGTTTCTTCTATTATTAATAATGCACATAAATTTTTACGCACATTGCTTCCTAAGAGAAAACTCCTGGAAGAATTGCTGGATCAAGAAGCACGAACACTTTCAATGTTTTTGATACATATTACCAAAGGACCTTCCAGGAGGGTGAACCAATATATATTCTCTGAGTGCTTTGTTCCTACTATCACCCACGTTGATGACACTCTTCCCCCGGGGTCTTTGCTGATTTAACATACAAGTGCCTCATCCTTGTTGTTTGGACTCTCAGTGAGGTTAAACCTTTCTCCTCTGGCTTACTGCTGCTGGAATTTTTTACTTCCTTAACTATACCTTTTTCAAAATGGGAACATTTATTTTGAATTGATCCAACAACATTCTTAGTATCTAAGGATATTACCATTTACATGTCGTAGCTGGGAAACTCTCACAGAGTGATGAGGATTTTCAAGTTTGACTTGAGCTTTGCTTGTGGCAGTGCACTCTGACTGCTGAGGCCCCTTGGGCCCTTGGCCTACCCTGTTCCTCCAGGGAGCCACAGCTGTGTTGAGTCCCTGTTGAGCTCATGCTTTGTAGTCAGGGAAGCCAACCTAGATCCACTCAAGACTGTCCACTACCAGGTTGAAATCGCCCAGGTCCTGCTCTCCTTTCCCTAACTTCTGATGGGGATGCAGCATTGGTTGCCAATGACAAAACAAAACAAAGCAAAAGGTGTTTTTCATAAGTCAACAGAGTAGATTCAAGTATTTCCTACTTCCTCTATTTCCTTTGGAAAGGAAGTGAGGATGTGCCATGATGGCAGCATGGCCACAGCCCCAGGCCTCAGAGTGACTGGGGCAGGTGGGCTCTTGGTTCCAATGCTGAGCCCTGGCCCAGCTTCAGGAAGCACAACAAGGGCTCCAGCCCATTTCCCTTTCTTCTGGGGAAGACAAGTACAAGACTGAAAAGTGCTTATGTAGAGACTCTCATCTTTAATGTGCAGTATAAACATTTTGCTAATTAGCAATCCCATAGAAATGGTCCTTTAATTCTCAAGTTCACGTTGATGCCCTATTCTTTCTTCCCTCCCCCCCCCATTTTTTTAAACTTTCTACACCAGCATGCTGTTAACAAGCTCTTCTCTAAAATACCATTTCAATTACATTTCCAAAGTCATTGTGAATAAGGGAGGAACTTACCCTGCTTTCATTAAAATGCTTTTCCTTTAAAGCTAGACTTTTCCAAAACAGAAGAACGTGATCATTTTCTGTTATGATTTTTAAGGCATCAGGTGCTGATAATGAAACTGAAAATTAAAGATGTGATAGGATGCAGTTAGTAGACATATATTCAAACCTCCATTTTCCTGTTGTTAAAGAGAGATTAAATAACACTAGCCTCAGAGGCCTGGGTTAAGGAAGGAAAAAACACATACCTGCCTAGCATAGAGCCTAGCTAGCACATGGTAGATACCTTCAATTGGCATCTTGTTTGCTGTGGATAGAACAATTTTAGCCAAGAAGCTTGGACAGAATCTAATTTAATAGCTCTCAGACATAAGGATGGACAAAAACAAGATGGGGCAGGGGGTGGAAGGGAAGGGGAGGGATGGAACAGGAAAGGGATTCTGCAGCTCCTTTGAATGGCAGCTGAGCAGACCCAGGGCCCCTGCTCACACCACAGCCCAAATGGGGCTGAGCCTCCGCTACTAGTACTCCTGATACTGTCTGATGTTGTCTAAGTAGCTGCGCTTATCGTCTGCTTTCTGAACATGAGACTGACTACCCTCTAATTTACTTCCCGGGGTGTTGGTCTCCCTCCATTTCCATGTCAGACTGCATCAATGAACCCCTGTGACATCAGGGTAGGTCCTCAGATGCAATGTTCAGCCTGAGTGGTAAATATTCAGTTATATTTCCTAACTCTCTTGTGCTTTCCTCCTCTTCTCCACTACTAATGTCAAAACAAGCTAGGAGAGAGGAGATTTTTAGAATGTGGAGAACATGGAAAACAAGAGCCACTCCCCAGACCCCTGTGCCCTGGCTATCTCACTGCAGCCCATATCTGCTATTCTGCTGCAGCGTGGACACCGAAGAGCAGTGTTTGCATGCGGTGGGCAATTCCTGATGGACAGCTCCTGACAGGTGGTCCAGCACCATGGGCATTCTGCTGGGCAGGAAGGCCTCTGATCTCTCTTCTACTTACCTGTGGTGATTTTTATGCTGGAATCTTTGCTCATGTTCCCCAGCTGGACAATGACATGGTATTTCCCTCCAGGTTCCAACTTGTTAAGGGTGTACTCCATGGTACTGTTGCGGGATTTTACTTTGTAGCTCCTATCAGTCTTTCTTATCAGATCTTTAACTGCAATTGCATAGAACTAGGACAAAAAAAAATCAGAGTGGTAATCAGAAACTTGGTATTCTTCATTCTTCATAGTTCAATGGCAGACAATGTAACCCAAGTACAGGTATCCCTCATCTTTAGGGGCCTGGTTCTAGGGCCCTTGTGGATACCATATCCCTTATACAAAATGGTGTAATGTTTGCCTACAGTCTACACACGTCTTCCTATACACTCAAAGTCATCACTAGATTAGTTGTAATAGCTATTACAATGTAAATGTTGATATACAGTATTGTTTAGGGAAAAATGACAAAAGAAAACACCTGTACATGTTCAGTGTAGACAATTTGTTTTTCGAATATTTTCAATCTGCCTTTGGTTGAACCATGATATGGAACCTACGGGTACAGAAGGCTGACTACAGAGTGACTGTGACCCTCCATAATATTCTGAGTTCCAAAGTCTGACTCTGTTCTTTGATGTCTTTGGGGTAGCCAGGGCCAGCCTTTTAACAAATATGTACTCAGAATTTACACAGATTTGAGGGAAAAAAGAAAAAGTCACCAGGAAAAGCCACATTTATTGTGGCATCAGGAGCTAGGTTAGGACAAGTAAGAACACTGAAATTCAGTACTTGACTTCTGCATCTCCCAACACTGCAACAGTTATGATATTGTCAGTGGAAAGACAATGAACAAGTGTTCAATGCTGGCTCTACTGGACAAAAAGCTCTATGTAACTCTCCCAGGCTGCTTCTTTATATATGAGGGCAGGGAACAAAGGGACACGCAGTAAGCACAGGAAACCCAGTCATCAGGAAGAAGCTGAAAGTCAAGGAGTTTTAGAAATCAAGCATTATTAAAACTGACCACCCCCAATATGAAGAGGGGCAAAGGTAAAAGCAGTCTGAAGCAAGGAGAACTGGGAGGTGTTTCCTAGGATCAAGGCCCCTTCTCTAAACAGGGGTCAGCAAACTTTCAGAATAGGTAAATATTTTAGGTGTTGGGGGCCAGATGAGAACCAGTGTGGTCACTAATTATCTCTGCTGTTTGAAGCATGAGAGCAAACACAGACAATATGTAAACAGATGGGTGTGGCTTGGTTCCAATAAAGCTTTATTTAAAAAAAAATAAGCTGAATTTGGTCTGTGGGCCTTTGTTTGATGACCTTTGTCTCAGAGGGTCAAGGAAGGGGATAAGTTAATATGGCAGCTAGGAAAAACAGAGGAGCACCAACTAAGAAGAGGCAACTCTAAGAATATGATCAAGTCAGAAATGGGGTGAGTCCTGCTGAGCTCAACCTCCAGGCCTGTGTTTCCGGTCCATTGCTGGACTCCCTTTAGCCCTTCCCAAGGCATGCTAAGAATAAGCCAGGCTGCCTAGATGCCTAGCCTGCTCACCAAGTCCTGGTCGGGAGAGTCGTATGGTGATTCCCATTTGATGACAGCCGAGGTTTTGCCTGTATGAACCACATGCAGGTGACGGGGTGGAAGCCTGCTGTCTGGGATCATCTTCACCACAACATAGTCAGAGGATGGGCCTTGGTAAGGTACCACCACCCGGACCTACGGCCAAGTACACACACAGAAAAATGATACCATGTGAGCTCACACAATCTTCACTATGCTCTCAATAAAAGTAATGTACACAACTAAAATTCAACTCATAAAAAAGATGTAAAATATAAAGCAGTTCCCAACCTAGCCTAGACCATTTGCCACTGCTCACAGTTTTTTATGCTTCCTTCCAGAAATATCCTATGCACACACAGACATAGATGTGAGTGTATAAATTCACAATATATGCCTATCTGTATGCGTGTGTCTATGTAGTCTTTCTTAAATAATCTTACACAACTGAGAAAACAGTACACATATTTTGCCCCTCACTTCTGACACTTGACACAGATTAGCAGTTTTTCCATATCAATACCTTTGGAGCTGTCTTTCTTTTGTTGCTCTGTGTTCCATTTCCTGGACAAGCCATAATATTTTTAGCCATTCCTCTCTTGATGTACATTTAAGTTGTTTCAAGTCTTTTTACTGTCACAAGTGCTAATGGACCAAACATCTTTTTCCATCTGTCTTGGCACATGTATAAAAGTATGTAGGGTAAATTCCAAGAAATGGAATCTGACAAAAGGTTTTGATTTATCTGTCTCTGTTATCAGTCCTCCCTTAGGGAGCTGCAGCTGGGTGTTTGTGATGCTTGTAAAGAAGAACTTTCCTGCTATCATGCACACCAATGCTGGAATCCAGATGTCCAGCTCCCCAGATCCAGGTTGAACTCAGGAACTCAGGACTTAAGGACATCCCGTAAAAAATGGGAACTCCTTTTGCTTCTTGTTTGGGAAACTTACCAGAAACAAATACTGCTCATCCTGACTGACGATGACTGTCATGTTATGGAGTGAAGTAGTCAAGCTCTTCGGGTTTCGATAGAGGTCAAGAAAGGATGTAGCATAGAAGATACCATAAACCTGATAAAAACAGAGAATGGAATCAACATCAGCACATGGCCAGCGACCTCATGTTCTCAAAATCCCTCATTTAAGACCCTACAAATGCTTCTAAAGAGCTCCAAGAGAAGTTTTCCTTCCACATTCATTATGCTGACAGCACTTACAAAGCTGACGTGCACCAGCACAGGTCAACACCATGCGCTCTCGGTCCCCAAAGAGCTCATTCTTGAGGAGAATCAGGCACGGAAGAAAAACAGGCATATAACAAGGTGCATTCAGAGCATCAGATAAAACACTAAAAGAGGGCATAATGAGCCAGAGCCAAGAGGGGGCTTACCAAAGAGGGGGTACATGCTAGCACTGTGCAGCAGGGACATGGAGAGCCAAATGGATGTGCTGAGTGGACAGGAAAGCCATGGAGTTGGTAGAGTGAGCATGAGACTCTCACAAGTGTGTGGAAGAAACACAGGAGAAGAGGCACTGCCAGCTACCGGAAGAAGCCAGTTCTTCCTTTCTTAGTAGAACCCTGGTTCTTAGTGAGAACTACTTGGAAAGAAAGTCTGCACTTCCCACTCCCTGGGAGCTAAGGGAGGCCACGTGATGGTTCCAGCCAAGGAGATGTAACTAGAAGTGTCCCGTGGGAAGGTCTGGGAGGGCTCATTATAATGAAGGTAAGGCCCTTCTTGCTACCTGGAGTATAGGTAATAGCTGTGGCTCTAGGAGGGCTCCTGGACCATGCAGTGACCTTGAAGATGGATGTCACAGGCTGGAGACAGCTGAAACCTGTCCTAGACTCAACTGTGTTGCTGTAACAGGAGTCCTGGACTGCTTACCTCCAAACTTGTTTTAATTGAGAGGGAAACAAACTGTTTAAAGAATGGTTTCTTTCAGTTCCACCGTTAACGCAGCCATTCTTACTCCTGCTGGTACATGTAGGAAACACCCAGAGATTCCAGTGGGGAAAGGGGATCTGATGAGGCTTGCAGCAGGGCGTGAAAGCTGAGTGAACTTGTAATGGGAGGATGGGAGTTGAGGAAGTTTCTTTGTAAGGAGAATCAGAGCATTTTCTCCAAGAGCACGTGAGCATGAAGACGGGGCTGAAAACTATACAAGTTTGGAGGAGTGACAGAAAGGGACAGGGGACTGATCAGGATGTGCAAAGTATTTCCAAGGCCAGATAACAACGCAATTTTCCCTAACTCTGCTCAGCATCAGAAGAACTGGAGAGGGGAGAACAAGGGTAGTGAAAGAGGAAAGGAGGCCCCAGGAGTAATTAACTGGGCGTAGGTGGGGAGTGGGGAAAAGGAGTCAGAAAGCAAAGCAAGTGGAACAGGAATGGAGAAACGAGGGAGCCACAAAGCTCAGATGGGATTCTGCAGTCAGTGTGGAGGCTCAGAGCTTAGGACAATGCCTCACTGTGATGGGGCCTATGGAAAGGGTTCATGGAATACAAGAGCTGAGGAATAAGAAGGTTCCCCACATGGACAGTGGCGGTGGCAGTTCTTGAGGTGAAGAGGAAAACCAAGGGCTGCCAGAGCAGAGTGCTAAGTGAACCGAAGAAAGAGCCGGAAGTGAAGGTTCCCACAGGCAGCTCCTTTGATCTCTCACCTATGAAAGCTACAATGCATGTGACCAGAGCACGAGCCAGGACCAGCACAGCACGGCTGCTTCTCCAAGGTCACATGTAATCAGCGACCCTAAGATTAAGTGATGTTCCAGCATTTCTACATTATGCCCTACTCTGGGAAGATAGCTGGGTGTGACAGATGACCCCTCCTCTAGCTGGGTTTCTCAATAGAGAAAAAGGTCCCTTTGCAAGTAGAATCTACTTTGAGGTAAAAGGGAATCCCCAAGAGGGCTCAGGGCTGCCTCGGCATCACCTTCTGGGTCATATAAAAGAGCAGAGGCCTTAAATAAAACTTCTCATGAAGTCCATGACCCAAGTTGAGTCCCCAAGCACAGGAATATGCCACCCTCTACCTGCATGAGGTCTACCAGTAAGAAACAGCATGTGGTACTATTTCTTCGAAGCCAGGACACAGCATGGTAAGGGATACTGGGGCTGGGATGGCAGGTGCCTCCAGAGCTAACCAAGAGGATGGCTTGTGTGGGGTAGGAAAGGAAGAACCGCAGCAGAGAGGAGCCCTGGGTCTGTCCTGTGGCCTTATATCAAGGGAGGGTCCACACTCAAGCTGTGATGGTCACTCTGGCCACTTACCACATTCCTGGGGCCAGTCCAAGAGCATTCCACTGCAGTCTGGTTGATGGCCTTGGCTTTGAGGCTCGGAGCAGGTGGACGAACCCCTTTGGTTACAACATGCTCAAACGCCAGAGGACTGTCTCCTAAGTCAGTCTTGGCCCAAGCAGAAATCTCGTAGGATGTATGAGCTGTCAGATTACCAACTGTGAAAACAAGGAGATGTCAGAAGAGAGGTAGGGTGTTAATCCAGAATTTGTGTCAATATACACGTGCTATTTAAAAAAATAATCTCTCAATTTAGTCCGTTCCACATGTAGGACTTTGTTAATTTACAAGTTTATTTAACACTTATTTACAGATGAGCAGTATATGTAATACAACCTCAGGGGCACTGGGAAATTTCTCTTACAGCTGACCATCTCGGGATAAAATAGGTAAAACACTCCTGGATAGCCATTGGCCCTGTATTAGAGGAGTCTTGAAAAATCATGCCCTTCCAATCAATTATGCCATAAAATCAGAGAGGGACTTAAACATCTGCAAATGAGGAGATCACCCCAGTGTCTGTTGCAGTAGAATAAACTGCTTGACCTGACTGGCCACAGAGCAAGAACTAAATCGTGTATCCCACAAACTACTATGCAACCTCTAAAATTTGTTCCAAAGAATATTTATTGACACTGGAAAATCCTTATGTTACATGAAAAGAGAAGGATAAACTATATATAGTATTACTCTGATTTTATAAAGATAGAGAGATCAATGTGTAAAAAAAAAAGTGGAAATATCTGAAATATAAAGTGAAATTAAAGAAAATTCCATTACACATTTTATGCCTTCTAACATTTTCTGTAATAAACATGTATTCCCTAAACTAAATTAAGAGTGAACAAAGGGAGAACACGTTAACAGGATAACCTTTGGAATCAGAAGGACGAGGGTTCAAGGCTTGACTTTACCCCTTGTGGCTATACCTCTGTTATGGTTTGGATGTGAGGTGTCCCCAAAAGCTCATGTGTGAGACAATGCAAGAAGGTTCAGAGGAGAAACGATTGGGTTGTTGAGAGCATTAACCCAATCTATAAATTAATCCCCTGACAGGGATTAACTGAGTGGTAACTGAAGGGGTAGAGTGTGGCTGGAGGAGGTGGGAACTGGGGTGTGACTGTGGGATATATACTTGTTTCTGACAAGTGGAGTCTCTCTCTCTCTGCTTCTTGATCACCGTGTGAGCTGCTTCCTCCATGTTGTTCCTGCCTGGAGCCCTGAGGAATGGAGCCAGGCTTCTATGGATGGAGACTTCTGAAACTGTGAGCCCTCAAATAAACTTTTCCTCCTTTAAAATGGTCTGGTCAGATATTTTAGTCACAGCAGTGACTAAAACATCCTTGGTAAAGTATTTAAATCCCTCTGGTCTGTTTCCCTGTTTGTAAGATGGAGGAAAAATAATAGTACTTGAATAGCAGCTGGCTGTTGCGGGGATTAAGAGAAAAGATGTGTAAAGTGCCTGGCGTGAGGCCCTGCATTGAGCTGCCTCTTCATAGATTTCAGGCAACAGCTACCAAGATTATGCCTAACTTTGCTGATTATATTGGTGTAACATTGAGGCAACGGGTCACAGGCTTTGGAACTGGAAAGATATGGGTTCCAATCCTGGCTCTGCTGTCTTGTGAGAGTACGGCTCATTCCCTGAACCTGTGTTTTGCCTCCATAAGATGCGCACCCCTCACAGAATTATTATTTGGGTTATGTGAGACGATAGCCCCAGTAACACACGGGACACTTTGGTAAAAGCTTGCACACAGTAGGGGCTAAATGTCATTTTTCCCCCTTGCATGGACTCCTTATACAAATTATTTAATCTAGTAGATATTCAGTTTCAAATAAGAAAAAAAAGGGATAATTACAGAAAACTTATAGTTTCCGTCTTAAAAGACAAAAACAAGAATTGAATAAAACTGACTGAAAGTACTTTTCAAACAAGCTAGAAGCAGAGGGACAGGGGACGCTCCCATGTCGTTCTCAACACTCACAGACAGCTCTCAGCACTCAACTTTTTGTCTTAGAAATAAAACCCATCCATTAGCCCATTTTCAGATACAAAAATTTTAGTCAAAGCATGCTCTTTGCACAGATGCAAGAAGGACTGGACCAGTTCCTGCCTTGGTTTGTCTGACCACTCATTCAGTCAACAAGTATTTTCTGAATGCCAATCATGTCCCAAGTCTCATGCTACCTCTTATTAGAAGGGGACTGAACTAGGTTAGAAAGAGACAGACAACTAAATCTAGGAATCTGTTCTGATGAAGCACAAAAATCATGTGCCGACAGTTAATCTGGTCTCTTTCTAGTTCTTCTCCTCTGGAGCCTGCAACTTCCACTTAAGGCCAATAGGTTAGGAGGAGGATTGAGCTACCAGTGAGTGAAGCCTTCTAACTAGAGTCAGGAGCACTTTTACAGTACCCTCAGTGGACAAGGACCTGGCCATGCAAAACCACCTCCAGAGAAGAACTCTACCCAGCACCCCACACATGCTCTGCTGCCAGGAAAGTGTCGGTGCAACCTTCACTTCTCACGTACCACGAGATATAAGGTGTTACCTTTATGAGACAGAATGCTCCCTCGGAAGTTCAAGGTTTTCTTCTCTTGTTTGTGGGCGTCAAATGTCCAGAAAAGGTTCACCACATAGCCATTCACCTGCCAAGATATGGGAGACACATAACAAATCAGCGAACAGCCAGGGGATTCACCAACTACAAAAAGCAGGCTTCTTTAGATGTCTCATTTTTTTCAATGGATGGGTGGTTTCTTTTTAAACAAGTTCTATTTGTGCTACCATTAGTATTTAGCCATCCTCCATCTACTTCTAAAAACAAATGTGAGATCATTTATAATACAAAATGTATTTAACAAACATAAAATGAATACAGAATAGAAAGACAAGAACCAATTAATAAAGATGGAAAAAGGGAAAAAATGCAAAGATAATTAGGCCAAGATAATTAAGGGTAAAACTCAGCTAGGGCTATCCTTGCAGTCAAGGCCAACAGTTCAATACAAAGCTGGCTGGTGAGCTCTTACTTCCCCTCAGGAGTAAACACATCCACACATGAAGAAAAAATACTTCTTCTAAGTCCAGAGCTCAGAGAAGGTTGTGATCTATAGATCTTTAAATATGGGACAATCAACAAAATAAAAGCATTTTCAAGACCAAAGACTATAAATAAGGAGCAAGACATTAAGGCCACCCATCTCTTGTACCAACCCTCTCTGGAAGTCAAGGGTGTGACACTAAATTGCAGTTAGGTAGATGGCACAACGACTCTGAAGGCTGTTTGTCCCACCACAACTTCATGGAGGGGACAAACAGCCTGCAAAGAGGAGCAGACAAAAAGAGCATTCTGGAAAGTGGGTTCAACTTGAGAGAGCAGGAGGACATACAACCATGGTGGAGCTGGCTGTGCAGAGGGGCCAAGCAGATGGCCTGCTGGTGCAGGAGGAGGAGGGAACCAAGTGACTATGTGGGGACCTAAGGTGGACGTGTTTCCAAGGTATCTGACGCTCACAAGAAAGCAGCTCTTCCACTGTGGGAACCTCTGTATTGGCACTTAGTACCAGGAAATCCAATAAAGCTGAAAATTACAGGGCATACATATTCTATTAACACCAACTCTTTATTTGCACTGTGGCTGTGAACCATTTAATTATATGGTTAAAGAAAAAAAAAAGGCACCAGGCTGAGGCAGAATAATTACATGTGGAGACTCAAGTTGTTCTTCATGGGGGAAAGAACCAACCTAGTTCAGGTACTTTAGCTTCACCAGATCAAGTCATTCATTCTTCTTAATCTTAATGTGCTACATCACCTTGGTTCCCATACAAAGTAAAGCCCCACCCAACTGACGGTTTGAACTTTCCACATTACCTTGACGTCACCATCCATGGTCAGGGTAAAGCTTAGAGAATTCTCACCATAGCTGTCAATGTGGATATCTGGTGGTGGAATCACTGAAAACAAAAGGGAATTCAAAGAGAAACCACGCAATGAAAAGGGAGGAAGGCAGAATTCAGTTTTCAACTCAACAGACAAAGCGATCTTTCAGTTGGGGAAGAAAGGGCACTTCTTCAGCTGTCTTTACTATCTCTTTACCACTGTTACCCTGAAGCTGAGGTTGGGCCCACCATTGCCTGGTTATAGACAGCAATCTTGGCTCGGTCGAGAAATTAGGTCAAGCAGAAAAGTTCCATTATGTAACCGTCCCAAGCAGCCTGGCTTCGACCTGGTTCTTAAGGTGAAGAGATCACTGTGAGCACCACCTTTACTGGCACTGACAAAGTCCCAGCAGCCTCAACCCCTTTTTGAAAGATGACAATGAGATAAATCAGAAGTGATAAACAGATGTGCTGCAAAATAAGAATGTGGCTTCTGGAGTTGGCAAACTTGAGTTCAAAGTTCTGTTTGCTGATATTTAACAGCTGGGTAATCTGGGGCAAGTGACTTATCTCCTTTGAGCCTAAAAATACACACTTCTATGTATGTATAGTGCACACCACTTAACTCATGATCCCTTTCCAATAGTTTCATTTATGGAAGATGAAAGAGCCAATAAACAACCGGCACTATCCAAAAGACCAGAGCTCAAGCTGAGAGCTGAGGTGGGCAAGGAGAGAGCAGTCCAAAGAAAAGACCACCCTTAGGTCAACTGATCAGCATGGTGCAATCATTGGAAGGTCTGCCCACAAGAAACCTGTCACTGCTGAGACCAGCGTAATTCAAGATGGTCCCACTGGATACATGTGACCAGAAGACATCATTTAAATAAATGTGTTTATGAGATTCTCAGCACATATGCCCCTTATACAGGAAAGGCAAGAGAGACTCAAAGTAGTGGGTAATATCTGGTGGCAAAAGAGATGTGTCAAAATCTGGAGGAGTCCCTCCAAATGATAAACAGATCATGAAACTGGGCTTGAGGAAAACACAATAACCAGAAGAAAGGGTGTGAAAAGTTTCAGGAATCCAAATCAGAGTCCAACAGCAAGGATGTTGTGTTAAAGCCAACCCAAATTAAAATCACGGTGACCAGGGATATGTCACAATTTTCTTCAAAGTCCAGTTTCCTCAGCTACAAAATAAGGATAAAACTACTTATCTCTATGAACTCAAGGAAACAAGAAGCATGGTGCTTACTATACCAGAAGAGCTCATTAACAGGTGGATCCTCCATGGCTATTATTACCAATCCACCACATTCGCTAATGAACCTGCACTTCTGGCTGATACCATAGCTGCCTTTGGCCTTTGTCTTCTTATGTTATGATCCCAGGTCACAGATATCTCACAATACTTGTTGACACAGCACAGTTGTCTCTGTACATACTCTAACCAAAACCCACGTGAGGAGCTGAAACTCATCAAAATCAGAGAGAAGAAGCTTAAGAAAAGCAACCACCCCCTCAGATTTTCAAATGCAGGTAAGACTTGTGCCTACAAAGCTCAAGGAAGACTCTCGCTTCACAAAAATCCCTTCTATTAGGTATAGATGGCCAGAATGTTTTGAACCAGATTTTTTGGAGAGAAAGAATAACCCTAAAAACTAAAGGGATGGTGAATCCAGCAGCATGCTTTCTTCAATACCTGCAAGCATTCTGTCCATTGACTGGCAGTGCTAAGTCTGGCTGCCTTGTGCCCTGACCTCCACGTTGCAGATTTTAGAAGGGATCAGAGTGACTCTTGATGTCTCAGAGCTTTTGTCTCACAGGCTCTGGGTAAAGCAAAATCCCCCAATCATGTTCCACACCACAGAGTTCATGTGATTTTTATATTTCCAAGTCCAAAAATGAAAGTCCTTGGTGCCATGGCTGAGAAAAACCATTCAGAAAGATGAGCTACTGTCCATCTCCCAACATGTACCAGAACCCTCAGCTGCTTCAGTTCACTTACACACCAACTGTTTTCTTTGGTTCCCACTAGATACTAGTGATAGAGTGGAGAAAACAGACCAGAACTCAGTCCTCATGAGGCACACATGCAAAATGACAAGCCAGCCACCCCAGCAAGCAGAGAAGCCCAGTGGGTCACACGTGGCTCAGCCCAGAGGGTAGCGTGTAGCAAGATGGTTAAGAAAGAGCACAGGCTTCAGAGTCAGGCATGTCAGGTTCCAGTCCCAAGCATGTCACTCACTGATTGTGTGGCCTGCGGGAAGTGACATCTTCTTTCCACTTTTTACCTAATCTGGTAGCTGTTCTAAAGGATCAACTAGGTGAGCTGATGTACACAAAGAGTGCACACTCAGAATACCCAAGGTCAGCCCTAATGCTAGAAACCACCATTGACAGTTTGTCGGTGTGAGTGGGAGAAGTCGCAAACCCCAGCGTGGACCTTTCTTTAAGACACCACAAACGAACATGTACAGAACCATCTCCATCTTTAGTGAGGAGGAGGACTCCTTCTATTTAGCTATTGTACATGTTCATAAAAGGATGGGCCTGCTGGCTTTGGAAATCCCTTCAATTCTAGGAGGAGAAATACACTCAATAGTTATGTAAAAAGACTTCCGCTATCTAAAGCACATGGAGATACCCAGAAGTGTGCATGTGCTGGGGAGAAAGAAGCTGTGTGAAGTTTTCTAATCTACGCTGCTCCTTTCCAGTCATACTGAAGGTCATTTCCAAAGGGCTCCTATCTTCTCTAAATCTGCAAATGCTGGTAGAATCATTTACCTTTTCCTTTTATGGTGGTAATGGATTTAGAATCGCTCCAGTTTCCTATTCCACGACTAGTCACCGCAGCCACCTTTTCAAATTAGAGTGTGAATTAGTATGAAATAAAGGCAATAACACCATATGGCAAGAATTCTAAATGAGCTAAAGGGGTGAAATTTTGGCAATGAGGGTGGAAAAAATTATATAGAGAGTGACCTGTGAGGTTCAGGGGTCTCAGCAATTGATATGAGAGGGGGAAGAAACAAAGGGAAGGAGCCTGGGCAAAGTAAATCATGATAGTCCCAAGCTTATAAAATTGCTCTTAATAGACACATGTCAAGGTTTTTCTAAAGGGCAGGTATATATGTATGGGTATCCAAGTTCTAAATGCACACATATATAAAAGGGGTACTGGGGAACTTAGTACAAGGAGGTTTCTGGAGGTTGTGCATGTAATGGTCTCAAACATGCTTTACACAAAAATCTCTCTCTTTTCTGTTAAAGGTAACATTACATGTCATAAGAACCTCACAAAATCAGTTTATAAATGCCATTCATCATAGCTCTGCCTCACCCTGGGGCTAAAGATAAGCAGAAAAGGGTATGTGCAAAAGTTATAGGTGCTGGAAAGCTAGCAGAAAATCTGGTTACAAGCTGGGAAAGCCGCATTGCCTAAGTGCTTGATTATCTGTGGGAAGTCTGCTTCCCTCCTCAGGACAGAAGCTGGGTATTTTATGGACTAACAATAAGCACTCTTAAAAGTAAGCACGGAGTGCTCATGAAATGGAGACATGTCTCTAGTTTCCAAGACTGACCAGAGGGCCAGGACAGCTATGAATACTCACTCTGACGGTGTATAGAACGTTGACCAATAAGTTCTTTATTTCTGTAGAGTTACTAGCAGCTCTCTGGGAGGCCCACATCTTAGAACCACTTCTGCTGTATTCTACCTAAAATGAGAAGGAAAAAATGATTAAAAATAACCAGAGGTCTAGAACACCCTGTTATCTTATAAAGTGGCAGGTCAGGAAAGGGGAAAGTGGGGTACCAGATGTTCTGACAGGTGGGTCATTATCCACAAAATTATGGCAAATCAACACAGAAATCTCTAACACATCCTCTCCTGGAAGGTACTTACAATGTACTCACGAATGAGACCGTGGGTGTGGATGGGAGGAGTCCAGTGGCCAACAATCACACCTTCTGCTTCCCTGTGGAGTGATAGCTGGAGATTTCGAGGGGCATCTGGCACTATAAAAAGAGGCAACTTGCAAGTTAAGCTATCCCTGTGTGCAGAAGACATGATCTCGTACACAGATCACAAGAGTCTCTGGAGGGTGCAAAAAACTACTGCAAGTGCTAAATGAATTCAGTAAAGTTGCAGGATACAAGATTAACATACAAAACTGGTAGCATTTCTTCAAACCACCAATAAACTTGCTTGAAAAGAAATTAAGAAATCAATCTCATTTACAATAGCAACCAAAAATTAATAGATAAAATATAAGAAATAAATTTAACTAAGAAGGTGAGGTGAAAGAGCTCTACAATGAAAGCTATAAAATACTGATGAAAGAAAGGGAAGAGGACACACATGCACGCGTGCGCACACACACACACACACACACACACACACACAGAGACATTCACGAACTGGTAGAATTAATATTGCTAAAATGAACATACTACCTAAAGCAATCTACAGATTCAGTGCAATCCCTATCAGAATACCAACAATGTTCTTCATATTAAAAGAAAAAAAATCCTTCTAAAATTTGTATGAAGTCATAGAAGATCCTAAGTGGCCAAATGTACACACACACATACACCAAAAACAAACAAACAAACAAACAAACAAAAACCCCACAAAGCTGAATGCATCACAAAGCTGTAGAAATCAAAAGAGTAAGGCACCAGCATAAAGCATAAAGAGAGACACACAGACCAACAGAACATAGAATCCAGGAGTGAGTCCACATATTTACACCAACTGATGTTTGACAAAGGCCCCAAGAACATACAATGAAGAAAGGATAGTTTCTTCAATAAATGGTGCTGGGAAAACTAAATATTCATGTGCAGAAAAATGAAACTGGATTTCTTTCAAATTTTTTTTTTTTTAATGACTGAAACAGATCCAAGACTTAAATGGAAGATTCCCCAAACTATGAAACTAAAAGAAAACACAGGGGAAATACTTTATCACAATGGTCTGGGCAAAGACTCCGTTTTAATAATATGACCCAAAAAAACACTGCCACAAAAGTAAAAATTTAGTAGGTTACATGTCTCATTTGTCAAAAAAAAAAAAGTAACGATAAAAATCTTCTACGCGATAAATAAAATAATTATTAGATGGGACACCCTATTCATCCAACAAGGGAATTAATAGTCAGAATACACAAGGACTTCAACAATTCAAGTGCAAAAAAAAAATTGATAAAAAATGGTCAATTAGACATTTCTCAAAAGAACATATTCAATTCTCTCTCTCACTCTCTTAAAAAAAAAAAAGAACATATTCAAATGGCCAACAAGTAAATTTAAAAAAAAAAAAAGCTAAATATCTCTAATCATCAAGGAAATGATAATCAAAATCACAAAGACGTATCATGTTACCCCAGTTAGAATGGCCATTATCAAAAAGACAAAAAATTTAAAATGCTGGCAAAGATATAGAGAAAGGGTAATTCTATGCTGCTGGGGGGAATACAACAAATCAGTGCAGTCATTATGGCAAACAGCATAGAAGTTTCTCAAAAAATTACCAACAGAACTACCCCAAGATCCAACAAGCCCATTCCTGAGGATAAACCAAAGAACAGGAGGGAATCAATATGTCAAAGAGGTTCCCACACTCCCGGGTTCACTGCATGCTATTCACAACAGCCAAGATATGAAAACAACCCAGAAGCCAGGTGAGAGATGACTGGATAAAGAAAACATGGCTTGTGCACACACACGCACACACACGCATACACAATGGAATCATTAAACCACAAGAATGAAATTCTGAAATAACAACATGAATGAGCCTGGAGGACATTATGTTAAGTGAAATAAGCCAGGCACAGCAAGACAAATACTGCATGCTCTCGCTTACATACAGAAACTGAAAAACTAAAAACTTCATCTCCTAGTGGCAACCAGAGGCTGAGGAGGATGGAGGGTGAGGGAAAGATGAAAAGTGGTGAACAGATATACAGTGCAGCTGGACAGAAGGACAGAACAGCAGGGTAACTATGGATAACAACAACTAACTGAGTAGTAGAAGGAGACTGAATGTTCCCAACATAAAAAAATGACAAATGTCTGAGGTAACGGATAAGCTACCATCACCTATCATATAATATCATTACATATTATATACATGTATTGAAATGTATACCCCACAAATATGGACAATTAATCTTGTACAAATTATATTTTAAAAGAGAGTTAACTTCCGAATCACATAGTGGTCAGCTAGAAGAATTTTCCTGAGCTTAAAACAAAAATAAGAGGGAATACAGATTGGTAGTTTAAAAAAGAAAGAAAGAAAGACACTATAAATAGAAAAAAGACCAGTAGAATAGAGGAAAGGAAAGTGAGTGGGAGAAGGGAGGGAAAGAGGAAGCACTTAATACTGAATGGGAGAAAATTGTATTATATGCTTATATGTCAAAATGAACCTCAATATTATATATAACTATAATACTCTAATTAAAAAAAAAAACACACATTATGTCCCAGAAATACAAAAAAAGGAAAAAGAAGGAATCTTTTTCCTTCTAGAAAAAGAAGGAATCTAGGTACTGAGACCTACCCACTACGAAGTCTGTAAGCTTATTTTCTCTACTTTGACAAGATAAATTTCCTATTCTTCCAGAAAACAAGGTATGCTGTCCACACATCAGATCAGGGCTCAGTCAAGTCCGACGGTCACAATCCACAGGGCTGCAGGATGGGATCACTTGGCAGGCCGAGTCACCACTGCCCTGGACTTCAATGCTGTGATCTTAATTGTCAATGACAGCCCCTGCTGCCTCAGCCTCTCATACCACAGAACAGACCCATGGGCATGACTGTCAAGGAATAAGACTAATTCTAACATCACAGAAATTCTACATCCAAATGAATATGGTCACCACTACAACAGACTCCTTAATGAGTGATATGTATTCAAGATACTTCAGGCAACAGGGAAAATGAAGAGAATAAGCAGATCATCACCAAGTGCACTACTCTGAAAGGAGAAAGCAGGGAGCTCTCTTAGAAACATGATTTTGGCAAATTTCTTTAAAGCTTAGTCACAAAACTACTGACATGCCTCGTATTTCAATGATGATGTGGTCCTAAGCAAGGGAAATGACATGACAAGAGACACAAGAGGGCAATGGTGGAGAGAATCCTATCTTAGGGTGCAAGAGCATCCTTTGCCATGCTAAGAATAAATGTTAAACAGCTCAGGCAAGACCACAGAACTTAGCCACAAGACTTCTGCACAGATAAGGCACAGGTAAGTATGTCTCCGCATTCCTGAGCATCCATGGGAAAACCTGTTCAACATCCCACATGAGGTCTTGTAATTGCCACAAAAATAAGATTATAACTTACACCCTTCTGGAGTCCGCAGGGTCACAAAGTCATTGGTGTTGTGCGCCTTGCTCAGACACTGAACCTGTACTTTAACTTGATATGTGGTGTCAGGTTTCAAGACTTTCAACACAGTGTTCGTTTTGTTGCTGTGAGTCTCCAGAGTCTTCCATATGCTCTCTCCAACCACCCTGGCCAAAAGAACAAAGATAGTGTCTCAGCCAAGTGGCATGGATGGCTAATCAAGAGCCCCAGAATGATTATCACAAGAGAATTTACGGATCATCCAGGGGCAACAAGAACCATGGCAGAAATGGGACCCACCTGTAGTAGACAGTATATACACAAGAAGCAGATGGCATTTTTTTGGGCCGCATCCAGGTCAAAGTTACATCCCCAGAGAAGTCAGCTGTCCACTGAAGATTCTGTACTTTGTATACAGTTAACTCATCTGAAGAGATAAGGAGTAAAGTTATATCTTATAAATTCTCAAATTTCAAAGAACCCCGGCTTTTAAGCAGGGCTGCTGCATTCTAAATTGTCAGGAGATCACAATCACTAACTGAAAAGAAATTCCAGAAAATATAGCTCACGCCTCCCTCTACAACCTTCCCTAGGGTTCCCACATTTCCAATCATGTTATTGTTCCTGGCATTTCACCTCCTTCCTGCCCAAGGCAATTTAAACTCGATTCTAAAAGAGAACATTGCAAGTTCATGGACAATGCCATAGCAGGATGTACCACTAAATACTCTCCAGGGAGGACTGAGTTAACCCCATCAGCAGTTTGAGGCTCTGAGAAAGCAATGGCATATCAGCAAAAGGCAAGAAGTCTGTTGAAGATAAATCCAAGACCAGCCCCTTCACCAAAAGGTAGGAGGTAGAGGGAAGTTATATCAGAGATGGGCCAGGCCTCAGCTCACTTGGTGCCACAAAGCGGGGCCCAAATCCATTTCAGTTCCAGATTCTGTTTTGTGTTTTGCTGTGTTGGGAATGGAATTCTAGGCCTTGCATATGCTAGGCAAGTGCTCCACCACTGAGCTGTGCCCCAACCCTCATTTTCAGACTTAGGGAAAGTTCTAGAAGCTCCAAGCTAGAAGCACCCACAGTGTGCAAGGTACTCACCACTGCAGGCCACCTCGTCACTCTCATCTGAGCAGTCCAGGAAGCCGTCACAGCGCTCCGAGAGTACAATGCAGGCCTCACCATCCTCACACTTGAACTCTCTGCTCATACAGGTCAAGGTGCTGTGTGTGGCTGAAACACAAAGAGCCTTCCTGAACCTGGGGAAGGACCAATTTGCACCGAAGGTCCAGGTTCACCCATGGTTAGAAAAAGTAGTTTGAATTCTTTCAGCTAATCAACTTCTGCTTCAAAATACCTTTCTGTAATGTGGAGGAGAACGTGCACCGGTGCCATTGCACCATCTGATTCATTGTTAACTGGATCTCCCTTCAGGAAGGATGTGAGACTTGGAGGCAAACTAGGGTTTAAGTCTTCTTTCTGTGTAAGCTTGAGCAAGCTGCTTAATATAACCAAAGTGCAGTTCTCCTATGAAAAGTGGGTGACAATTCTACAGCTATTGTGTCTGCAGGGAGCTAGTGAGATCAAGCACCTAAGTGGTTCCTGGCAGGTACCAACAAGCTGTAGCTAGAACTCCACAGTACTAATTAGTCTGTTCTATTCTTAGATCCTAGAATGACACTCTGACTTCTGGCTTGAGTAATAAAAGTAATGAGATGTATCACAATAATGTTGAGAGGTGTGCCCACTTGATGAAATATTTTTAATTGTATAAGTTTCAAAATATTTTCATAGAAAAAGAAATAATGCAAAATAAAGGTAAAGTTAGTTAAGAGTATGTAACTTAGCAGGCTACTAACCAAAACTTCATCTTCTCTCCAGCATGGAAGGCTCTAGAAAGGCAGTGGTAACAATGTAATTGCAAATGACACTAAAGGAAGAGTAAAGGAGAGAATGGCTATGGGGAGCAAATCTGCTGCCCAAGGATGATCAGGACCAGGCCCAGATGCAGGTACCTCAGGCCTTCATTATCCAGACCCACACCTGCCTACTCCAGCCCAGACAAGGAAGGGCTATGCCAGAGACCCAAAGCCAGCATCTAAAATTAACCTTGCACTTCCAAGTCAAAGACTTTCACATTCTCATTCCTGGAACCTGCCGGTAAGTTACTTTGCTTAGCAAAAGGGACTTCACAGATGCGATTAAATAAAGGACTTTGATGAAGGAAGTCCGGCCTAGATTTTTAGATGGTCCCATGTAGCCACATGGGTTCTTCAAGGTGAGACCCTTTCCTGGATGTGGCCAGAGGCAGATTTGTAAAAACAGTAGGAGGGTCCCAGAGATCCAGCGCTGCTGACTCTCAGGTGGAGGCAGAAGCCATGAGCCTCTAGAGGGCAGCCCCAGAAACTGGCAAAAGCAATGAAACAGATTCTCCCCTAGAGCCTCCAGAGGAACTGCTCTGCCATCACCTTGGTTTTAGCCCAGTGACACCGTGTCAGATTTCAGACTCAGAGAACTATCAGAAAATAAAAGTGTTGTTCCATGATACTCTGTCTGAGGTAATTCATTACAGTGGCCGATATGCACTCCAGCCCCTGTGTTTGTCCAGATCTTATGTTGGGATTCTATCTTGGTTTCCTGAGCCCAGATTATAATTTCTCCATTGGGATTCAGGAACAAAACCCGTGGTAGCTCTTACCCTCCATCCCATGTGCAAGTAAATACATGCACTCTACCATACATGACTATACCATTTTATATCAACATGATGAACCATGCCTACACTCCAGGTTAAAAAAATAAAAAGCTTCATCTAAAATAGTTTAAATAAATTTCTTTAATCACACTCTCTAAATTCTATTCCATGGTATTAATAGAAAAAGAAATTACCAAAAGGACTTCTCAGTCACTGTAGTCATCTAAGAGCAAAGAATCAATAGCAGTAATTCTTTAACAGTCTCCTAGGGAACTTCTAAAGTGTACAGACTTCTAGGACTTGCCCCAAACCTCCTGTAGCAGAGCATAGTAGGAGCTCAGCAGATGAAGTATTTAAAAACTCCCATGTGAATCAGGAAAATTGGCCAGGCTGAGAATCTCTGCTGGCCAGAACCACTCTTTGAGACAGAGGTAGAGAAATTGCATAGTGTTCATAGGAGAACAACCAGGACTGTCAACAGAAATGGTTAAAGGATCCAGGAATATTTTCTTAGAGGTAAAAAGGTATGAGGATTGCCAGGGAGAAAGGTAGTGAGAGCAGGAATGGAACACTTAACAATTATTCTCAATTGATGAATTTTCATACAAAAGAATTAATAACACTGCATGAGTCTCTAGGATGGCTTCAGCTTAGTACTTGCTTTTAAAAAAAAAAAAAAAAACTAATACAGTGCAGTGGTCCCACACCATTTGCAGGAGATTGGCTGGAGGATCCCTGCAGACACCAAACTCCAAAGATGCTCAAGTCCCCTATATAAAATGGCACAGTTTGTGCATATAACTCATACACATCCTTTTGTATATGTTAAATCTTCCCTAGATTACTTATAATACTTAATACAATGTAAATGCTTTGCAAATCAGTATTATACTGTTTTGTTTATAGAATAATGACAAGAACCAAAGTCTTACATGTTCAGTACAAATACATTTTATATATGTATGTAAATACATATTTTCACTCCACAATTATTTAAATACACAGATACAGAATCTGCAGATACAAAGGGAGACGGGAACTACAAAAACCACTTATGAGGCTTTTCACAAACTATAATCCCACACTTCAAGAAAATCATTGTATTACAGAAATCTATTATACACTGAGCTGAAAATGGTTTGTCTTGGGGGCGCGCGGGTGGACAACTGCATTACATATACAAGCATACTGGAGTTCTACAAAAAAGTTCAAGAACCACTGCTGTAACAGTCTCAGGATCCCAAGACAGACTTCACCCTCCCATGCACTGAGCATTAAAGGAGGTCCTGCAGGCATCAGGAACAGCTCCAGGCACTAAGAACATGTAGAGGAAAGACAAGGCACCTACTGTCAAAGAGATTATCTTCTCTTGAGAGAAGCTACAAACAAGCCAACCAACAAATACGTCATTTCAGATAATGTAAGAGCCACAAAAGAACATAGAGTAATGGTGTCTGAGTTAAAGGGGCGGGCAGTGACACCACTTCATACAGGACAGTCAGAGAGGGATACTGCTCAGAAGGGGACCATTTGGAAAACACAAGATTCCCATCTACCACTTGATAAGAATATGAGAAAACTATTGCCAAACAACAGCTGAATAGGACTGCTAGAAGATGTTTGAGGCTTCCTTATAAAATATATCTCAAAACTTTAAAAGCAAGAAAACCCAGATTTGAGATTCTGGAAATAAGGTTGCCATTAATCTCTGCAAATTCTTAAATGATTATTAAAGAAATGGTGGATGGGCACTTAGAACAGAAGTAGTGGCCAGCAGGGGCCAGCTTCTCTGAGGGAATCATGCCACACTCATCCCATTTTCTTTTTCATAAGGTGATCGGATTAATGGATTTAGGAAAATTGCGGAGACAGCACATCTTGATTTTAAGACCCTGAAATAAGCAACATCCTTGTGAATAAGACAAATTTGAAACAGCCGGAAAACACAGATTTAAAGAATGCCAATTAATAGGTTACTATCACCAGGAGGAACATTGTAGGTCTTTGCCTCTTTGTTGGTTATTTTTAGCGTTCACCTTGTCATATGATCTCTTACTTGGCTCAGATGTTCTATCACTTTGGTGAGTGTGGGATCAACCTGCTCTGCTCTTTTAATGTCCCAGAGGCCCACTGCATTCATTATTTTAACATAAGTGTAGACTTTTGTACTAAGTTCTGTTTGATTTCTCTGTTAGGTTTGTGTATTCTTCTCTGACAAAAACTCTCTACACACTTAATTAGGTAAAAATCTTTTCCACAAACCACCATCTATTTTTGTGAACTTTGTTAGTCATCTTTTATTTGGTAAATTATGAACTGGCATAAGTTTGTACAATTTATGTATATTGATTGTGGCAAAGTTGTACAGATTTCTATATTTGGGATGAGAAATTTTTCTTCTCTCTATAATAAATTGTTTCTTATCTTGGCATTAAAAAAAAACTCTCTACACAGATATAATGGCAGAAAGATCATGACCTTCTATCTAAATAAATATCCCAGTCTGGTACTGACTAGATGACTCTCTTAGAGCCTCAATTTTCCTATCTCTACAATGGAGACAATACCAAAATCACAAGGTTATTAACAATTAAGTGAAATAAATATATGATTTACATGAGAATAATGGAAGGTACATTTCCATTACCAAGTGTTCATTTTTCTTTTTGAGTCCTGATTATTTTACCAGAAAATAAGTGCTTTTGTTGACTCTGCATTACCTGCAGATGTAACAAGCATGCTTTCCAAAGTTTCATCCAATTTGGTAATGACCTTTTAAGCAGAGCAGGGCCATTTACAAAGAATCAGAAATGATGCTAACAGCAAACAGAACAAAGTAGCAGCAGCCTGAAGAAGACTGCTTAGGATAAAGCAAAGAGAAAAATAAAAAAAGATCCCCAAAAAAGCAAGAAAGCAGAAAGGCATAATAATGAAACAAATACAAATAAATAAGGCAATAGAATCGAATCTTTCTGGTTCCCGAGTTCCACGTGACAAGAGCAGGTGCAATGATATACAGGGGTTCTTCCCCCAAAAGCATCTGAATTTATTCAGGTCCTGATCACTGACCAAGAGCAGAAGGTTAATAATGGAATCCTTCACAGCTTCCAAGAAAAAAGCAAACCAAACAAACAAAAATCACCCTAGCTTGCAAATTGAAAAAGTGGAAAAGTCAAAGGGTATTTTTTGAAACAAAGACCCCTGCGAAGCAACTTATCAAACTTCCTGACTTCTGGACAAAGAAAGGCTCCTTCAGACAGCCAAGATGAAAGCAGAAGTGACATTCATGAAAAAGAAGGAGGCGTGAACAATGAGGGCCTCATGACCCCTGTAGAAAAAGTACATTTAGGAGAAAAATCTATTTGCTGTGATAATAAATACATTTTACATGTCAGGCTAAATCTTGAGACGATTTTTCTCTCAGGTCAGAAGCCTGTCAAGACCTAAAGGACCTGGTGGAATCTGTCTCCACAAGCCCATAGCTACAGAGCCTGTTAAAGGAGACCACAGAGTGTGAAAACTGGCGAAGGCTCATGAGGGGCTAGGTGCAGAGGGTCTCCAGCAAGACTGACTGCTGATGCAACATGGGAAGGGCAACTCCTCCCAGCTGCTGGCCCACATGCCTCGCTTCCTACCACGATGCCACACACCAGCCCTGACTCCAGTGCCCATCCTCCACCCCTCGTGGTCCCTGGCCCCACAGGGAAACCTGCACATGCCCCACCCAAGCTAGCAGCATCAGCCTTCTAGTTTCTTCTCTGGACAGTTTCTCCTCTCCTCCTTCTAGTTTCGCCTCTCTTCCTTCCTGCTGATCTCCACAGCCAAGGACTCATGGCTGCTACGAACATCACCTCTAATATACAATGTGCCTTCTTCCTTTCTCACCTCACAGCCCCATCACATTGGCTGCCTCAGTAGTACATGGCCTCCAATCTCACCTCCCCTTCTAATTCATTTCTCTCATGATGAAGTCCAAGTGATTTAAAATACAAACACCACTCTCTAAAATAATTAATGGTTCCCTGTGACAGGGGATAAGGGGCCCTAAGCATGGCCGTTGTACCCAAGTGCCTGGCTTGTCTCTATGTACTTACCATTTTCCCTGCCCATGGCCCTCTACAGAGGTGCTCCCCAGTGTCTCTGAGCCTCTGGGTATTCATGCTGTCCCCAGTGGCTGGGATGCCCACCATCTGCCACCTTTCCCCGCTTTTTCCATTAAAACTCTGCAGGGCACACTGTAGTCCTAGCCACTCTGGATACTGAAGCAAGAGGACTGCCTGAGCCCAAGAGTTTGGGACCAATCTGGGCAATGTAGTAAGACCCCATCTCCTAAAAACAACAAAACTGGGGCTGAGGTTGTGGCTCAGCATTAATGCGCTTGCCTTGCATGTGTGAGGCTCTGGGTTCAATCCTCAGCACCACATAAAAATAAACAAACAAAATAAAGGTATTGTGTCCATTTACAACTGAAAAAAAAAAAAAAGGTTTAAAACAAAACCTGCTCCTTAGACATTATCATCCCTTTCCTGACCAGCTGCCACCTCTCTGGAGGACGACCAGGTCCACTCTGAACTACGCTGGTTCCTTGGAGATGCTTTTGCTACTGCCCACCTTGCACTGAAACACAGCTGCTGATTTGTGGTCCTCCCACCAGACTGTATCCCACAGCTGATCAGTGCCGGCCACATCATGCTTGATCAACCAATTTTCATCCCGCCAGACTGAAGATTCTGAGGACATACAGTCCTTCCTCCTAACCAGACTCTGCAGGGAAAGCCTAGTAAGACACCCTGTGGGGAAATGTGCTACAGAGACAGGAGGGATGGCCAATTCCCACTTCCCTTTCTTCCCAAGCCTCACTGGGAAAAATATCTACAAAGGGCAGGCATTTGGCAAACTTTTGTAATGCTAAGCATGAGAAAGGGCTCTTTTAAAAGGATGAGTTCTCAAGCACCCCTTCCCACTGCTCTTGATTCAGCAGACCGAGGTGGGATCACTAAATGTTCATTTTTTTATAAGTACTCTCCATGTGATCCCTCTAAGTTACATAAATTTCTTCACTACTGAATTAAGAGAAACTAAGGGATAACTAACCTCCTCTGCCCTAGACCCTATTCTATCTTGAAATGGTAAGATTTGATAGGGCTCCATTTGGGGGCTTAGTTTTTCATTAAGGAATCTTCATTTTAAGAGGAAAAAGTGGGATTAGAACAGGGATCAAAAATAAATGGAGAGGCTGGGCTCAGTGGTGCACACCTGTAATCCCAAAGGCTCAGGAGGCTGATGAAGGAAGATCACAAGTTCAAAGCCAGCCTCCGCAAAAGCGAGGCACTAAGCAACTCAGTGAGACCCTGTCTCTAAATAAAATATAAAATAGGGCTGGGGATGTGGCTCAGTGGTCGAGTGCCCCTCAGTTCAACCCTCAGTAACTTCTACCCTGCCACCAAATTAAAAAAAAAAAAAAGAATGGAGAGCTCGCTGCTGGGGTCAGGGCTGGAAGCCTCTCTGTAGATAGATAGGAGGGACTTTGCCATTCTCTTCTAGGTTCACCAGGGCAGAAGTCAGATGAGCATGAAGAAATGTTCTTTCTGGAAGTAAAACTACGTGACTGGCTGGGACACTGGCTGTCTGCAGTCATGGGTGGATAGATGGAGGAGAGCCTGCAAAGCAAGAGGCCTGAGCTAGGGTAGCTCATCATCAGAGGCACATTGATGGCAGGGAATGAGCACTCTTCAGTCACACCCCTCCAGGGCCATTACAGTTGTACCCATCAGGCCAAAGGTGGCCTCAGTGCAACCAGAGACCAAAAGGTATTAAACCGGTGGGATGAGGCTGAAACACATGAGCTCATCTCTGTGTCTGACTTCTGACTTCACCCCCTGCTTCCTGTAGGCCATCCCTGCCAAGGTGACACTTTGAACCTCAGCCTGTGCAAAAGCCAGTGTCTCTCCCTCCATCACCTACTCCAAGGAACCTCTCCGCAAGGAACAGGCACCACAGCCCATTCTGAACTCAACACACTGATACAGTGTCCATGTCATCTCAGAGCAGGCTCAGGCTGCCTGGTCATCATTCCATGTGTGGCCAGCATTCTCTGCCTCCAACTAGAATTACCCTAGGGGTGATGACTGAACCTCTTAATAAGGTGCTGGAGGTAATCCCCCAAACAATACAGACTCTGTGCCTTACTTAACACTTTCAGAAGAATGAATGCAAATATAGAGGATACAGGCTGGATCCCTTGGTGTTTTTAAACAGTTAAACATATCAAGCAAAAAAAGAAGAAAAAACTATTAATTTTTCTCACTTACTTAGAAAATATTTTTGTTAGATCTGCTCCTATTGTTTAAAATATCTCAGGCAACTTATTAGAAAGAATGTGGCTACCAGATGATATGATGTGTGTCTATGTAGCAAAGCCCTTGGGGATGACATAGTCGCAACATGGGTACACAAAACTGCACTAACTCACACACATGGGTGTGTGCTGACCCAGAAACGAAGCAGGGCAAAGGGATATTTCACACTCTGGAAATCTGCCTGGGGCCAAAGCACTCTCAAACTACTCACGACAGTTGTCCTCATCCTGGCCATCCTGGCAATCCCGGTGGCCATCACAACGCTTCCAGTTGGGGATGCACTTCTTTGGTTGGTGGCACTCAAACTCAAATCGGTCACATCGCCCAAGCTGAGTGGGAGTGGAGACAGCAGTGACATTTGCTAGAAAAAAAATATTTTTAAAATTCAGTTTTCAGTATTATGCAAGCTGGCCAGTAACAGAAACCAATTCAATGTGTTAGGAGAGCACAGTGCCTTAGGAATTGCAAAGGGGACCTGGAGAGACCCGTGTGCGCTCTGGACACCACCACTTAATTTGCTCCCTCTCAGACCCTGACTAAAGACCTAGCTGAGAGATAATTTTAAGACCTAAACCCAAAAGGGTACAAATAATGGGAAAAAAGACAAAAGCAACAAATTTGGAAGCTGGGTGTGGTGGCACATGCCTATAATCCCAGGGGCTTGGAAGGCTGAGGCAAGAGGATCCCAGGGTCAAGGCTAGCCTCGGCAATGTAGCAAGATGCTTAGCAACTTAGCGAGGCCCTGTGTTAAAATGAAAAAATGGCTGGGATGTGGTCCAGTGATTAAGCATCCCTGGGTTCAATCCTAGCTCCAAAAAAAAAAAAAAAAAGAAAGAAAGGAAAAAAATTGGGGAAGCTGGAAAGCAGACAGTGATAAGTGATTAAAGAGACCAGAGAAGGCCATAGCCTATCCCAAGCTGTCAGAGGAGAGAGCTAGGAAGCAACTAGGTCAACATCACCAACCCTCAAAAGTTCACAAACTGGTCTAACGAGGAGGGAGAAAGGCAAAGTAAAGAAACTAACTAAGAGGAACTGTTTTAGAAGCAATTACAGGGTCTGGGGATGTAGCTGAGTGGGACAGCACTTGCCTAGCATGCACAAGGCCCTAGGTTCCATCTCCGGTGGAAAAAAAAAGGATAGCTACACTCCCTACATCCTTCTACCCCAACAGCCCCATGAGACTATCACCCATACATCACCCCAATAACAGACTGGTGGGTTGTTATTTGGACAGAATGAAAACCAAGAGATGTTTTAGACAGGCATAATTGAGAACAAGAATATCTTACTGGTAAACTGAGGATTAAACCTACAGAAGCAAAATGCGAAGACCTCACTCTCTTCCTGAGACCTCTATCAGTGAGATCTTGATCCTATTGTGCAGGCAGAAGATCGAAGGAATCTTCTCTGGGAACGCTGACCAGCCTCAGAAATAAACCCTAAAATTACCAAGGTCCTAGAAAGCTAAGCCAAGTAAACCAGGCCCCTTGTTCCTGAAGAAGATAGGAGTCATGGGAAGGCTCCCAAGTGGGGGAGAGCTGACTATCCACCTGCATGCATCTTAATAGAAGATAAAATGAAAAGAAGGCTGATGCCAGGAAGAAAAATCAGCTAGGAGTCTTCTACATGGAAGAGCATCAGGGAGCTACAGACAACCAAGAACACAAAAGCTGAGTGAGACATAAAGCAAGGAACTGGCTCTTCTGATGAGTCAGAACTGGCTAGTTCTGGTCAGAGTTTTAAGAACCAAAATCAACTGTGAGAGAAGGATAATTCAATACATAGGTGGGAATGGTTAAAGACAAAAGGGTTTTTGTGGCTTTTTAAATCCTTTTTTACAATTTGTTTTAATTTGAGAAGCACTTATGGGCTGCTATTTGCCTGTTGTTGTGGTAGACACAGGAGAAAATTCCAAGTAATTTACAGTATCATCCCCAAACAGGAGACCTGCCATTAGGAAGCGATGTACAGCAGATAACAGTCAAGAACCCAAAGGACAACGGCTAAGTTCAGTGAGATTGGGCATCAGCTAAAGGAGTCTGGGAAGCTCTGCAGGGGTGAGGTTTGACAGGGAGAATCACACTGTACTTGTTTGAAGCAAGAATTTCAAGCTTTAATGAACTTTAGAATCATGTGAGTATCTCCTGGGCTCCACCCAGAAGTTCTGATGCTATATTTTATACACTGCAGGTGATTCCATTATAGAGGAGTCCTTGTGCCATACCTTGAGAATCGCTAATGACATATCAAGGTCTCTTTGCTATGAAATTCTTGCTTCTGTTTGCCCCACAGATGGTAGATTTCATGGATGGAGAAAGCAGGAGGATGAGGAAGGGACAAGGGTAAAAGGCCTGCTGTAGGAATACAGGAGGGAAAGGAACAAGTCTGCCCAGAGCAGATGAGCAGCCCTAAGAAGTGAGGGAGGAAAGGAGGAGTCAGAGCACACAGGGCCTTGAAACTAGGAACCAAGGTCCAAGAACTGAATTTCAAGCAAGAATTTCAAGCTTTAATGAACTTTAGAATCATGTGGGTATCTCCTCGGCTCCACCCAGAAGTTCTGATGCTATGCATTTTATACACTGCAGGTGATTCCATTATAGAGGAGTCCTTGTGCCATACCTTGAGAATCGCTAACGACATATCAAAAACAGGGAAGCAATGGGATGAACAATGTCATCTAGGGGCAACCAGGAGATCAGCCACGGCAAGGATGATGCAAAGTGCAGTTTATAAGTGAATCTGAAATAGACTCCTGCTTAGGGAAACTCGGCATCCTCACCCATGCTCTGCCTGTGGTGGGGGGCTGGCACTAGATGGGGTCTCAAGGTGGGCCCTGCCTACAGCAATGGTTTACTGCACAGCTCTTCAGCTGCCTCTGTGCAGCCACTAGATGGCAGTGCTCACCCTTCTTTTAGAAGGACCAGCTAGACAACTACCAAGCAGGAAAATTGGGCCCTCTCCCCTGAGAGTGTAATATACACACAAAAACCTCCCTGTAATCTCAACTATAATTTCCCACAGAGAAGGAAGCAAAGGTTGCCTGCAGCGGTCGCGGGGAAATAAGGGTGGCTGGCCTTTTCCAGTAGGAAGTTCAGAGGGCAGTTACAGAAGACGGGATGCTCCATTTCTGAGTTCCCATGGGTCTGATCCAGGGAAGAGCACTGAAGTCTCCCTGCCCTGGAAGCACCCTATTGGTGAGTAGCACAGGGCAGTCAGGCTATGCCTACAGCGTGCTCCAGAACATCCTCGATACAGGAACAGGTACCACGGAGAGCTGAGACCAGGACTCACCAAGCGAGGGGCAGGCTTCCTCATCGGAGCCATCTGCACAATCCCGGTACCCGTCACATACCCAGGTGTCCATCACGCAGGCCCCATTGCTGCAGCGGAAGTAATTGGGCAGACACGTGGAGGGCCCAGGAGTGGGGGAGGGCAGAATATGTGAATCTGAGAAAAACACCAAAAAGAAAACCCAAAGTGTTACCAGAAGTTTGACCTCAGACTAAAATGTGTTCCAAACCAAATCCCCCTTTTAGCTGCACCAGCCAAGAGAGGCTAGTGACAGTCACAGCTCTGTACTGCAGCCCATCTAAAAATCATTCATGATGCAGTGTCAGAACAGATGATATTTGTTTCCCCTTTGGTTAGTAGATTTACATACTGCTGTAGTGGATAGGAGCTAATGTTCAGATGGCCTTGCTTTTGTAGGTGTTTCTGAAAGCAAACAAAAGGTGAACAGCTGACTTGGAAGATACAGGACAGATAGAGAATTCCTACCAAGGCCAAACTGCTCTAGTTAATTCATCACAACTACCTCAAGACTTGGTTTGGAGACAATGCCAAAAAGGAAAGGGAAAGCATGCACCCCACATCAGTGTTCCTCAGAGGAATCACAGCCCAGGCAGGACTGGCGACCTTGTTAAAATTCAGATTCCCATTCAGTAGGTGTGGGGGAAGGGCAGAGACTGAGGTTCTAACAAGCTCCAAGGAGATGTGAATGCTGCTGGTCAGTGGCAAGGCTCTGGGCATCTCATTGTGCCCTGCAAAATCAGGAATGAATAACCCTGGCAATAAAAACCAAGCACCCTGATTGCAAATGGGAGGAAAGATCGAAAACTCCTCAGGGTTGATCCTCCCCAAAAAGCCAGAAAAGTACTGAATAAGCCAGGCACTAAAGAGACAAAGTTATAATCTGTGCAAACAGGTCAACCTATCCTGCTGTGTCTCGGCTGTGGGGTTGACCCAGCACCCTAGAGCCTCTCACCTCCACAGTCCCTCTCATCAGACCAGTCTCCACAGTCGTTCTCCCTGTCACATTTCCATCTGTTTGGGATGCAGTGGCCATTCTCACAGCGGAACTGGAAGTAGCGGGAGCAGTTTGGGGCTTCTGTGGGGTTTTCTGCAGAGATCAACAACGGTATCAGTCATTTCTCCTGTACCACAGTGAGCACAAGCTCCACCTAGAGGCACTATCCTGGATACCCCTGTCCAGTGCCAGTGGCATTTCCCTCTCAAAAAAGATAAGGCAACTTTATGAACCCAAGGGGCAACAGAATATACCCATAAACTCACAGTACTCCATCTTCCCAGCTCCAAACTCATGACCTACATTTTTTCTTTTTGGGGGGTGCTGGAGACTGAACCCAGGAACACTCTGCCACATCTGTAACCCTTTTTATTTTTTTGAGAGAGGGTCTAAGTTGCTTAGGACCTAAGTTGCTGAGGATAGTTTTGAACTTCCGTTCCTCCTGCCTCAGCTTCCTGAGCTGCTGGGATTACAGGTGTGCACCACTGCACCCAGCGATGACTACATATTGTTATACTGAGAATGATCACCTGACATGTAATTCTGACATTTTACCAAAGCAATAGTCTAACTATTGATGACAGCCCAATTGAGATGCTGTGGTCTATAATTTTTAGGGTGGTGGTGGGGATGACACATTCTACAATATTTACCACAATCCTTTACCCACTGCATTCTTTATATATATAATGTGGTCCTTGCAACTGAGCAAACAAAAGGAAACATAATAAAAATTTCCCACATCTACTAGGCGTAAGTTCCCACTTCACTCAATTCTTCGTATGGGGATTCAAGAGCTGGAGGTAGTTGCTACTGAGGAAGGAGAGGGCAAAGTGTGCAGGTGAGAATGCTGGCAAGCATCCCTTCCTTAGCCACAGGTGTCACCATAACTTCAGGGCTGGGGTGCGAGGAGGCTGATGCTCACCACAGTTGGCTTCATCAGAGTAGTCCCCACAGTCGTCCATCCCATCACATTTCCAAATCAAACTGATGCACACTCCATTCTGACACTGGAAACCGAACTCATCACAGACCTTGTGGAACTCAGGGTCTTGGGCTACATAAGGAACAAACACCCATAAAGTCCAGATTACTTCCGTGTTGGAGAAGTCAGAGTAGGAGTGATGCTCAGAACGGGAGAGAGGAAAAACATCCTCTGCCAATAGCCATTATTGTGCTGAAGGATTCCTTGAAAGCAAAAGCCAAACCTGATCTTAACAGAGCACACATTCTAGTTATTAATCCTTTCCACAGTCCTTTATTGAGTACTATTATGGGCTGAGTTTATCCCCCCAAAACTCATAGATTGAAATCCTAACCCCTAATACTTTTAGACAGGTGATTTTTTTGGAGGTAATGTCTTTAAAAAGGTAAGTTAAAATGAGGTCATCAGGGTGAGCCTTAATCCAATACGACTGCTGTCCATGGAAGAGGAAGAAGAAATCTGAACACAGAAACGTAGAGAAGAAAGACCATGCAAGGACACAGGGAAAAGATGGCCACCTATGAGGTCAAGAAAGGCCTCTGGGAAAACCAACCCCGCCAACACCTTGACTGTGAACTCCCAGCCTCCTTTTTCCAAGAGAAAATGCATTTCTGTTGTCCAAGTCATCCAGCGTGTGGCATTTTGCCATGGCAACCCAAGCAAACAAACACAAATGCAGGGCACTCTGAGAAACAGGGCTATGGCAATGAACAAAGGAAAGTCCCTGCTCCTTTGACCCTTGCGTGGCAGCAGCAGAGGCAGACAGAAAAATACAGTGAGCAATGTGGGGATGCATGCCATGAGGACCTCTGGAGCACAGAACGGGCGGGGGGCACTACAGAGATTGGCATTCAATACAGACTGGCCAGAAAGGCCTCTGGTATAAGGTGAAACTGAGCCAAGACTGTGGGCATTCACCAGCCTCCTGTTCATACCTACACCAAAGCTAAAAGCAGCACTTCTGAAGCAACGAGGTAACTATCAGGAAAGGTGACCTCGGACACTCAGTCAGACCTGATACCCAGAGAGAGGCGTGTCCCCGGGCAGCCAAACCCTATGTCCGTGAGTGACCTCCCCCAGCTGCCCCACTCACAACATCCTGCAAAGGTGGCATCCTCATCTGATCCATCACGGCACTGGATGATCCCATCACACACCATAGAGTGGAACAGGCACTGCTGGCGGTTCTTACACACGAAGTCCATGAAGCGCGTACAGAGGGGCTCTAAAAGGGAGCCAGCAAGGAGAAAGGGCCATGAGCACTGGGCGTGGGCATCGCACGCTGGTTCAGATGTGCATTCAGGAAACAACAGTAACAGCCACTGTTGGTCGAGCACTTGCTTGTGCCAAGCCCACAGCTAAAGCACTTGACATAAAGTGCATCATTAAACCCTCAAACAACATTAAAAAAGATTTTACTGTCTCTGTTTACAGAACGAGAAAACAAGGGTAGCAGTATTAAGTATTTTGCCAAGAGCACACAGCTGATGAGGGTGAAGCCAAAACTGAAATCCAGAGCTGTCTGGCACCAAAGCCCATGATCTGAATCATTACTGATATGATATTGACTCTAACACAGGAGTCAAGAAGCTTTCTCCAAAAGAGACCAGAGTTCTGGAGTGAATTGTGCTCCTCCCTCCAGCTTAAATTCCTATGTTGAAGCCTGAGCCCCAGTGTGACTATATTTGGAGAGGGGTTCTTTAAAAAGGTCCTTAAGGTTAAATGAAGTCATAGGCTGGGGCCCTAATCCGACATGACTGGTGTCCTTATCTAGAGATATAGGCAGAGAAAAGGCCACATGAGAGCATAGCAAGAAGAAGGCCTTTGGATTTGAATTACAGTTGCTCTCTTCTGGGTCTGGAGCTTGACAGCCTTCAAATTTAAACTGTGACCTCAGTTTACCCCTGGGTCTGCAGCCTGCTGGCTCACTCTACAGATTTTGAACTTGCCAGCCTCCATTACTGTGTAAGTCAATTCCTTATAAGTCTCTCTCCACACATACATAGCAGGTAGGAGGGCTGCTGTGTATGATGAGTGTGTGTGTGTGTGTGTGTGTGTGTGTGTATCCTATTGATTTTGTTTCTCTGGAAAACCCCAAACTAACACAACCAGAGAGCAAACTGTTAGGCTCTGCAGACACTTAAGAAACAGCCTCTGTTACAACTACTTGATTTTGCCACTACAGCAATGAGGGCAGTATGCATATGTAAGCAAAGGGAAGTGTTGGATTGAAATATAACTTCATTTAAAAGAACAGATTTTAGGCCAAATCTCACCTACAGGCCAGTTTGTATTAACCCATTAGCTCTCAACCTGAACTGCACACTAGAATCTCCTGGAATACTGTAAGGAAAAAAAAAATCTCAACACCCAAGTCATACCCTAGACTAATTTGAAATATCTGGGGATGAAGCCCAGGTACCAGCAGCTTTTAGAGCTCCCTGGGTGATTACAATGTCCACCAAAGAGGTGTACAACTGACCCAAGACCATCTTTCTTGGTCTAAAGAAAATGGGCTAGAAAGGGTCACTTGGCCTAAAAATATTTCTGGAGTGATAATCAGCAACACTAAAAAAAAAACCAATCAAGTAAAAGTAAGTGCCCAATCGAAAACAACGGTCAATTTATAATGCACATAGCAACAAAACAGTACCTTTCACCACAGTATAAACTAATCCCATAACCACACACTTCAATCCTCTTTCTATTCTCCTCTACCCAAACCATGTCTCCCTTTCTGATCAGCCACTGAGTCCAGGACTCAGTGTGAATTGGTTCAAAGCTAAACACAGCAGGTACTGAAGAAACAAAAGGATCTGGTCCAACAGACACTCGTCACTCACAACCACCAGGGACTGGTGTTCCTCCCGGGCAGGAAGCAGACTCACCACAGTGCTGCTCGTCCGAGCCATCGGAGCAGTCGTGCAGTCCGTCACAATGTTTGCTGGATGGGATGCAAGTGCCATTGGGGCAGCGGAATCCATTGCACTTCTTCTCTGAAATCCAATTCAGAGTAGAATGGTAAAGAAGAAATGAGCAGGCACTCACCTACATTGTTCGCAGGACTCCGATTCATACCACCCTGGGGGCAACTGGGCAATAGCTGTAAAATTACCAACGTACATATACTTTGACCAGTAACTCCCAGTGTAGAAATAATGTGTTCTGTTTACACAAATGAAAAACAGTGTAAGGAAAAGGTCAGAACCTGTACTTAATGTAAGCAGAAGTGTAACAGATGGAAACCACCTCCATGTCCATCAGCAGAAGACTGTTTAATAAATGGCTGTGCATGGAACACTAGACAGCTGAGGGAGACTGAAGAACTCTGTAAAAACTTCTGTCCCAGAGTTATGTAAAAATCAAACTACAAAACAACATGCATAGTGTATTATTATTTGTGTAAAATAGGACACAAATACAGACTATATTTAAATGTCTACAATCATGCGTCATCTAATGATGGGTACATTCTAAGAAATGTGTCACTCATCAATTTCTTCACCATGTGAAAGTCACAGAGTATGTTGCACAACTTGGATGGTACAGAATAGGTCACTCAGTCAATGTGATCTCTTGAAGCAATCAAAAGGTGAGGTAAACAAAGATGTAGAGGCTGTTACCAGTGTAATGTGGGAGACTACTGAACAGTTAACTTTTCTTTAAGTAGAAGAGGTTTACTCTCCAATAATGACAAAAAAGTATAGCATGATAAACACACAAACCAATCACTAGTTATTTGCTATCACTATCAAGAACTGGTACCTTACGTACTTGTGTGTGTTACCCTGGCACTTGACTGGCAGCACAATGGGTCAGTTTACACCAGCATCACCACCAGCAGTACTGTGCTGCACTATGACGTCGGGAACACGACAGTGTTATAATGACAGAACATTCTCAATTCCATTTAATTTTTTGAGACCACCATTGTAAATGTGCTCCATCATCGACAAAAATAATGTCACACAGTGATGACTGCATATCCACATCTCTGAAAAGATATTAAACCATGGCTTCTTGTGGGGATAGGATAGGAACTAGGCAGATGGGGAGAACAACTTTTACTATAAGCCATCTTATGCTTTTTCCATTTTGAACAAGATGAAAGGCCAACCCATTCAAAAACTGAGTATTTTTTTTGAAGAAGAAAAAAGCTTCTATGAATAGGAAAAAAGAGAGACAAACATGAATCCTGAATACAAAATCCTGGATTTTCAAAAAATCTAGAGATCACTGGCCACCTTCTTTCTTTCATGACTTCTAATTTGAATTCTAACATGAAGCCCTTCTGGAGAACATTTGCTTGAAATGTTAAGAGCCCAAAGTTTCACAATGAGTTCCAAGGGAAATTAAACTAGAACAAAGGTACCATGATACTTAGCCCAGAAGCCTTAGTGCCAGGTCCCTCTCTCCTAAGCAGAGTCCTACCAGGCACTGGACTTATCAGTTCTACCAAGACAGGCATGGCCTTTGCAAACCCAATGCTTGGTGAATAGTTCCATGAGGATTAGGTAGGTATAAGACAACACAAGGTGTTTTAATCCTGTAAAAAGTCAATATACCTAGGAAATTTGTCAAGGGACATCATACAGAAACAATCAGTAAATGAATAGACAACTTGGAGAAATGGTTAATGCCACTAAAAAAAACAAAGTTTCTAAAAAAAAGTATAAATTAAAATTACAAGAAACAAGTATACTCAGTATTAGTGAGAACTACTAAAGAGATAAAACCTAAAATCAAGGGAGATTAGGGAAAGCAAGCAGTCTGTGGCTGGTGGAGATGTCCCTCAGAAATAACCTGGAAACACTGGAAGAGAATCATGAAAACCCATCAGCACTTCTAACCCACAATTCCAGGAAATATCTCCAAGGAAAAATGAGCCTTCCCTTCCAAGGACATAAACAGCTGTTATAATTGTGTAAAACTCAAATGCCCAACCAGGAATGGACTAAGTAACCCATAACTGGGTTATGGTAACATGAAATGAATATGCACCTTGCATAAAAATGCTAATTACAGAAAATACTGAAATATGGAAACATCTTTTTTAAGAAAAAAATCCTATAACATGGAAGGAGTAGAATATACAATGGCATGTAGACAACAACTACACTGTGAAAATTTTGAATGTTTGGCAAAAGGATAAGGACAGAGAAGCTTAAAAATATTTGGTGCATAAAAGCACTTTACATACTGATTTTGTGTTATGGCAGCATTTACACTTTTTGTTTGTGAGAGGGAAACTGCTGCCTGAGAATTAAGACTACATCATACGGTAGCACGACAGAGTGGGTGGGCTTGCTCAGTGTCACGGTGGAAGCCTGGGTGCGGCAGGGTGTGATTTCATTTCCTGGCCCATCTGCTGCCTCTTCCTGAACAGCAGACACTGGGGAAGCTCAGGTGGGAGCCAAGGCATTTGCATTTACCACAGTTCACCGGATCCTCGTCAGAACCATCTTGGCAATCTGCGTCACCGTCACACGCCCACCGCTGGGGGATGCAGTGCCCGTTGTGACACTGGAAGTTGGAGGCCTCACAGGTGTGATAGATGGCTGCCAACAGAGAAAAGGGACATAGTCACACCTCCCTCCTCTCCACCCCCATCAACTGTCACAAGTCAGCTCAAAGGAAGCTTTGCACTAGGCAGTAAGGTTTGAAAGGCTGGAGCATGAATTACTCCGAGGGCGGGGAATGCAGCAGTTGGGCAGACCCCAAGAGGGAGGCAGTGATTTGAGTCTGTGCTGACAAAATGTTACACCAGCCACTACAGGCCCAGATGCCCCTGTCAAAAAAATCCCTCCTCTGTACAATGACCTATGAGGTAAGCATTATTCCTCTTTCACACAGGAGAAACAGGCTTGGAGAAACTGAGAAACCTTCTGGTAATAAAGTAATTGCATCAGGATGTCCAGGGTAAAGCCTCTACTTTTCTTCCTAGATCTTGCTACTTGATCCTTTCCATAAATCTGACTCCTTTAGATGCTGTCAAACAAGGAAAGGCAGTGTGTGCTCTAGAGAGAAAGTTCTAGACCTGGTCCAGTCAGTCTGGAGGCCTCAATTTCCCATTTGACATTGTTATCTAAGGGGCTCTTACAAGCGGCTCTGACAAGCCATGACTTTATATATCAAAACCAAAATCAAAACACAAAACACTACCCAACTTTAAATGTGGAAAACTTCAGGCCCAAAGAACATTAAAAAAAAAAAAAAAATCATTCCCAAGTCTCAAAGAACACAGGCCTCAGAACCTAAAACTGTCTAACCGAGGAAGGCAAGAACAACATCTAACATCTTACCAGCCAATAATACATAACACGCACTACAAGCACTTTTAAAAAGCAGCAGCAGCAGTTAGTGAAACAGAGTCACTGCTAGAAATGAACAGCTTCATTTGCACACTTGGGCTGCGGCCACCAAATCATTAGAAACAGCTCAAAATCTCAAAGATGAGTTCAAGTACATAATATCTGCCTCAGACCCAATCAACACTATATAACTGCTTTCTCCATTAGATTTCCACTTCCTCTTCTTAAATAGAAAGCTGCTTGTGTCTGTTCACTGCTGAAGAAAAACAAGAATTGGCCTCATTTACAACCAGCATAAAAGAATCCACAGTAACCACCTGTCCCCATCCACAGGTATTTCTAAGATGTTGCATAAATGCCTGAAACTTTGGATGGTACTGAACCCCATATACACTATGTTTTTCCAATGTATATATACCTACAATGAATGATATACATTCCAATGTATACATCTCCAGAAATTTGGTCATAGACATAGGAAGAGATAAAGCTAAGACTGAAATGGAACATTAATGATACATCATAATAAAAGTCATTTGAAACTTATCAAGTATTTATTTCTGGAATTTTCCTTTTGATATTTTCAGACTATGGTTCATCCCAGGTAACTGAAATGGTGGAAAGGAAAGCTAGAGATGGGGGTGAGGGGTGGGGATAACCTAGAGAGACTCCCTGTTACCTTAACCGTGAACAGGACATCTTCACAGCACAAAGAGGTAAAACAAACAAAATCAGGTTGTTGTGGGGAAAAAAAACTACAGTTGTTTATTCAATTGAGATGACTGGCAATAAGCTGCTCGAGGGTGAAGAAAACTGCCTCACAATGTCCTCTACAATTTCTACTGAATTTGAAGCTATTTTTTGTGATGATAAGAAATGCTAAGAACTTGATTTTTCAAAGCACTTTAAAACAAGTTGTGAACCATTATCTTTGTCTTTTCATCTCTCCAAAGACCAAGGCTGAATTTGGTAGCATTTAAATAAGTCTACGGGAAGTTTCAACATTTATAACCTTTGGCACTTAGAATCCATTACACATCTTTTAAAAATTCACTTATATCTTGTAAAAGGAATAAATAAAGCATGCAAATTACATGAGTTTATGCACCAGTAATAACCATCACTTGAGATGCTTTTGATTTTTTTTTTTTTTTTTTGGTGTCAGAAATCAGATAGTCTTTGAAACATTCCTTACCGCCTTGCTCACTTTCATGAAATGTAAAGTTGCATAAAATGATTACCATGCTAATCTACTTGTTATTATTCAGCCTTTGTAGTTCATTCTTAATTGAAAACTATTTCAAAGTGCTAGCGGGATTTCTAAATGACAACTCTGGGAGGCACGTCAGAGATCTCCAGATTCTATCCCAGAAGCTGAGATCAGAAAGATTAATCAGTTTGCCCAATTTCACTCAAGTGGCCAGGCATGACTGGAATGTATAACAAAATGCTTTTTCTGGATTTTTCTATCTTCTAAGTAATTTACTAGTCTTTGACATTGAGTGCCTGATAAACAATGCAGGATTTATAAATAAAAATATTTTAGTACAAAGATGGAAGAAACTGACTCTAAATCCAGACTAAAAATTTTGAGAGAAAAACAAGACTGGAAGGGTCAACAGGGTGACATGGAATTTCAGTTTCTAATAAAGATAATTACCCTACAACCTATGTTCTTAGAGCTTCCCTGACTCATCGAGACCTGCTGAAACATCTGATGAAGGCATTAACTGAACATAAATGGGGAACAAAGATGAATTATGTACTAGAACAAGGAAAAGTACTGCTTCATTTCTTACAAACACGGACTATTAGGAAGTGTGTGAGGGAAAAGGAAAGTGACTATAAACACAATTTGAATGATTAAGGATACAAAAGAAAAACCACTAAGCATAAAGAGCATTAAAATTTGAAAGGCACGGTTGAAAAAGAGACAGATATTCTAGATACAAAAATATAGTCACAGATGTGTGAAACAGCAGATTAGATTTGGTTGAAAGAAGAACTATTGAACTGGAAGGTAAGTCTAAAGAAATCAGAGTATAGCACAGAGTCTGAAAGACAGCAGATATAAAAACAGGAGGCATGAACAACAGCATGGAGCCGTGCAACAAATGGCTGCAGCAAGTGCTAACAACAATATCAGAAACAGTAGAAAGCAGAAGAGGCTGAATTCCACAGCTGTAAAATCCCAGAATTACAAGAAACATAAACCCTAAGATCTTAAAAAGAAAATGAGTCTCAAACAACAAATGAAACAAGCGAGACTGTGTAACAACAAAAACTAAAGGCATCTGCAAAGAAAACACTGTTGTTATTTGAACAGAAAATCTGACAGAACTGCAAACAGTAAAAGAGGCCAGAAAGAAACCGGAGTAATTCTAATAATAAACTTTAAAAAAAAAAAAAATCACTATACACCTAGAATCCAGACCAATTTAGATTCCACGCTAAACATTAAAGACATGTTGATACTAACAGAACCTTGAAAGAGTTAACCACCCTCAGACCTCTGCTCCAAAAACCAGGGAAGGAGGTACTGGATAGAAGAAGCAAAGATAGGTGGTAAATAGACATGTGCCTATAAAGAAGGATGGTTACTAAAAATAATAACAAATACTAATTTTTGAATTTCTGAAATGTAAAATCAAAAAACTAAATGGCATTTTAAGATACTAAGTCTTTTACTAATCAGTTTGGTGGTCAAAGATTTAAAGTGCTTGTATGTATAGGAAATATTGAGAATGCACATAACGTGTCTAAAGGTAACAGCTAAGAGAAAAGAAACTGAATGTATACCTTCAATAACAGGGAGGGCAGGTTAAAGGGAATAAAGAAAGCTTGAAAAGCCCATGGAGAACAAAGGCTGAGAGGAGGAGGAGGAGCACGCACAGCACAGACAATGCATGGGGGCTGAGGCCAACAGGTCAGCAGCCCTGACCCATTTTCTCTGGTGTCATATGCAGCTTAATTTAATAGAGCGGGAAATGAAGTGTCGTGCTACACATCATAATGAGCTCACATCCAACCTCCAACTATTTTAAGATGATGAGAAAAAGAATCATCCTTAAAAGGTTTGGAAGAACAGTCATTGGAATAAGGCTGCAGCTGAATGGCAAGAGCACTAAATTATCCCCAGTGAGCACTGCCAGAAGAAAACCAGAGATAAAACCGGGAGTTTAGACAAGCCTGCCCACAGAAATGAAGTTGTGAACTCATTCTGGAAGACCGGCACCTGCTGCTGAAATACACGTTTGACTAATGCCGTTGTGCTAACAAGATGTTCAATCATACTGCAGTTTACAAACTGAAATGCCCAAGCGCGCCCCTGTAACTCATTAACTAATTATCCATCCAAACCCAAAGCTTCCAGGCAGCGTTGAGTGTTTACTGGGCGGATGGCAGCTCCTTCACTGACCTTGGTTTTCTTCCTTTTGCAGGCCACACTTGTGTACACAGAAGCACTTCCTGCAGTCTTTCTAACAGAAACCTAGCATTGAGGCCACACCAGAAAGGAGAAATGGGGAGGGAACTTGGTACCACCACAGAACATCCTGTGTGCTGTACATGGCCACCATTTTGGAGGGGTTTACAATAGAACTGAATGGCAACTTCTAGAGGAGGCTGCAGAGCAAACCAATTTACATTGGGTCATGGATTGAGGAATTTAAACTTTTTATTTTACATTTTGGCAAATTAATTGTATAAAGTCACGGGATATAAAGTGATAAGTATTAAAAGAGATTTGTTTTTATTCCTCTACAACCTTCCCAACTCCATGTTTTATCTGCTGCCCGCACCTCGCAGAAAATGTGTATGGTCCCCTTAAATCATTAAACAAAGTAATGTGATGAAAACAACAGAAGAATTCGAGTATTACCCCTAACTAACACCACCTAGCATTACCCTCACATTCCTGGTATTTCTAACTTTACTTTTAATGAAATCTTATCTCAAACAAGTACAAGCACAGCTTAAATTTTAATTGTAATTAAATTTTAATTAGGGGAACCCTCCAATGTTCCATTTGAAAAATATGAACTAGTTGGGTCCTACTCAAAATATGGTTCCCACCAGGGGCCAGTGTGTGAACTGCTCTTTACGAGCCCTAAAAGTTGAAAAGACTGACCCAAATATAAATCAACTATATCACTCAGAACACTGTTTAGCTCCACTGACCTTTTTCTTTTAAGACTTTCTGGGTGAAAGAAGTAGAATATTCATTTGTATTCTGGCACAAGATCCTTATCTCATCACAAACCAGCTCTCTGGGAAGCCCTGAACCAGCTGACTTCTACGGTCCAAGCTGATTCTCAGTCTAGATACCATGGTCATTTAAGGCTATGACGTTAACTAGTATATGATGTTAACTAGTACTAGTACATGCAGCAGATATTAATTAGTACACCTAATAGATGAGTGCTGTTAATCAGGAAGCACTGACCTGTGCAGTTGGCTTCGTCAGACCAGTCCCTGCAGTCGTTGTCCCCATCACACACCCAGGAGGAGCGGATACACATACCAGAGCTGCAGTTGTACTCGTCGCTCCGGCACTGGTGCATTTCTGCAGGTGAGACAACAGAAATGTTAAGGCAAAAACTTACTCAGAGTTCTGCCTCTGGGATAAGAGATCTGACTAGGCCTTATAAGAGGGACCATATCACTACATAGATATCATGGACAACAAGAAATTTTGATGTTTATCACTTGATTATCACTTGATTAACTGTAGAGTGTGGACAGATAGATCTTTAACCAGCAATATAAGGTCATCTAGAATAATTCCCACCAAATATGCTGCAGATGGGTTATAAATGTGCTCAGATAACTGACATCCTAGACTAATACAGTTGGTTGCCTCTTGGCAAGATAGCCTTGTCCGTCTATCCTGATGTACTCCACAAGTAGTATCATTTTCTGTGCTTGTTATGAGGGGGAAAAAGTAAGAATGCAGTAAGAGATATCAGGAAGCAGAATTTCCAAGAAAGAGAAGACTCCTTAGAGACATAGCTTTGGTTTGAGAAAAGAAATAATGAGAGCCCGGGTGTGCTGACCACTTGGAGATGCTCAGTTCCCAGAAAGTAAGGTCAGTTTTAAGCTTCCAAAAGGGAGTAAACAGCTCAGGGTTTTCTGTGGGCAAAGCTCTGGGATACTAGTGCATGTACTGCTTCAAGAAGAGTGGGTCCTAGGCAAACAAGCCAGTGCATCCTGACCAGGATACAAAGGGAGGTTGTCCCGCACCATCTTCCACCAGCCTTGGTGATCATAAGAACAGAAGCTATGGGCTGAATGTGTCCTCCAAAATTCACATGTAAAAACCTCATCACAATGCAATAATATCAAGAGGCAAGGCCTTCAGAAAGTAATTAAAAATGGACTTTAGTGATCTTACATTACAAAAGAGGAGCAAGAGAGCTGTTAGCCCCTTCCACCACATGAGGACACGGAAAAGGAGCCATCTCTCGGAATAGCTCTCACCAGGCTCTGAAACTGTTTGAGCTGTGATCTTGGATTTCCCAGCCTCTAGAACTCAGAAAAATAAATGTATATTGTTTATAAATTACCCACTTTAAGGTATTTTATTACAGCAGCCCAAAACGACTGAGACATAGTACTTCCAAGTGGAATTTCCTAGAGCTTCAGAAAATAGAAGCAGCCAAAAATGGGGCAAAGGGAAATTGTCCCAGTTTTTCTCCTTGAAGGGAGGTTAAAGACAAAGGTGGTAAATGAGATATTTAGGAGGACAGTCTGGAGATGAATGAAGAGGAACTGCATCAGGGAAGGGTCCAACTGGGACCCTGGGATGAGTTCGAAACCAAGGAGCAAGAACAGGGCATGGATGGAAGATCTGGGGGACTAAAACTATTGAATGAACAACGTGTGCGCAGGGAGGGAGTTACAACACCAGACACACGAGCCCTGTGGGCTCCTTCCCTCCTAGAGCTAGACTAGCTGCACACTTCACTCTTGAAAATGCTGGGGAGGAAACGGTAGGAATGAAGGAAAGCAGATGTGAATCCCAAGAATATGTTTTATGGCACTTAATGAAGGAAAATTATGAAAACAAACAAAAAAATTCCTCCCAGAGCCAGGCCAGGGGTATCTTCTGTGTAAAAGTCACCCCTGATATACTCCATAAATTTACTTGTGCTAAAATGATTTAGAAGCAGCCCCTGCGGCCCTTATTTCAGTCTCTGTGAGTCCAACCACTTGCACATAACAAAGCAAGCCCTGTCTGTGGGCACATGCAGAGGTCAGCTGGACCTGACCCTGTGGACAGGAAAGAAGGCCCAGCAGGGCACGCCATCACCATGTGTGGGTCAGCGTCTGGCTTCCCCTCTCTCGCTTCCCTTTCATGCCAATGGTTCCTGCAATCTGCCTTATTGCATAATGTCTCCCTCAATGGTCAGCAACTACTACTTTGGGACCAGAGCCTATTAACTAAGCTGGGGCTCATGAGAAAGACAGGGCAGTGTTGTGTAACAGAAAGGACAAGGAATTACAAAACAGAAGACGGGGTCCCACTTCTCCATTCTGATACAAATTAACTGTATCACCTTTGACCAAGGATCCTGACTTCTATGGATCTTAGTTGCTTAATGTGGAAATTAAAAGGACTGAACCAGAGAATCTCCAATAATTTCTTGAAATTAGTATACAAAATTTCCATTCAGGAAACAAATGCTCAGGTAATGCTTATATCATCTGCTGATTTCTAAGAGTTTAGTGAATTAGACTGGTTTTAACACATTTCTTCACAAAGATAGAGATCCAAAGACACTCATCCTACACCTACTCAGAGGTACAGGCCACATGTCTAAAGCTGATAACAACCCACTGAATTCATTCAGAAATCTTATCTATTTACTATCACGTGTCACCCTTATAGCACCTCTACGAGGTAAGCTAGGTCCTATTTCCCCATTTTTCAGATTAGAAAACAAAGTCTAACTACAGAGCAAGTAAATAATGGGAGCTAGTCTAGGCTCCATCTTTTCTTCCCATGAATCCATGAACTCCACCAGAGGAACTGAATTCTCATGAAAAAACAGCAAGCAAGCTCTGAATGGAGAAAGGAAGTGACTCAAGCCTACCATGTGGGTGGCGGTGGTCATGTAGCTAGAAGAGCAGAAGTCCTGAAATGTCATCAGAAACCCTCCATTTCCAACCCCCATCATGCACTAGTACAGCCCAGTGGGCAAACATGGTAGCTCCCTCTTCAGAAGGGGTTTCTGAATGCCATGCTCCCTTACCACAGTGACTTTCATCACTGTTGTCTCCACAGTCATCCTCAAGGTCACATTTATAGGAGAGTGGGATGCATGTCCCAGACTCCTGGCAGCGGAACTGGGTGTCCAGATCACAGATGGTGGTAGCTGAAATAGGAAAGAGAGATGACATACTCATTAGTACAGCCCCTCAGATACCAACTTCCCACTAGAAAACCAATTTAAAAAATAAAAGGAAGCAGACTTTAACTATAGCAACAGAAACTACACCTAGACTTAATAGAAGAAATCAAATACATAAGAACTGAAATTTATAACCAAGGGAGGTAAGAGCACATCCTTTCAAGGAACAGCTTCAGAGAGGAACAGGTCCTGACAAAGTGAGAAACTACTATCTAGCTGGGGCCAGAGGCAGGGATTACCACCTAAGGTCCCTCCAGACATAAAGGTCTGCAGCTGTGAAGGTATCTCATAGGTAATTGCCAGAAATACCTTTATCTACAAAACTACCATTAGAGAGGCCCAATTCCATGCGTGAAGCAGGCACTTCATCACACAGATGATCATGTACATCTGCAGTAGAGACACAGGCTGGTCTGTAGTCAGTCAAGATTCTGCTTCAAATCCTGGCTCGACAGCTTCCTTGGGCAATTAATTTTAACCTCCCTGAACTTCAGTTTCCTCAACAGTAAATGAAGTAATGCAGAATCACAGTCAGAAAGATGAGATGTGGATCTGAATTATTCCATTTATAACTTCCTTAATCCAACCCCTGTGCCTCCATTCACTCCTCTGTAAAGTGGAGACAGTAACTACCTGGCAGCATTATTATGAATATAAACAAGAAAACAAGCTTGGAACCAAAGCCTGTTAAATAGGATGTAAAGATAATGGGCTTTAAACACATGTCACATCTTTTCCTCATTATATTTCATACCCTTCTGGCACCAGAATGAGCATGGAATTAGATTTTCTCCTAAAAAGAAATTTCCTAGGCTTATACATAAACCCTAGGATGCAAGGAAAAACCCACCAGAAACCCCTCCTGAGCAGCTGAGGGACCCATGTGGCAAATGGCATCTTGGGATGGAGGGTGGGGTGTTCTGTGAAATGAAACGCCAAGAGGCAACAGTGCTGCTAGACATCCCGGCAGCTTTTATTGGAGGTTCCATTTCTTCTCGGTAATTGAGCTCATGGTGGGAGGCAGGGGATGAATGCAAAATGACAAGACTACAGGGGATTCATATCAAAACCCTCGTGCCTGACATCCACCCAGCTGGAGGAGTCTGTTTAAAGAGGGAGGGAAATCGACTGACAACATCCCTCCCGCGTCGCTTCACCACCCCCCCTCTGCTCTTCTTGGCAGCTGGCGGGATGCCTCACTTAACTCCCCATGCTGTAGTTCCCCATCACGCCTGGACCTCTCCTGAAGCCTGGCCTGTGCACAGGGCACCTCCTGCTATCTCAGTAAGCATGTCTCTCCTTGATAAGAGCACAGCTCTGCCCCTCCACCTGGTTGCTAATAGAGTGGTGTTAAATCCCTGTATTTTCCTTCTCTTCTCTGTCTCATCCAATGGGTAAGGACCTGCACCAAGTGGAAGTGGGAGAGAACAGAACAGAAAGCAAGTCTCAGGCCTCAGGAATGTCAATCCCAGCTGATATTCATGCCAAATCTGGAGGAAGGCAGAGCCAGCTCTGCACTTCACCCAGAGCAGAAACTTAAACTGTGTGGCAAGAAGTTATAAGGCCAGCAACAGAACTGGGTCAGAGAGGAGGGTCACTGAGCACGGCAAGCTTCTCTGTGAAGATGGAGGTCATTATTTCTCTCCAAACATGGAACCAATCTGAGATCCAGCTTGTTCATCTAGTAGATACCCACCCAGGAACACAGTAGGAATGGCATACTGTCTTGTGTCCCTAGCTGGTACATGTGGTCATCTGGTTTCTCTCTCCTTGCTTCTGTTCTACCTAATCATGTCTGGGCAATTCTCTATAAGGTACCTCTTCCCCCACCCTGACAGGTAATAAACTCTATTCCTTCATCTGCTTCAATACTGTTAATGATCTGTATTCATTTTTATAAAGAGCTATTCCCCCCAAAATATCACACCTGCCTGAGACTCTGGTAGGCAGAGAAGGCTTTATCAGTGGTCTTTTGCAAAAGTCTGAGAGATTGAGGCTTATGACTTTCTGAAGCTGCCATTCGGGACACTCTTTTCCCGAGGTTTGAAGGGCATCCCCTGAAGCCAAGGGAAAATGATGATACAAGAGCTTCATATACAACCTCCTAGAAGCCAAAAAGGCCAGGACATAGTGCTGCAGGGCACTGAGGAGCTTAACAAGCTGAGTGTTTCTAAAGGTGCTTCTGGGTGAAGTGACATGGGAACCTGGCACCTGCTCCTGGATGACTGCCTAAATGCATGTGCCAGGGGCCAGACGGCATCTAGCGGTATCCATTAATCGGTTCTTAAGAGTATAAACTGGTAAATGAGCCTCTGGGTTGATAAAGGCAATACTTTGAAACAGGCCTTCTGACTTGGTTTCTGGCCTCCCTGCTTCTGGTCTTTCTCCTATCTAATTCATTCTGCCTGCTGCCCATCTTTCCAAAGGCAAAAGCTTCTCATATCACTTCAGTGTTTTCCAATTGCTCTTCTAATAAAGTTCACAAGGTTCCTGCTGGGCTCTGCCTGCCCATTCAACTTCCCTTTTCCCCAATGCACCTATGTTCTCAACAACCCACACAAGTACTGACACCCCGTCTGCTTCCTTGCCCACAATCCTTTCCTCCACACTCTAGAGCTCTTCATTACCATCTACTCGAGTTGGATTTGGGTGCCCTTCCCACATATGGAGCTTTCCCATTATGGCACTCATCACCCTACTATCCAAGGCTGTTAACTTTTGTGACATGCTCTTCAAACTGTAAACAGATTCCTCCTTGATCACTCATATAAACCCAAGCCCAGCACAGAGGGTGCTCAATCGATACCTGTTGAGTGAATATATGACCAACAGATGACACTACCTAACAGACCCAACTGGTGTCATCATTAATCTTTTTCATCTTTGTAACTCCTTCCAATTTGCCTCTTCTTCAATTTTAATTTAAAGAGGAAAAAAGGAGGCTACTTTATCAGGTGATGTCAAAGCTATTAAAAATTAAGTGAAGAAATACTAGTTAAGATTTGTGGTTAATTTATTATCCATAATAAATAGTTTTGTGGTTTTCTTTAAATCCTCCAAAACAGAGTTGTAAACATGACTTAGACCTAGGAACTATTCAGTACAAGGTGATATTTACACAGCACACCTACCTATGTCCCCACATTACAGATCAAACTGTACATGACTAATCAATTACAACAAGCTCTCTTGAGACTGCATCAACTAATTGGAGCAGCATACAAGGTGACACCTGTTGCCCATCTTTGAAAAGGCAGAATATTGAATTTACAAATCAAAGACCTGATCCTCTACCCAACCTACCAGCTTTATTACAGTGTAAAAGCCAAGATTAAAACCCAGTCTGCCAAATCAGTGTAATTCAGCCATGGGATGCTTATTTAAAAGTCTTTTGTAATGAGCAGCCAACTTATGTGATATATATATGTATATATAAACATGTATGCATGCCTGATAATGCTATATACCTAACATACATATACATATGGAAATGTGCTTTCTGTTATCCAAGCCCTGTCAGCATACATGGGCATGAGAAATAGCAGGTGGTCAGCCCTCTCAACTAGACTCCAGGGCCCTGCCCACAGGAGCTGACCAGCCTTCCGAGTAAAGGCAATGCTTAAACATCCTGGCAACTCCACCATGCCAGAAGACTCACGGCAGTTTCTCTCATCGCTCATGTCTCCACAGTCATTGTCAAAGTCACACCACCAGATGCTGTTGATACAGTTCCCGTTGCTGCAGCGATACTGGTTGCGAAGACATGTGTTCTCTAAAGATCAGAGATGGGTGGGGGAGGAAATGAAACCAATAGTATTCTTACTGCTGGACCACAGGACTTTCTATATGTCATTCTTACTGTGGGACCACAGGACTTTTCATATGTTATTCTTACTGCAGGACCACGGGACTTTCTATATGTCATTCTTACTACGGGACCACAGGACTTTCTATATTGAGTTTCCATTTCTTTTCCTCAAATTACATTATGCCTTAGATGGCAAAAGAGAGAAGAATTGCCAAGTTCATATGCATACAAGGGAAGAAGCATCCCCAAATAGCCTCCTTCTTTCCTCTTTAAATTAAAATTGAAGAAAAGGCAGGTTCAAATGAATATTTACAGGTAGCTACAATGATAAAAAAGGTTAATGATGACATCAGTTGGGCCTACTAGGTAGCAAATACAGTACATCAGCATTTCATACTACTCATTATACAAGTGACCCTGGACTGTGTCTATGAAGCATTAAAACACATTGATAGACATATTATCTATACAGTCACTTCTCTGTATCCATGAAGTTAATATCCTCAAATTCAACAAACCATGGATTGAAAATATTTTCAGGGAAAAAGACTGTCTGTATTGAACATGTACAAACTTCTTTTCTTATCATTACTCCCCAAATAATACAATATTACACATACTTGAATAGCATTTGTATTGTATTAGATACTGTAAGTAATCTGGCAATGATTTAAAGTATACAGGAGGATATGTGTAAGTTCTGTGCAAATACTGCACCAATTTACAGAAGGGACTTGAGAATCCATGAAATTGGCATCCACTGAAATCCAGGAACAGATTCCCTGGTGTACTAATGGATGACCACACAGTTTTATGTAATTATATATCTATATAGAGAGACTTTAATAATTGAGTGGGCTACTAAAATTTTATTTAAAAAGTATTTTATGCTTCATGACTTCTTTAAAGCAAGTACTTACACAGGGAAAAAAAAATATATATATATATATATACTGTTTAGTCAACTAGGTCAAGGACCCATGATGACTGTCCTCTTTGTTTGGATAATTACAAGTATTCTAATCAGGAACATGGAGAAGCCTTTCTGCCCTTCTCTTACAATTTAGTTGTTGACTTTATTTCTTTCCAAATAGCTTTAAGATGACATCCCCAGAGCCTGAAAGTCTCCTATTCTAAGGCAGGGGGGTTCATCTTCTTCCACTTATTATTTCTTAAGGAAGGAAGACTATAAGGTCTCCATTGTGTACTTCACTGCCCTGGTCTCAAAGGCTGCTGTGAGAAGTGAGGTTAGAGTTACAAAGCAAATATAACCTGGGGCATGAGGAAATGCAGGAATTCTGGCCATCAGTCCAAGCATGTCATGGCAAGGCCCCCTTCTAGGGGTTCTCACTGACAGAAATATGAGGTTGGGGACTGGAGAAGTGATAAGGGAGAAAACTGGGAAAAATTTAAACAGGTTCTTAAAAGGAAAATATTTTAATGCATGTGTCCATATTCAAAGCAGGTTGGGATTGTCACAGCCATTTAGTCACAGCTTGGAAGTCAAAACTTCCAGATCTTTGCAGATTGGTTTGACAGTTCAGACCTTTTCGGGCTGGGGTGGTGGACAAGTGACTGCTAGGCTAGAGAGGTCAGTTCTAAAGGGATCAAGCTAGTGGTCAGCTCTAAAGTTTCCAAGGCAGGTTGGCCCAACTTATAAAAAGTGGGAATCCAGGTATGGTGGCACCTATCTGTAATCTCAGCTACTTCTAGCTACTCAGGAGGCTGAGGCAGGAAGATCACAAGTTCGAAGCCAGTTGAGGGACTTAGTAAAATCGTATCTCCAAATAAAAAATAAAAAGGTTTAGGTATTTAACTCAGTATAATAAGTGCTTATCTAACACACACAAGGCCCTTGGTCTAATCTGAATAAAAAAAAAAAAGTAAATCTACAGCAGGAGAAGTTAGAGAATCTAGATATGAGGGGTGGGTAAGGACAGGAAGACTTAGTAGAAAAGAAGGTCAGCCCTTGCAGAAAGCCAGGGTCATTAGGCATGAAACCAAAATGCAGAGCCATTATTTTTACATGAATAGCTTGGGTTTGTTCTGAATGAGCACTGACCTGCCACAGGCCTTAGCATCCAAACCAGGATGCCTCTAAGAATCCAGTGGATTTTGTTTTTGCCTAGGACTCTTCCAGTGTCCCCAAATGGATAGGGAATATGGAGCCTTGGCCGGGAGATGAGAAGTGAAGGAGACTGAGGGCAGAAGGGACTCACCTTCTTTGACACAGGTGTTGTTCCTTAGCTGATAGCCCCGAGGGCAGTCACACATCAGGTCCCCAGAAGGGAGGACACTGCTGGACACTCCCTCTGGACACCTGCAGCTTCTGCTGTTGTTAGCCTTGGGCAGGCACAGCAGGCTGCAGGGCCTGGACATGCAGGCATTGCTTCCTGGAGAGAAGACACAGCAGCATACTGGGTTAATAATACGTAGCAGAAGGGAGCCGCTGAACAGGAAGAGACTTGCTGCCTCCTCACCCTATAGACAGGACCAGAGAAGCTCACAGAGGCTCCGCAGCACATGTGGAGGCACCTCCTGTAATGACAAGCTCTGCCAGAACCTGGGCAAGGACCTGAACCACACAGCCAGTTTCTCCAGACTTGCCTCTCCACCTCAGCTCCATTGGACTGCCCAAACCATGGAGCAGATGTTCCTCCTGGGAAAATGGAATTGGGTTTCTGAAAGCTAAGCCACCAGGGAGCTAGAACTGGGAGAAGGGATACCAGAGTAAGTGTCAAAACTTTCTCAAGTCACAGCCATGGAGAAGTACTCTGGGTTTGCAGATAGGAGACTTATGGGGAGAAAAGGGGACACCACCAGGGCCTCAGAAAAAGAGAATGACTTTGCTATTCCTAGCTGCAGTACCTTTAAGGCTTACCTAGATCTCCCATCTTTGGGTTCCTTATTGCCTCCCTTGATTCTGCCAATAACATTTTCCATTTGAGTTATCTTAAGTGGGTTCCTTTGGACCCAAAGGCCCTTCATTCAGAACATGCATGTGGGTAAAGCTGAGGCCTGGACAAAATTCCAGATCACCCTTCTCAACTGCTTTGTGTCAAAGCATAGCTAAAGAACTAAATGAGGAACCAACCAAAGTACTCATTAAGCTACCATCAAGCAAAAAAGGAATCCATAAAAGGACTAAAGTTGATCTATGCTAATATGTTCAATTTTTTCTCTGGTTCAACTTAGCAAATAAAGTAACAGTTCAAAAAATCCATCACTGCACTTAAGAGAGCCTATGTGAATGAACAAAACTGGCAAAGGTGTTTTCTATCCCTAACACCTTTCCAGAGGGTAAAGAGGGAGAATGTATAACCTATTTTGTAACAACTGGAAACATGATACAACTATGGGATAACACAAAAGCCAAAGACTTTTGAAATGTATGTTATTTTCTTTTGGCTTTGCATATTAATCATGAAAACAAGAAAATCAACATAAAAACTTTGAAAAAATTCAACTGCTGACTGTTCAGTTGTGAGGTCTAGTCAGACACTCCAACCCCACCTCCACCATCAGACAGGGAGCCAAGTAATCTGCTTCCATCCAAGACTACAACTAAGCCCTGCCCAAAGAGTGCTGGTTAATGTCAATGAGTATTGATATGGGTGACAATAACTCGATAGCTTTGGATGTGTTGGCACCTCATCAGTTTTAAGTGATATTACAAATAGAAATAAAAATCACAGATTTAGCAGCAATGTCATTTTGATTCTAAGAAAGAGAGAGTAAAAGACATTGCCAAATAGATAAAGTAAGCACACCCAGGTAGAGAAATTCATGTGATGAAACTTTCAAAAAAGCTTCAGCAAATAACTCAACCAACCATCAACCACAGCAGCACAGTAACCATAGTAGAACATCCAGGTGACCAGACATCAGCTCACCCTGATAGTTGGTGAGCACATATTGCTCTTTAGCTCAAATACACAAACTACTGGCTAGAAAAGGGGGATACAAAATTGAATTGAGCCACCACTAATGAAAAACAACTGGAAAAGGATGTAGGACATGTTCTTTGTATTCTGAGGACAACATACCACTCAATGTTCCAAGAAAATGAACAATAACAAAATATGTTATTTAAACATACTCAATTACAGGATGATATTTTCATGTGGACTGTGTCTAAAATAATGTGACTAACATTTTCACATGCAGAGCAAATGTTCCTACCCAAACAAGGAAGAGCTAAACGCACAGAACCCAAAATGGGGTGTCCTATTTCAGGAGGCTAATCGAGGCCAAGATGTACGTCACCTCAGGCTGAGAGGCAGTATCCAGGGGGCAAACTCCAAACCAAGCTCATCAGGTCCCTGCCTGCAAGAGATCAGCAGGGAAGGAGCACTCCAGCTGTTAAGAACCACAGAACAGAAAATGGGAGTACAACATTACAGAGAACACGGAAAAAAATGGAAGAATTCAGCAGAGTCCCACTGCGGCCAGAGACCCTTTACAGGATGCCAACTGCCCCATGTAAGCAAGGTATACATTATGAAAACCCCTGTCCTGATGGGAAGAAAGGACGGTGACCATCTTCAAAGATGTCCCCTTAGGATACCACACTTAGCTCTTCATGGGCATATTCAGAACATTTTCAAATTTCCTCTGCGGAAAATTCCTCCAGAATCAGTTTTGGAGCCAAAAATGCTATTATCTCACTTAAGTATTGAAAATCTTGGCAGTTACCAAAACAAATCTACACCAAATAATGAATATTCACCCTCATTTACAGATGTTTAAAAGCTTGCAGGATCAGAAGAATTTCAAGATCTCCAAAATACTTTTAAGACATTGTAGCATCAATTGAATGCATCAAAAATCTTTGTACTTACTTTGTACTTACTTTGTAAGTAACCTCTTTAAAGGGAAAAAATACTTTATAAAGAATAAATTCCACTGACATTACTTAAAAATCAGCCATGATGTCTAGTATGGCAATATGTAAATCAATGGATGTGTAATTGATGTGATTCTGCAATCTGTATATGGGCTAAAAATGGGAGTTCATAACCCACTTGAAGCAAAGTGTGAAAGATGATATATCAAGAACTATGTAATGTTTTGAACAACCAACAATAAAAAAAAAAAAAAATCAGCCATGAATCAAGACAAGTAATGTATTATTTACTTATAATTAAATACCTCAAATTAATAAGTGTTCTATGTAAACAGATATTTTATCACAAACCAGAATCAAGCAAAATATAGTATTCTAACTTACTGTCACCTTACCAGTGCATTGCTATTCCAGCAACAGATGGCAGAGGGGGCAAAGCCTGATGGTTTTACTGAAGTTCAAGTTTTGAAGTCAACTCGGTCACAACTCAACTCTTACCACTTACTATGTGTGTGACCTGGACAAGTTACTAAACCTGACTTTTATGTCAGGTTTATTTAATACTAGCAGGTATATATGATATACCCTTAATAAATACCTAAATAAAAGTATTTACTATTATTTTATATTTGGCTAATAGAAAATTCTGTGTATATTAGGAGCAAATAACAAAAAGAATACAGAGGGACTGGCACCTGATTGGCCAGTATGCATCATGAACATGTGGAACCCTCTGGGTGTTCGAACAAGGAGGCAGGTTAGAGCAAACAAGCACAAAGCTGAGAGGCATGCTGTGCACACTGGCAGCACTGAGCCAGGTGCAACTGCAGAAGCTCCAATTTCACTCAGACTGGCCCATCTCAGAAGTTAGACACTTGCTTCTCTGGCCCTGTCTGTAGGTAGGAGGTCTCCTGAAAACATTCTGCTCACAACCAAAGGAAGATAAGAGAGAACTGCAAGAGAAGTGGAGATGTTATCCCAACCCCAGAATTACTGTGGGGAGTGTAAATGAAAGTGACTCTTGGGGGTCAATCACACCTGAGCTGAGAATCACAGACCTGTCTGTCCGGCACCAGGCACATCTGCACCTGCTCAGAGCATATGCTCCCTCTCCTGCCACTCCAGGGGGCTGGGTGACACACATCAGCTAGGCTTGAGTTGCTGGGATGAAGTGGCAGTCAAGAGAGGAATGGCAGGGACAAACTCCAAACCTAGCCAATCAGGTCCCTTCCTGCTAAGAGATCAGTAGGGAAAGCACCCCAGGGACCACCAGCTTCACCTGAACATGGTGCTGCAGAAGCTGCTGCGTCGCATCAAACATGCTTACAAGAACTGGTTGAAATGGAGCCCCACTCTTCTGGACTAGGTGACAACTTAGAGAAATGAGAACAACCCACTCTCTGAGCCTGTGAGGCTCTCATTCTCCCTCAGACAGGGGCCTAGAGATTTCAGTCATGGCACATGGCAACTGAGAAGCAAGATTCCTTCATCTCCTCCTACTTTAAAACAGGTGTCTCCTCTTAAGAAACAATGTGACTTCTCCATTTCGTAGCTCCTACACTAGTGAGAATGCTTTGAGAAAGCTAATTAATAGCTAAGATTTCACTCCTTCACCTACAGACCACGGATCATAATACCAGCCCTCCCCACCTCACAGGTCAGCTGTGAAGATACTGCATAATTACCCACCAAGCACCAATACTCTAAGCAGGCAACTCTGAGACAGACTTACATCAGGAGGACACTTTATAGTTTCCAAAGGGTGTTCCCATGCCAGCTTCCTTGGTCCCAGAAGAATAACAATGATATCTATAACTGTATTATTTTTCTTGTCAATTTTTCCATTAGCACAGGATAAGCCAAGAGCCACAAAACACTACCAACATTCTAGTTCAAAACAGAAAACCTATAAGTTTGTCAACAAAGGAAAGTCAAGATGTTCCTTAATCCAATGGAGATAAGAGGGAATGCTTAAAGGGACTATTCTTCTCAGGAATGCTCCGATTCTTCTCCCCTAGCATCATCAGTACGGCTGAGGGTAAGCAAAGGTAAAGGGTAGAAGGGGAAGGAAGAGCCTTTCTACTAGGAGTCTCGGCCTCCAGTAGCCGCATGTCAAAGCTTTATATAGCAGCTCTTAAAACTTCAAACAGGCCATGAAGACAGCAACTATCTATACCCATGGCAGCTCTCCCCTGTCCTGTTCATCCCTTCTTTCAACAAATATGAATTGAGCACCTACTAAGTGCTAGTCACTGCTGCCACAGGAGAAAAAGAAAACAGACACAATCTTTTCCTTCATGGGGTTTAAAAGTTCAGGGTGGGGTGCACAAATAGAAGCCACAAATTTACTAAACACAGCATCACAACAGAGGTGGGAATGCTCAATGGGCACGCAACTGTCTGAGCACCCAGCCAGCGCTGCTCCCTGTAAGTGTGCCAAATGGGGATTAAGCACACGCTGGGCTCTCCCAGCTGCAACAGAAGCCACACCACCAATCAGTGAGGGGCCAAGGACAGGAGGAGGGTGTAATTACCCACCACGCACCAACACTCTAGGCAGGCAAAAACACGCTGTCTTCCAGCTGTTTGTGTATCATTAGAAAAGAAATTAAGATGTCATTAGGAAGAAATTAAATAATGCACATGTTGTCGTGACAGCAAAGACGCAGGCTGCCAGATCCTGCTCTGAGTGAGATTGCCCACATGCAGCCCCTTTCCTGAGATCAGCTCTGGGGAGACTTAAGAAGAGACCCTGCCTTACCAGTGTTCTTCCCCTTGTAGAAGATCTTCATGTCCATTAGCCCTGTGAGCTGGCTTGCCAGGATCTCCATTTGGGACCCACTGTATTTGGAAGCTCGGAATATGCTGAGCTGTGACCAGTCATCCCAGTAGATTTCATTCTAGAATAAAAACCTTTGTCTGTTAGTCCAGCTTTTTTTTTTTTAAATAGTGGGAATTGAACTCAGGGGCACTCGACCACTGAGCCACATCCCCAGCCGTATTTTTATTTTATTTAGAGACAGGGTCTCACTGAGTTGCTTAGCACCTTGCTTTTTGCTGAGGCTGGGTTTGAACTGGCGATCCTCCTGCCTCAGCCTCCAGAGCCACTGGGATTATACGCAAGTGCCACCACACTAGCTCTTTGGTATTTATTCTGAAGCCTCTAAAAGGACAGGAGCTCCCCTACCCAAGAGACAACTATCAGTTATTGTCTGAATGACTAATATGATCAAAATTCCACTTGAATGTAAGCATCAGTGGTTTTATCCAAACATTACCAAATCCACATGAAGTAGCTACACAAAAGAAACTATCAGAGAAGCATTCAAGTTTGACCAAGGTTTGAAGCAGTTCAAAACCTGCTTCCCAAGGATCGAGAGAACTGTTCTGTTCTCTGAATGAAAACATACAACATGTGGTATGTAGCTTATCTCTCTCAGTAGGGAATAAAGTGAGCAAACCTCACAAGATACAAAGAAACAGAACCAAACTGAGGCTCTTGGCACTGGAGGCAAGTTCAGAACAGTCTTAAGAAATAACCTTAACTCTTAACCTTTTGAATTGTGAGTAGTGGTAGTGGCCAGGACTCCAGCACCTGTATCTGGTATAGGCTGAAGTGAATTATCTCAAATTTAGAAAAGAGCAGATTTCCTAAGAGTCAGACAACATTTCTGTGAGACCCCAAAAGTCCCCGGCTTTGGACCTTAGTATGCTCTTTACCTACTCTGCCAGACTGCCTGATGGTGGGACAAATAAGGACTCACCTTGAAGACAGCAATGGCATAGGGGTGCGGGAGGTTGTCCAGAATGACCGAGCGTTGCTGGCCACTAAAAGTGATCCGTTCAATACAGTCCAGGTAGGCATCTGTCCAGTAGATCCACTGGTCATCCACAGAGATGCCGTTGGGCCACTTGACGTCCTCTGAAACAAGACGATGAGCAGCAGAGCCATCCATGTTGCTCCGATAAATCCCAGGCTTCAGGTCCCCCCAGTCGGTCCAGAACATGACCCTGGTCAAAATGGGGATAAACCACATACCTCGTCAAAATGGGAGAAAGAGGAGTTCAAATACTCCTCTCCATATAGGAAAGAGATCTCTCTAGAACAATCATTATTTTAGTTATCAGTAATCCTAATATTTGAAACCACTTAATTCCTTGACTCAGAAATTCCTCTACTAAAATTCACCTATAGTCAAATTAGGCAAAGATAATGTACAAAGAAATGTACAGATATGTATATTAATCTAAATGTTAATTGGTATAGGAACTGATATATAATAGTACATACCACAGAACACTATGAAACCTGGAAATCTATGTGTGTTCAAATGAAACTATCTTTAAAACAGATACTTTTTAAAAGTTACAAAGTCGTAAACACACTGATTCAATTTGGTGCGTGAATGTAGGGGGGAACCTGTGACTTAAGGATAAGGTTTGTACATGGGTAAAAATGATTTTAAACAATACATAAGAAATTACTAAAAATCACCACCCCTAGGATGTATGAGGGTAAAAGGTTAAGAAGAACAGAGAAACTGGGCATGGTGTTGCATATCTACAATCCCAGCTGATGCAGAGAAGGCTGAGGCAAAAGAACTGTAAGTTCAAGGCCAACTCTGGAAATTTAGTGAGACTTTGTCTAAAAACACAATTTTTTAAAAAATGATTGGAGATATAGCTGTAGCTCAGTGGTAGGGAGCGAGTGGGGTCAATCCCCAATATACAAGAAAAGAAAAAAAAAAAAGAAGAGGAGGAGGAAAACAAATACCAAATACTTTTGTTTCATACACTTTTGTTCTCTTTTAATATTTTAACCAAGTACATAGATTATTTTAAGAACCTTTCTTTAAAAAAAAATAGTACTGGGCTGGGGATGTGCCTCAGGTGGTAGCGCGCTCGCCTGGCATGCTTGCGGCCTGGGTTCGATCCTCAGCACCACATACAAACAAAGATGCTGTGTCTGCTGAAAACTAAAAAATAAATGTTAAAAAATTCTCTCTCTCTCTCTCTCTTTAAAAAAAAATAGTACTAATTTTGATCATAAATACTAGCAGACATGAAAGGACTTTGCATTCCCTAAACACAATACTACTTTTTTTAAATAATTATTTTATTGTATGCATTTATTTATTTATCTTTCTGTGGTGCTGAGGATTACACCCAGTGCCTCACACATGCTAGGCAAGTGCTCTGCTACTAAGCTACAGTCCCAGCCGAGTACATACTAATTTTGAGTAAGAAAACCTATATGTGCTGGGTGTGAGGGGAGGCAGGGGAAAGATGGATTGAATTAAATATTTGTGCCATGCATGAAACTGAAGATAAAACAATCCTTACAATACATGAGAGGGCCTTTCGTGTCTGGAGAGTCCCTTTCACCATTACTTTTACTGAAAAAAACACCTTACAGATGTGAGACATTTGGATGCCTCCAGAGTCTGGTACTTGCTAATGAAAAGCAAATGGAGTTACCTGGCCTTGATGACTAAGGTGTGGTTTCAAAATTCTCGGTTAATAGGTTATTTCTACCATATTCATGAGAAGCAGAGTTTTGCCCAGAAGTTTACATTTCTATAAGAACCTACTGTTGCAGCATTGGACACAATGCTGACTTTCTTTTGAGGACACACTTACCCCTCTTGAGGCACTAGGACCAGAGCCCTAGGCCGATCCAACACAGAGGAATTGACGATTGTAAGTCGGAAGTCACCATCTGAATTAGCTACCTGACGAAAAGAGGAGGAAAAGAAAAGGCCAGAATGGATCTGAGCTCCTTAAAAGACCCACATTGAGGGGGTGAGGGGGTTGTGGCTCAGTGGTAGAGTGTTGGGGTCTAGCGTGTGCAGGGCGCTGAGTGCGAACCTCAGCACCACATAAAAATAAAATAAAGGTATTGTGTCCAACTACAACTAAAACAAAATATTAAAAAAAAAAAAGACTCACATTGCCAAAGTCCTCTATCAGCCCCTGCCTACAGAGGCACCTCCCCCAGCCCATCCCCCACACATCTGCATGATTCCAGTTCCAGACCATCTGGAAACCTGCCTTCATTTCCAGTCAGAATGAGCTGATCCCTCCTCAGGCTCTTGTGCCAATTTTCACATAGTCTGAGAACAGTCGGAACTATGTGTGCACTTCCTACCACACAATGATCTGCAGAGTTAAGTGGTCACCCTTGCTTTACCCTTTGGTATCCACAGAGCTGGTTCAAAATCCAAGGATGCACAAGTCTCTTATATAATATTGTAAAGCATTTGCCTGTAACCTACACACATCCTCCTATATACTATAAATCCTCTCCAGACTATTTATAATACCTAATACAATGTAAATCCTATGTAAATAGTTGTTATAGTGTTGTTTAGAGAATCATGACAAGAAAAAAGGTCTGTCCATGTTCAGTACAGTTTCGTTTTGGTTTCTGAACATTTTTAATCCACTGATGTGAAACCCACAGATATGGAGGACTTGTCTTAATCTTGTGTTATTTATTTAACACACCCATGTTACTCCACCCTCCACCAATGGCCCAATACAGCCCATTCTCTACATAGCAGCCTTGCAACGAAAAGTCCAAGAACAAGCCCCACGTTCTCCCTCTTCCACTCCAGCTGCGCAGTCCCCACGATCCTCGAGTCTGATATATACTCACTACTCTGCTCCCTCCATTCTCATTGCAGGCCTGCCTTCCCGACTACTTGCTCTAAACACACAGTAATTTTCCTTCAAAACAGCTCTGGGTTGACCTCCCTTCCTAACTTTTCTAACCCACCTCATCCAAGAGCTTGTGAACTCATCCTATACCACTTTGCACAAACAGTATTTGAGTTAAGAAGGAGTCACCCAACAAGCCTATGAAAGGGCAGATGCATTTTTCTAGCACCTCACAAAGTTCTGGCAACACATAAGTAAATAAAGGACAGAAACAGCAATAACAAAACCACTAAGGCAGCACTTGGTAGATACCAGGCACCCTGCATCTTGTTTACTTCTGTCAGCATCCCTATGAGGGGCACACTGCAACCAGCAGGCTGAGCTCAGATGCCACAGCCTCAGGAGGCCTCCGACCTGTCTGCCTTTCCTAATGCTCCACTCCCCAACCATGTAATCACACCACCTGCACTTAAGTTCTTTGCAGCACTCATCACAACAGAACTGGTTTCTTTATTTCTTTATCATTTTGTCCCTATTGAAACTTAAGGTCTATCGGAACAGGAACTTGCACAAGGTCTTCTTGCCCACTGCGGCATCATTAGAGCCTAAGATCAGAGCTATCACATATCATGCACCAAAGCACTTGTCAAATGGCTGAGTGAATAAATCAATCTTCATTTGACACATGAAGAGACGGAAGCTACAGAAGCTGAGTTCCTTGCACCATATCATTTAGCTGGTATGGTAAAGCTTGAACTCGGAGCTCCTCAAGTGTTTCTTTGGACCTGCAACCTCACTTGGCTCTGCGCCTCCCTGCTTCTACTATACTTCCCACTTTGAAGACCCGCATGCTTTACTTCCATGTAGCACCAGTACAAAAAGCTGCTGAGGCAGTGTCCCTGGCCTCAGCACTACCTTCAGGAATTGGGTGGACCTATATTCCTCAACCCAATGTTTTTGGTGATGTATAAGTCATTTATTACCCTCATGTTGCCTTGCACATGTAAGATTGAATACGTTTTTGGGGTAGCTAAATTATAGACAGTAATATCTGTATTATTATTATAGATAATAATGATGATGATGTCACTGTCATTATTACTCTAGCATTATTACTGGACTGTTACCAATATGGCATCATTATCATTATTGTTATTATATTATGCTTCTGTTAGCCAAAGTATAAACTTTTAGTTATCTTAATGACGTTATCTCTGATGACATCAGACACCACGTTCTCACCTGGGACTTTTATGGCAGCGAGTAATCATTCTGGGACCAACCCTCCCCCTCCTTTCCCCTTCTCCTAAGGGCTCAGCCTTTCCATTCTTTGGAAATTCTTAGAAAATTGCCAGAGTAATTTAACACACTGGCTCCCACCCCTGTGTCAAATCTGGATCAAAGCCCAGGTGCTCCCCTCCTCATTTAATTAAGAAAAACATGGGGATACACATACCTCAATCTTCTTGAAGCCAGCATCCACCCAGTAAAGTAACTGGCTGAGAGGTTCAAAGGCCAAAGCTTCCACTGTCTCCAGGCCAGAATCGATGATCACTTCTTGCCCTGTACTCCCATTCAAACAGAGGCGCTAGAGAGAGAAAAACAGCAGTAAATGCTGTGAAATGTTCAGATGATCTTCTGCCAAATCAGTCTCATGGACAGTAACCCTTTATTCAGCTGGCTGGATTGCCAAGGGATGAGATGTTTTATACTGTTAAATTTTCCAGACACATGAAGCTGAGTTTTAATAAGGGCATTTCCAAAATGTATTATGGTTTCCTGTTTTAAACAAAACAATGAACAGAATTTAATCCTTTATATTACTCTGCATTAGCGTCATGAACACTGGTTACTAAATTATGTGCTATATCACATTAATGAGGTCAGAGATTACTCAGATGCATGTGTCTGCTTTTAAAACTAATGAAACCAAACTGCTGCTATTTCTGAGTTCCTGTATCTGCCTTCACAGCTGCTCTTCCCTTGTGAAGCTCTTAGCCATCAGGTGCTATCCTTGGGACAGCTATACTCACGGTCACCCCGTTCCTCACCCCCAAGATACCCAGACACTGTATAATTTCTGTTGGGTTAAGAATATAGGTAAAAGTTTTGGGAGTTGTGTTTCTAAAATGATTATGTAGACAATGAATAAAGATACTCTCTCTCCTTTAAAATGCATGGATTTGGGCCGCGGGGAGAGCTCAGTAATAGACAGCTTGCCTAGCATGTATGAGGATGAAATCTGATCCCCAGCTTTGCAACCCCCAGAAGCAGACCAATGGCTGACTCACCTGGATGATATCCAAGGCCAGGTCAGACCAATATAAGCAGTTTCGTTCATAGTCAAAATCCAGGGCCACAGCTGCCCGAAGCCCACTGAGAGGCAACTGCTCTGTGGCTCCAGAGGCAAGGTCATAGCGGTGGATGGACTTCCGCATGGCGTACAGGATGAATTCGTTCTCCTCTGCCAGATACACAAGCAACAGAGAGTGGACCTGGGGGATGCTGAAGAGCTCCTAGCTGATCTGACCTTTTTTTTTTTTTTTTTTTAATACACAAACTTCAACACCACTGTTACATGGTCTAGATCAACTGAAAAAAACTAGGAATCCAAACCTGGAAGGCATATCATGGATGATATTTCTGCCTTGAGCAGGTTATTTGAATGCCAGTGAATCTGTTTCTTCATCTGCAAATATTTTACCCGTTAGATGTTTTTTTTTTTTTTAAATCTAGATACCCCAGTATACTTGCTTCAGTATCCACACTTTGCATTCCACCTCTAAGTCTTCAGAGTCACACTTGCCAATATCAATGAGACCAATCACCATGTTCTCTCTCTTTCTGACTGTCCCATAGCACCACACAATAACTTGGATCTGGAGTGTACCCAAAGACCCATGAGTTAAGGGCTTGGTCTTCAGCTTGATGCTGTTGGAAAGTTATGGAACCTTTAAGAAGTGGGGCCTCACAGGTTTTAGGTCACTGGGAGTGTGACCTTTATAAGAGAACAGTGGGACCCCAGCTCCTCCTGCTGCTGCTCTTTTGGTTCCTGGCCACCATTCATGGACTGACACCTCTAAAATTGTGAGCTAAAATAAACCTTTCCCAGCTGGTTATCGTGAAGGAAACCTGAATAACCACATCATAATCTCATTAACCAGACACCATTAGTCATTGAAGACTTGGAACTAACTGTGTCAGCTTTTCATCTCTATGACCAAAATACCTACAAGAACAACTTAGGGAAGGAAAGTTTATTTTGAGTTCATGGATTCAGAGGTTCAGTCCATGGTTGAGTGGTTCCATTGTCCTGGGCCCAAGCTGAGGCAGAACATCATGGCAGAAGGGCATGGTGGAGAAAAGCTGTCAGCTCATGGCAGCTGGGAAACAGCAAAAGCAAGTGCCAGGGGCAAAATATAAAACCCCAAAGGCACCCTCCCAGGGAGCCTCTCCTCCAGCCACACACTACCTGCTTACAGTTACCACCCATTATGATTTTCAGATTATGAATCCATCAAACAGATTAATCCACTGAGTAGGTTACAGCTCTCAAATCTAACCGTTTCACCTCTGAACATCCTTGCATTGTCTTACATGAGCTTTTAGAGGCTACCTCACATCCAGACCATAACACTAAGTTTTCTAACCAGTTCGTTCATTCATATTGTTCACAATGACATGTGGCAATCATACCAACTTGACAGATTTTCAAAATAATAATACAATTGCTCTGGACTATTTACAAAATATTTTGCAGTATAATCATCACAAAGATTTTCTTTCTGCTCAAGAAACATGCAATGTACTTGCCACATGCTAGGCACTGCTTAATCCTCCCAAAAACTGCATGATAGAAGAGCTATCATGAACCCAGTTTTACAAATGAGAAAACTGCGACCAGAGACGCTAAGTTACTTGTCTAACACCATACAACTAGTAAGTGGCAGAACCAAGATCTGAACCCAGGTATTCATAGTCTATATTTTAAAACGTGACTACTATGCTGCCTCTTTTTATGTAGATACTAATGAGCTACATAAAGAGAACAGTGGGACCCCAGCTCCTCCTTCTGCTACTCTTTTGTATTTTGTGTGTGTGTATACATGCGCACATGCACACACTAAGGATCAAAGCCAGGGCCTTGCAGGTGCTAAGAACAAGTTCTACCACTGAGCTACATCCTCAGGTTGCCACTTTTTAAGACACAGAAATAGAGGCCCATGCGGCTGAAGAGATTTATTTAAGTCAGACAATCAGTAACAGGAAAACCTAGCACTCTTTCTTTTCCACCTAGGAAACAGCGTGGAAGACATCCAGGCTCTTCCACAGGAGTGGAGAGAAGCAAAACCTCAGCATCCCTGTCGACAGTCTCTATGTTGGAGCTTCGGTCAGCCCAACCCATGGAGGTGCGTGGAGGGCAGTGCACCCAGCAAGAGGACAGAAGCTTCACACCCCACCACCTCACCCAGCACACTCTTCCTTATTGCTGTTTACCTGCACTCTTTGTAAAATCCTTTGTAATAAATGAATAAATGTGAGCACCCAACCCAGAGAAGTTGGAGAAAACAAACCTCACAGGCAAAACCCAGAGGAGTGCCACAATGGCACCCAGAGAGGGATTAGACAAAGGAGGATTAGGAGAAGCCAGGCTTAAGGATGATGTTGAGCTGCTATTTTTTGAGTCTGTCCCTATATTTGGATATTTGTTAACGTGAGTCATCTCCCCAGAGTCTAACAGTAAAAAGTTCTTTAAAAATGAAGAAGAAAAAATAAGCATCCATTTGACAGCGTGGTGCACGTGGAACCAAGATGTGACTCCCAGTGCTGCATGCCTGGATTAGCCCCCTCTGGACTCCATCAGGAGAAACAATACCTCAAAAAGTGAATCCACCTACAGTTTCTAATAGGTAAGTATGCCTTCTTTTCTTTGGGGCTCACTTTACTTCAAAAGCTTCTAAGCTATCAAATGATAATCAAATGCCTCCTTTCAGTTGTCCCTGTAGTTCCCATGGTACTTTGTTTCTTCCAAGAAACAAAGAAGAGCCCAAGTCCAGAAAAACCTGCTTCAGGATTAGACAGTGAGCAGCATGCAGTACTTCAGTGTATAATGCCTAATCTAGAAAAGGAACAGAATGCTTGGCCGGTGCTGGCCATATGTAAGCACAGCCTGGAAATGTGTGTTGTTAAGAGTAATCAAAAGGAAGAAAAATTACTGCATTATAAAAATCCTTCCAGATGCCCAGACTACCTCATCTTTGCAAAATGTTCTGGTTCCCATTAGCCTTATGAAAACATCTTTTTCTTTCTGGGTACTTCCCTGCCTTCTATTTCCTTTCTTTTTTAGCCTTCTTCTGCTTCTTTGACATTTAGGAGGTGGTTTATACTGAAATGAGACTTTTGTACTTCATTCCTTATTCTATCCTCTCCTATCAAAAGAGAAAATAGCTTTCCTGCCAGTTTTGATGGCTTTATACAAACTGTTTTGTCCCTTGCTGAATTATCTTTGGAAATATTTATTACAAAAGTATGTACTCTAGGCCCTTTAGAGCCATCACTCAAAGCCTCCTCACCAAGTCCTCATCAATAACAGCACTTGTGATGGGAATATCTGAATATTATCTGCTCATTTGTAGGAATCTGCTGAAGCAGTGGTTCTTTTTTAAGTCTCCACGGTGAGATATGTTAATTACTCTGGTAGTGATGGAAGATTAAATTAAAGGACTAATGAGCTTAGCATGAAAAACACCAGGGCAAACAGGCAACAGGGCGCAGGAGAGGCTGCTCTGCCCTACACACTGCTTTCATGACTCGTTTGGCACCTGTGGCTGTTCCACTGGATACCACCACGCTATGGAAGTCAGCTCATCCTCTGCCCTCACCGAGCAGAGTGAGCAAGAGCAGGGCTCACAGGGAAGAAGGAAGATCTGAATGAATAAGAAGCACAGTGAAGAAAGAAGAGAGGCCATGAGGTTAACTCTTTTTTAAGGTATTATAATTTCATGTCTGTGTAACAAATATCCATGTTATATTCCCAGAAAATCAATCTGAAACACATTTTAGAAAACAGTACACCTTTATGGCATGTGTAATCATCCCAAAGAAGTCTTCCAAAATTAGTAGGAATAATGATCTTCTGAATAATAGGAATGCCATTTGGGTGATGTCCAATGAAAGGAATAGACCCAAGAATTTGAATTTTAACTCTGTCACTTACTGGATATGTGACCTTGGGTAAGTTATCTTATCCTCTCTTCTGGACATGCTTGCTTTTTCATAGATATGTACATATTAAGTGAAGCTGATAATATGTGCTTCATTTGGGTGTTAAAAGGATTAAACTGCCTATGCATGGAAAAGTACATTAAAATCTGCAAAATTCCATTAATATATTAGCTATAATTATTACAAAATTAAGACAAACCACTAAGTTACCTCCTATGAAGCCATAGGTGTCTTTAAATTCAACGGCAACAACAGATGAAGAACACAAAAGCCTGTGGGCACCCTTGGCCCCCACCCAGGGCCTAGCACACAACAGTCACCAAACACACACTTTTCAATGAACACAGGGATTTCCTTCAAAAAACTGAGCCCATACTAAATATTTTCCATTCCTTTAAAGATGCAAGACTATATATAAATTTAGTTTGGATGCCAATCTTAAGAGGAAAAGGGAACTCTGATGCTTGTAATTTCGTTTATTTTTTCTCCACTGAGTTAGAAGAGCCACAAGCCTGACTGAGGTAAGATCCAGATAAGACTTCAATGATATTTCAAGAAGCCATAGAGAAGAAATTGCCTCTCACCTGCCAGGGGACAAGGAACCAGCTCTCCTTCCAGTCGTGCTTCAACGTCTCCTCCACTGCAAGTGTCCCCAGAAATCTTCCGGTAGCTGTCAACCCCACATGCACACACAAAGTAAGAGGTCAGAAACACCAAAGATCAGTCATGGAGGGACCCCCAACTGGGAACACAATTCCCACCATGGACAACAGATTCCACCCACACGTTTCCCTACAGCACGAGGAGGAAGGTGTTTGGAGATTCTAGGTCAGTTCTGCTCATAATTGACTTAACAGTCCCAGGCCATTTAGTGCACTGCTCTGGGCAAAACATTTAGACATATCTTGTCAATGGACTCCTCTCAAGATGTGTCCTTGTTGACATTTATGACTTTTATGTTGCAGAAAAGCTTACGAACTTGCAAGTGTTTTCTCTCTGGGAACAGGAGAGTCTGCAGGCACCACCATTTTAAACCTGCCCAGCTATTTACAATCTGATAAATTAAAGTTCTACAATGTAGAAAGTGAAAGGAGCCCAGGTGGTCCTGGATTCTCACCCTCTGTGCAGACCCTGTGTGCACCTCACTTGGCAACCTGTGTGATACATACCCTCTTGTTCTCCGATAGGTAGAGCCCACAAGACAAGGCACAGGTGGGGAGTAGGACTTTCCAGAGAACTCTGGGTCTGGAACACACACTTCTAGGGACAAATCTTCACTCATCTTGAAGCCAAAGTCACTGAAAGGCAATTGGGTTTAGTTCAGGCCACCACTTTACAAACTTCAGGCACTTCAGTTTCAACCCTGCTCCTTTTACCACACCATCACTTGTATTATGGTTATTTGACATGCCACTTTAAAGAATACTCATTTTACACTAAAATACATCTGCAAAAGACAATTTTTATCCAAACCAGAATTGGAAAAACACTATTACATGCCATAAACAGAAAAAAACAATACAAATCCTGATACTCCAAACCAAATAATATTAAATTTTAAGCAGATCCAGTTCCCTAACTGGAGTCCAAAGATTCTAGTTGTGCCTTTTCTTCTTGGCTAAAAGGGATTAACAAAAGTTAAAGAATTACTAGCATTCAGTGAAACTTTCTCTTGACCTAACCAGAAGAATTAAAAGAAAAGTTTAAAAAGAATTTTATAAAACAAAATTATTTTGACTAAAACCTCAATGCCACTGAAGACCCTGCCCATATACTGTCTAAACCACCTGGGCTGCTACACTTTGGGATATAATAGCTGGCTTCAGAAGATCTCCGACAATCTTGGGGTCACATGGACCAAGCCTCCCTGCTCCATGGGCAGCACCTGTGAGTCAGCTCTGCCCTCACTGCTGCTCTGAGCTACATCTGACAACTCTAGAGTCAGGCAGCAATTTTCTAAGCCTCACCCAAGCTGTCAATTCTGTAACTCAAAGGGATCGTCCACATTTATATGCTCTGCTTGAAAAGCTTCACTTACTATATTTAATTCAATAAATATGAATTAAATGCTTATATTATGAAAAGTACAACCAAACACAGGGCAAAGTCGTTTGTATTACATAATCCACATTTAGCAATTTGTAGAAAATTGTTCCAAAGGCGACAAGTTCTATTATTCAATCAAACAGGTCTAATTCGTTCAATCAGTTCCTACCAAAAGGCTATTTTACATCTTTTTAGGGACTGGATGAAGTATTAACTAATTACTTATTTGCCTCCAAATCAAGGTGCCCAATTCTTAGGCAGCTTTGTGTGGCTGCAGTCTCAACTTGGTGGCTGTGAAAGCACTTTAGAGGGCCACGCCCAGCTTCCTCCCTCCCCCAAAAGAATGGAAGAAAGCAAAAGGCATGGCACATTTAAATATTGTCCCATAAAGCTTCTATTTTAATGATGTGCGTGTGTGTGTGCGCGCACGCGCAAGTGCACGCACACATACATGAGGTACAGGGTCATAATACAAAATGTACTGCTTACTAGGAGGCACATCAAGAATTTTAAAGTCACATGTCTTGGCCGTGTGAAGAAACATAAAGACATAAAATAAACTACCCCCTGAAAGCAGTAAATGAATGGGCTGAAAACTGGGCTTCTCAGTGGGGTCTGAAAGGACTATCAGAATTAGCCTTTTAAATTCAGTTATCAATCAGTGGCTGAGCTCACAAGCAGATATCTCAGCTTGCTTGTTCTCATCTCATCTCCTGCTGTCCATCTTGAGACTGTTCCCTTTTCAGTGCCACAGTCCTATCCCATCAAACACTTCAAGAGCTATGCTGCCAAGCTGGCCCCTTCCTAGCAGCAAACAGAGACAGAGCACAACCTGACATAAAAGCCTGTCATCATTTTCCTAGTGCCCTCAGTCCCTCGTTCTCACAGGGCCTGCAGCCTAACTCGATGAGGAGCAGAGCAGGTAGTTATTCTGGTCTATAATAAAAACACAAAACAGGGATAAGCACTCAGCAGGTTCCAGCAAGCCAGATAGGAAAGGCATGGTAGACCAGCAGGGGCCCAGCCAGTCTCCCAGGAAGGCACACCAAGTTCTACTTGTTTACATTTTTGTTTGGCAGGGGGTAGGCAGAGAAAGATGATCTTAACATTTGGTTTTTGTTTTTAAGTATAATAGCAGTCAAGGAAGAACCCTAAAGAGTTGTTGGATTTTCTTATGCATTTTTATTTAGTCTTAATTTTATTTTGAAGTAAAGTATCCCCCTCAGTACTACAGGGAGACTGGTTCCAAGATCCTCAGGAGATACCAAGTTCTGAGAATACTCAAGCATCTGTGCTGTGACCTTGGCAGTAGGCACTGAAGGCAATGTCCTGCATGTTCTAAGTCTTGCTGCTCTGAGGCCAGATATGCAGATAAGTAGCATCATTTCACCTGACAGCCTGACAGAACTACAGTTCCCCAGAACTCCTGAGGCAGAATTTGCATTTTAATAAGACCCCAGGTGATTCACACCTACAAGTTTCAGAGCATGGTCTAAAAGTGGTCAGACACAGGGGGCTGTTTTTTAATAAAGTTTTATTGAATCATAGATATACCCACTGCTTTCTTTTATCCATGCTGTGCATAACTGAGTAGCTGCAACTGAGACCATAGACTTCATGTGACCTAGAAAGCCTAAAACATTTATATAGATCCCTCTTCTAACCTCTAATCTAGAACCCATTACAGGGTTTTGGCTTTAATTAGATAAGTGTGGCACTGTCCCAAACAAAACTTAGCTCTTTGGTGCCCCAGCAAACACTGAAATGTAAGCTCTGAATATGTTTAAGACAAAGTTCTATTGATACCCCTACAACACTTTCCTGCTGAAGACAGACTGTTGGGGAGATCAGAAATCCTGTCCACTCAATTGCTAGAATCATCTTCCTATAGTTAAGCATTTGTTTTAACCAACTCACCTCAGAAGTCATCAAGGCCCTTCCTGCTTACGGAATGAGGTCCATTCCCTTCAGGGCCTCCACTCCTACTGCTTCTGTCATTTTCTACTTTGTCTCTACTCCCTGCCTCTGCTGCAGTCACCCAACGAGTTGCTCAAACTAAACCACCACCACCATTCCTGCCCCATACTGTCCACTGTTGCATGGTCTTAGAGTTCCCTGGACACATACCCAGATGTCTCCTTAAAGACCATTTACACCAGGGCTTCCTCTAAAGATTTCCCGATTCCCCAACTGCAAATCACAGCTCTCCCCTTCCTTTCAAAGATCACAATAGAATGAAAAGAGTCACCTCTTCCTCCTTCTACTTTTAATGTTTCTAGGAGTGCCTTGGATATTTTTCTCTAGCAATAATAAATGAATCTCATATATATATATATATATATATATATATTTTTTTAACATTTTAGATGAGGAAATAAATCCCTGTGGGATAGGGGTCCTAAGAAAAACAAGTTACCTATAATGAAACCTGCAGCTTTTCCCATTTTGGGACACCCTCCTAGAAACAAATCCCAGGGCTCTGAATTTCTGAATAAATGAGTTCTCTGGGTTAAAATGCCTCTGCTGCCTTACAAGGCCTACAGAATTAAGGAGGACAACTTATGTGTAAAGTGCCTAGCATAGTTCTGGGCACATAAAAGATGCTTACTAAATATTTCCTTCCTTCTATTCCTGTCCTCAGGGGATGGGACCATGTCTGTTGAGTGAAAAAAATACAATTTGATGCCCTGAATTGAATAACGAACCATTCATAGTCCTGCCGGGTGCAGGAGCAGTTGGACACAACCACGGGTCTGTCGAAGTCTTCTCCATTAAAGCATGTCGCATGGGGGGTCCTCCGTTTGAAAACAGTCTTGTGCCCTAGCAAACACTCATTCCCCCGCTCATCCGACGGTGACCACAGTTTGTAGTCATTCTCTGTGCAGGGAACCCCTGAAGAAAAGAAAGCACTGAGCATCAGAGCCAAGCCCATGTAGGATTTCCTGTCTCGCCACCCACCTCAGCACTGTCCCCCACTTCCTGTGCATCCTGTTGCCATCCAACAGGTACAAAGCTTGGGCGCCATCCCGAGCCTCTAATGGGCTCATGCTGAAGCTGGGCAGCACCCACACAAATGAAAACGATGTAGCTGGAAACACAAACACTCATCTGAGGAAACTGGGGAGAAGAAGTCCCTTTTTAGCACCAAACTTCTGAATTAAGATAGTCATCAGTTTCCTTTAAAAATAGGTACACAAGGGCATTTCTCTCCTAGGAAACTAGAGGGCAGGCTGAGAGCTCAGTGATGATGTCATTCGGAGTTACTATTCCCTGCCTGCTTCCTCTTGTGGCACAGGCACACCTGAAGTAGGGCCCAAGAGCACTGCAGACAATGCTTGCCCTACTTGGAAGTGCAGTATATCTGTGGAAAATGCTGAGGAGTGGTGAGACAACCTGTATAGTCACCCCACCTGCCCATATCCACTGAGAATGTCAGCAGGGTGATTCCTGCAGGAATTCCAAAGCATGCCTATGTCTATTCTGGTAACCTGCATCTTTTTTCCAAGTGTCTTTGTTCAGATTAAATTCTACGTAAAGTAGATTCACAATTGTCAATTCAATGCCATTCAAAGAGTAAAGACTGAGTAAAACCCTACTGCCTATGAGGCAATGAGGCCACCCAGTAGGAATAAAACATACACAGAACATGCGCTTGCTTTTAAGGGTCTTATGAGCTAATTGATGGAAGACGGCACATGGGGAATAACAAACACAAATTCACAATTCCAGGCACGCCCAACACTTATTTCTGGGCATAGAAAAGAGGGGAGGTGTCTTCTGGTTGAGATACCAGTACCAAGTGTGTTGGATTCTGAGACATGAAAGGGGTTTCTACTAGCAGAGGTTAAATGGGTGGAAGTGAAATGACACCAGGAACTCTGTGTAGCTGGAATAATGTTGGCCATAGCAGGGAAGAAGAAAAAAGCAGAACATGGGGAGTGTGAGGGGATGCTGACAAGCTTCCCTCCTCCTTGCTTACTTACCTGTCCTGTATCTACACTAGCAGATCATGACTGGGCTCTGGACAGCTTTGAGAGGACCCTGCGTCACTGAGCACTCTGCCTTCCACAGTGAAGCACACTCACTGGGTACATCACCTTGGAACTGCTGATTTGGAAAATGTTTTTTTTTATTCATTCATTCATTCATCCATCCATCCATCCACATATTCAAGAGCCAAATATTCAGATCCATTGTGTGCCAGGACTGTACAATGTAACCACATTATAAAGAATACACAATCCTATTAAGGATTGAGTAAGCCTTCATATTACCTCCCTGTGTTTTTCTCTGACTTAAAGATGCCCATTTCCCCCAATGAATCACAAACTCTTCTGAGGATGTAGTTCCCAAGCTGATGCTTTGCACACATCAGGAAGTCAATCAACATGTTGGACAAAGAGCCCAGGAGGCTACAGCTTACCCAAGGCATCGGTGGCATTGACCTGGAGGATAAGCCAGCTGTGGACATTCTCCTTGTTGGAGCCAAAGATGGTGAAGACAGTGCTCTTCTCCCCGGGTTCCGTGAGGAGCCCATACACAAACACGGGCTTCTCAGAGAAAATGAACGTCTTCCAGGTCTCTCCTTCATTTGTACTATATCTGCCCAATGCAAATAAAAGGAATGATACAGTTACAGTCTCAACCATCAGAGCTTGGTTTCCACATCACATCGCCAGGAGATCTTGGGAAATGTCTGCTCCTGGTTACTATGGAGCAGTAATGTTTGTGTCAGAAAGCAAGGAAGCCTGAGCTAATGCAATCACCTCAAGAGGACACAGTAACCAGCTGATGGGGTCCCAAATGGCCAAATTTAGAGTAAACTGAACATAAAAAAACAAAGAATAGTAACAGATTATGTACTAAATGAAAATAGGATATGGACCTCTACTGATTCTAAAAGAAAGAGAAGCAAGGAAAAAATTTATATTAGAACACTACCTAATAAGCATTAACAACTAGAATTTTAAAAATTATAATTTTATAACACCACCGTAATAATTGAATCAGACAAGAACAATCACTGGACGCTAAAACCACTGGATGAAAGTTTTGGGGACCAAGATGTTTGCATGGTATAAAGACATCAACCCACCGACCAATCATTCACCACACAGGGGAACCTGTAATTTTTGCAATGGATGACGAGTCAAAGCTTAACCAATCTTAGCATCACCAATACTAGGACAACCTGACATTATGTGTCCCCTAAGTAAAATACTGAGAATGGTACATCATCTCAGCACTCTTCTATACAATTGGACAAATCTAGAATGTGAGGCATTCTACGTGATGACTGCTCCAGATTCCTCAAAGGAAAAAAAAATCAAGGTCAAGAAAACTAAACAAACCAAAGGAGGCAAAAAACCTGTTATAGATTAAAAGAGACTAATGAGATATAACAACCAAATGCAATGTGTAGACACATTTGCAATGTGCAAATCCAGTTCTGGATTGACTGAATCCTGGATTGAGGGAAAATTTTCAAAAACCACACATCAACAACAACATGGGTCAACTGAGAAAATATTGATATAGCTTGTAATAATACTAATAGGCTTTGTCTTAGTATTCTTAGGTGCAATATGAGCAGTGTCAGTAGATAGGAAAATACTCATATTTATTGGAGAAACGGGTTTTAAGTACATATTTAGCAGTGAAGTGGCATGAGTCTACAACTTTCAAAAGATTCAGTCTCAAAAAAGATGAATAGCTAAATACATAGATGATAGAAGTAAAGCAAACTAGCAAAACATTTACAATTAGTGACTCTGGGGAAAGATATATGGGTATTCTTTACACAGGTCTTCCAATTCATGTGGTCTGAAAATTTTGAAAGTTGGCTGGGTACGTTGTAATCCCAGGCACTCAGGAGGCTGAAGCAGAAGGATTGTGAGTTCAAAGTAGGCCTCAGCAACTCCCTGAGACCCTGTAGCAAAATAAAACATAAAAAGGGATAGGGATGTGGCTCATTGGTTAAGCACCCCTGGGTTCAACCTCTGGTACCAAAAAAATTTTTTTTAAGTTGGAGAAAAGGCATGTCCTGAGAGGGGCAGAATAAATCAGAAAAAGCAAGCAAGCCCTTGGAGGAAATTAGCACTAGTGAGACTGTACTAACTTTAAATTATCTTTTGTATAGAGGGGAGTGGGTGGAGAGGAGAAGCAGAGAAGAAAACCTGCCTGCTACTTGTCTCAGTACTCAGTGAGCTACGAGAAGCTCCACATGAGAAACCGCTCAATGGGAGCCTTCTTTGGAACCATGAGACTACGTTTCTCTTAACTCCTAATACACAAACCTTTTTATTTCGCCTTTCTCATATTTTTGAGATTTTAGTTTTCTTCCCTTGGGGATCCAATACTTGACATAAATCTTTGTATGACGTCACTTAATCCAAGCACTTCCTCTCCTGCTGAGATTTCTAAAACTGATACTTCTACAAGAAGGCTAGAGTCTGGTTCAACCAGGTGGTGGGCTTTCATAGCAACACAATGAATGTCCACAGATCTTGTAAGAGGGGAAATTCTCATCTGGCAGATATGCTTTTCATTTAAGTGAGTTTTGAAGCAATTATGTGGATAAAGTCAACTCATTCAATCTCTTCCTGGAACTAATGTGACAAGTTAAAAGTTTTAGTATCACTTTTAAACCAAGTAACAGAGGTGGCCTATCAATCAGACTAGATGGGAGTGATTCCCCGCTCTGTGAAAAAGTTGCAAGTCCTTCTATTTGTATACTGCCAAGTTAATTTTCCATTTAGGAGCTCCTTGAACCAAAGATAACCTCGGGAAATGAATCATCTCTTTTCTTGCAAGATTCCCAGAGGACTCTGATGACGTCATTAATGAGACTAGCCAGCAGGTGCATCGCCAGGCACAGCTTGGTATCTGAGAATAAACTGCTCATTTAGAAAATGGTACTTCTTCAGAATTTGGGAGAAAAGGACAATCACATGACCATATGTAGTGTTTAAGGGGACATCTATTTTGGACTGAATTCTGACCCCAAAGGAGAAATTGTGCTGGTGAAATGCCAGTAACAAGAACTTTGGGAGAAAACAAGGCAAGTCATCTTTGTGTTCTGAAGTCGTGAGAGAGAGGATGCAGAGCCCATGCCCTAGAAATAGAGAATTCCAAATGTTCAGATAAAAATTTAGATAATCCCAGGGCTGAAAACTCTCAGGAGGGTTGGAAAATCCATAATACACTACAATAATATAATAAAATGTAAGCATAGATACGTTACAAGGGGGAAGCAGTGGCAGACAGCCAACCTCAAGACACCATCGTGTAGCTGCACAGAAAGATCCATGATACCTCAAATGTTTTTAAACAATGTGTTCAAGATGGAAAGAGTCATATACCTAAGGGCAAAAAAGTTAAAGAGCCCAGTAGTCTGCCAGTTCTTTCCAGCTGTAATTCTAGTAGCTTGCTGGAATAGCAGCCAAGTAACTCGAGTTCAAATGAGTCAAGTATTATATTTCAAATTACCAAAATAACTGGTATATTCGTGAGTCAGTGGGATGGTGGGTTGGTTAACTACTAAGTTCTATCAAGGATTAGAAAGTAATAAGATCACTCTTCTATGGTATAAATAATAATGATAGAAAAGAAAAATTTCTATTCTTGTTGTTATCTTTATCAAGGAGAATGATCTTCAAATTAAACAAGGGGTGAAAAGTCAGGAAAGTTTAAGAAAATTGAATACAAGATAAATTCTAGGGAATGAAAAGATAGGATGATTAGAGAGTTTCAATCTCTAGATGAGTCACGGAGAACAAAGATCTCAAAGACTAGAGGAAGAAAAATGGTTTAATATACCTAAAGAAGAAATGGTAATCTTGAGAATGGCTTGTGCAGCAGTGATTTGAAAGCACTGAGGGAAAAAGAAAGTCAGGGCTGGGGACCATGTCACAACAAATTAATCCCTTTTCTTTTCCTGCTGGTAATTCTTAATTTGAAGAACAGGATAATGATAGCATTATTATTTTTTTAGGAAGATCTTTCTGGACCACACAGCTAGATAAAATACATTTGCTGCTGGGGAAACAAACAAATCCCAGAGGGTTGATATACTGATCTTAACTCAAAATAAGACTCTACTTCTCCCAGAGCTCAACACATCTGTCAATGATCTGGACACTAATCTTCAAGGTGAGTGTAGTGAACTGGCCAAGGGTATGAGGCTAACTGCACAGAAAATACAATAAATGCCAAAAATGAGACTCAAAATGCTTTCTTACATCAAAAGAACAAGCACAGATAAGAAGAAAAACAAAATGCCACACAGTTTTAAAATTTTACCTGATCAAATATAGGATTAGGAACACCTGACCTTTAATAAGATCCATTAAAAAAAGGAACCCTGAGTTTTTAAGTTCCACTGAACTCAGCCTAGTGACACAAATTTCAAGAAGGCTAAATCTCAAAAATAGTATGCTGAGCAAAAAAAGCCAAATATACAAAAAAAAAAAAAAAAAAGAAGAAGAAGAACATGAAAATCTGAAATGAGCAAAACTATCCTACAGGGATAATAAAATCACAGCAGCATTTACCTCTAATGGGTGGAAAAATGGGGGGTAGCCTTCCTGGGAAGATGCGTGAGGGTATTTGCTGGAGAGATGGAGAGCCTCTACATCTGGACATACATCTTTTGGAACTGATTAAACAGTGTAGTTAAGATCTGAGCATCTTGTTGTACATAAATGGTATCTCAAGTTAAAAAAAATTAATAGGAGTCACCAATTTGAGTGGCTGTCAAAAGTGAAAATTCAGTGTTGGGTTTTTACTAGCAGAAATAGTGTCCCAACCATACAGATATTAAGCCCAATGTTTTCCACTTGTTTCAGGCTATGGGGGTCAGACTACCCATATTTTAAGGCATTGACATTGTGAGACAGATCTATAGCAGAACCCAGAAGGTGGGACTCAGGAACCTGCGACATACAGGGAAAGGAACTGGGATGGTTTCCATAGAAGGCAGGTGCTTAGGAGGACATGCACAGGGTCCTCAAATGTCTGAAAGGCTTTTGGATGAGAGGAAATATCCGTTGTGTGTCTTGAGGGAGAACAATAAGCACAGTGGTTAAAAGCTGGAATGCAGAAAATTTGAGCTATTACCAGAGAACTTTCACTCATAAACGAATGAATGGAATAAATGGATGAATGAATAAATGAATGAACAAATGAATGAACAACAAAGTGTTACTAAGTGAAGTGGAAGCTTTTGATCTGGCAAATATCCCCATTGATAGGATTGTTCAAGCAAAGACTGGATGATCCTGTCATGGGTAGTGGAAGGTAGTGGAACCAGATGACATAATAGGTCCAGGTCCCTGGACCTGGTTAATCCAAAATATTATTAACTATCAATAATATCACCATGTTGACAGGCAAACTGCCAAGAAGAAGCAGATACGGATCTCCCCTGTGACCTGCTGCAGCCCATGAGATCCAACTTGTCTAAATCTGCCTTCTTTACGCACCCTGAAGCCCACTCCTTCACCTCTGCTTTATTTCAGTGGGAGCTCCCTAGACTGTCACCCCTGCTAGTCAGAAAGCCTATCCCGCAGACTTTATCCTCACACCTACCCCAGCATCAGCTCTCACCTCCCATCCGTGCTCCTTTTTGAGTTTATCCTCCTCATTCTGCCAGAGCCACATATCTACAATGTAGATCTAGCCATGTGTTTCCCTCAAAGGGGAAGCTCCATCTCTTCAGTAAGGCACAGGTAAGATCCCCAGGCCCTAGCCCCTACCTCAAGCCCTGTTCCTCACCCCTCGCCAGCTCCCAATCTGCACTCTTACCACAGGAGAGCTGCCATCTCACTCCGATTCAAGCTCAAGCTCTTTCTAACCCTGGATGGCAATCCGACCTTGCTTCTTATCCTCTAGCTTTAGCGCAATTTCCGTCTCTTCTGAGAAATACAGGATAAGGCCCTCATTGTGGCTCCCACTGCGCCCTGTGCTCACCTCCATCTCATAGCCTACTATATTAAATGACCTGGATCTGTGAGGGTTTTCTACTAGACTACGATTCATCAGGAATAAGACCTCTCCCTTCACTTTCCTATCCTGCACCTGGCACCTTTTCTATCAGATGGAAGAGGCAATAATTCAGGCTTGTTAAAGCAAATAAAATAAACTGCACTGAATCTTCATTTTTTTTTTAACCCCATCTCTTAGTTTCTTAACAGTTAAAAGGTGTTAAAGACACCTGCTCCTCTCCACCTCAAGGGGCAGAGGAAGCCACATGGGGATTGATTGGGAGGCTGGCTCTGCAACTGCCCCATAGTGTCACTTCTAGTGTTAGGGCTGAACCAAGATAAGAGGTAAACTGCTGCCTCCCACATCCTGTAGGGCTGTGTTCAGAACTCAGGTCCAGAAAAGACAGCTGCTCTGCTGTGTGTTCTCTTTGCAGGGGCTTTTCAGGATTCCCAGAGGGAAACCCTACGTTGGAAACCTCCTCAGATAAAAGATGCTTTGGGGTTAATCCAAAATATTATTAACTATCAATAATATCACCATGCTGACAGGCAAACTGCCAAGAAGCAGCGGAAACTGATCTCATCTTTCCTGATCAAGCCAACAAATGTGTTTGGATTTTTTTTTTTTTTTTTGGTCAAGATGCAAAAACACAACAGCCTGAAGAAAACTGATTATACACGAAACTGCTCCCATGCATCCCCCAAGCAGGTTCCTGCTATCAGCATGCTGAATGAATGCATAAGTGAATCCCCAGCACAGGCTCTCATTTGATCATTTCAGACATGTAGACACAACAACAAAACAAAGTGTTCCACTTCTTACTCTCAATTTTAATTAACAATAACAAAGGTAACAGTCTCAGCAGAGAATCAAAGCAGACGCTGAAACAAATAACAGTCAACTCTTAGTTATCTGTGCTAATCAGGGAGAGAAAGACATGAATAATTTAAATGAACAACCACCAAGGGGTGGGGGATCCAACTCTTAAGTACCATTCCTACCTGTCCCCACTACCTCTAATTAGAATGCCAGCTGCTACTCTGCTTGGCTTTCCTTCCTAAAAGGGTATCAGGTCAGAAAGCATCCCTTCAAAACAAGGTCTTCTTCCTGGCCCCTCTTTCTCATGGAACCCCACTGGGCTACCACCTTCACCCAAGCCATACCACACTCACCTCCGTGTCCTTAGTGTCTAGCACTACATCTGGATCATCATAGATCTTCCAAAATTATTTGTGTAACTGAACTAATTCCCCACAGAAATATGCTCATGCTCCAGTGTGGGTATTGACTCCTGGAAAATCACATTATTTCTTCATGTGGACACTGAGGAAGGTAGACTGGATCATCTCTAGTGTCTGTTGGGTACCACCGTATTGCTCACTTCTGAGGAGTCCCCATTGTGCTCAGAGGCTGACATTTACATAGAACACAACAGCAGTGGTCTCCCTTGGAGCTGTGCAAATGGCACCCTACCCGATTCCTTTCAGTGTCATAAATCAGCAAAACAAAAAATAACCGAGCTTGGAAAACAGAGTATGCTTGACCTACTTATTGATCAATCAAATATTTGCTAAGTGCCTTAGCAGGCACTTGTATAGAATAAAAATACTTGTCTATATAAAGGCCTTAGTAATGAGCTGAAGAATTCAGGCATTTAATGAAAAGGTAATTAAAAAAAGGAGCCAGAATGTGATCAATGCTAAATTAATGGGATGGCCAATAAAGGCTATGAGGTTCAAAGGACAGAGAGATCGCCATGGTGAGGAGAACGGACTTAGAGGGAGATGAAGCCCTAGACCAGCAACAGATATCCAGTTTTGTCAGAAATGGCCTCACTCATGCCTGGGTATTGCACTGAATCACCACTGCAGTTTAAGGACATGAACTAACTTCAATATTCATTCTCTCCAGAGCAGCAGGAGGACAGGCCAAACACCTCTGGAAGCAACACACTGAGTAAAGACCAGGTGGCTACAAAGATTTGGGCCAAGTTCAGGCTGATAGTTGGGACACATGTACCTGTCAAGAGGAGGCCTGTCCATTTTCTCCATATTTGCAAATGCCTTATTTGAACTATGCATTACAGACACCTCTAAATGACCTACAAATAGAGGAAGACTATTCTGTCCATAACCCCCAAAGTCTACAACCCTGAAGTCATTAAGAAATGCCTGGGGAGGGCGTTAGGATGTTCTGGCAGCAGGTTTGTTTTTCTGGTGTGTTTTGCTCCAGCTAGTGTGGAATGACGCTGTGATCCCGGAGCACATATGCGCCGACAGATGGTGTAAGAGGACTAGAATCACACTCGCTCCTTCAGAGGAGCCAGCTTGGAATGCAAATGTAATCTGTGGAGAAGTTCAACAAGGAAATCAAGAATGGACTCTAAAATCTGAAAGCCATACAAAGAATGAAATGTATTCCAAGGAAGCCATGCTCTGTCCCTGCGTGACATCCACACAATAGTGGTGTACTAAACACTATAATTGTTTTCTGAGTCTTTCTCACAGCTAGGGTGGAACGCGTAAAGGTGGGGGACAACATCCCTTTCCTCTTCAGATACACAGCACCTGGCACAAGAAGTGCTCGCTAAACGTGTGAGGTATGAATTAATAGATACACAAATGTCAGCGCAAACGTGGGAAGCACTGCGCTTTGTGACTGTCATCGTCTGAGCAAACACCAATCTGACCATGAATGCACTGTTGTGTGCAAACAGGGCCTCCTGTGACTCTTGGCTGCAAAGAGACAGCTGACCAGTGCCACACAGAACAAGGACAGCCAGGTGAAAAGCCAACACCAGCACTTTGCTTCTATCTGCTTCCTGGAGGCCAGGCTGCTCAGCACATGTCCAATTAACCACAGGCGAACAACCAGCTGCTAAGATCTCTCATTTCAAACCACCCACCTCTCTTTTGCTGCTGGCTCTGATTCTAAAAGGAGCTGAGGAAAAGAAAGCTTTCTTCCTTGTTCTAAACAAGATGATTACTGAAGCCTCTCCACTTCCCTTAGTAATTTAGCCAACAGCTTCAGCTCAAAAACAAGGAGAAGTGAAGGCCAGCCTGCCCTGACCAAACATTAATTGTTCAATAATTCCATGAAATTAATCAAAGAGCTGGTGCTCATAAAATCAGGGCTTAAGGGAACAGAAATTATAAACCCTTGACATCACTCTTTTCAGAACAATATATTACAGACAATACAGGACATAATCTGAAGACCTTAGTGTTTAACAAATGGGAAGACCTTGGGCAAGTGACTTCACCTTGATGAGCCTCCTTTTCCTCATCTGTAAATAAAGCAGTTAGGCTCTAACATCCCTTCAACTTCCATGTATGAAAATCCCCAAGACCAAATGTACCACCATCAAAGTTAACTGGCTACAATGGTGGATGCATTCTGCAGTTATTATTCATGTTACTATTTATTGTTATTATATATTATTAGTCATCATGAGCAAATCTTTGTGTGTCACACTTATGCAAAGAAAAGACAAGTTAAAGAGTCCCATTTTAGTCATTATACATTCTTTATATTTATGCAGTTATACTTTTTAAACCAATAAATTATTTCCCTTGTTTCTCACAACAATCCTATGAGAAAGAAAGAGTAGGTTACTATGCCAACTTTATAGATATGGAAAGTTTAATTTCCAGAGGCCTCAAACTGTGCTGCCAACAACCTAGTGCTATAGAGAAATAATCCACCTACGATTACAGATATGAATTTCTTGAACAATGTATTGCTACAAGAAAAGGCTTAGTCAGAGACACTTACTTCAGCTCATTGGTTTCCATGCCCTGGGCGATGGCCATGATGATGCCGCCATGATCTCCCCAGGTGTAGTAGTGAGGTCCAGAAAGCGCCTGGAGAAGAGAAACCAGGGGTGAGGCCACCTGTGTGCAGGTAACCATGCAGAGACCATGCACATGTGAGCCTGTACACACACAGCAATGTCAACCATCTAAATACAACTTTTCAGTTTAAAGAATACATCCACATCCATCATCTTATTTACTTCATTCAATCCTGATACAGGCAGAGCCATGTTCTCAGATTCCAACTTTTTCCCAAACAAAGAAACAAAGTTGACCACAAACAGCAGAGGTAAAACTCAAACCCAAATCTCTGACTCTCATCAATCAGTGATTAGAAATTAACCAGCTGGGGCTACAGGGCATAGCTCATTGATAGGATGCTTGCCTAGCACGCCTAAGGCCCTATGTTCCATTCCTAGCACTGAAAAAATAAAATCAACCAACTAGATTTCCAGTTCTACTATGATGGTGTATAGCTCATCCTTCCTAGCAATTACAACTAAAAACTCTGGGTTAAACTTGAAAAAACAAAAAACAGCCACCAGAGGATACTAAAAAGTCAACAAAAGCAGGCATCTTGTGAACAGATTTAAAACCTGGAGAAGCTACCCACACACTTAGGGGTATCCTGATACAGCTTTGACCCAAGGGAAAGCCCCAGTTGTGCAGCACCTCATTTCTAGTCAGAGCTCAAAAGCTGATAAGAAACTTTTTCTGTCAAAGGAACTAGGAAAAGAGCCCCTACAGTCTGGAGAGAGTGTGTATGGAATCCCAGAGGGCAGAGTGTCAAAAGAGTAAATCCCTTACTTCTGTGTATGAACTTACATAAGTCTCAGCCTAACCCCCAAACTACACATGCCTAAAACAGACCAAACCAGCACAGCAAAGGCTCAGAAGACTGAACTGACGTCAGAGCTACCACCTACAGAAAGAAGATAGAATCTAAACTGCCTGACTGTAGACTAAAACCAAAATACCAACATCCTCCAGAAAATTTAATTTCATGCATTTCATTTGCATGTCCAGAATACAAATCAAAATTACTCAACATACACTATTCAAACATAGCCATAAAAGGAGTCTAATTCTCAAGGGTAAAGATAATCAACAAGTGCAAACCCAAGATGATCCATATAGGGGTTTTAAAATAGCCTTTATAACCATGTTCCATAAGGCAAAGGAAAACACATGTGAAATAAATGAAAGATAAGGATTCTCCACATAGAAGTGGGAACTATTAAAAATAAAAGAACTATATAGAGATATATATTATAATAGAAAAACATAATATCTGAAATAAATTCACTGATAGTCTCAACATGAGAAGAGAAACAGAAGAATTAGTGAATCTGAAGACAAAACTGATCAGTAGAAATTATCCATTTGAAAGAAAACACAGGGGAAAAAAGAGAGCACCAAAGACCTATGAAACAATAACAAAAGGTTCAAGATACATATTTGGAGTTTCAGAATAAAAGGAGAAAAGTACAAGGCAGAAAAACTATTTGAAGAAATAATGGCTGAAATTTTCCCAAATTTGGTGAAAGATATAAATTTATAGATTCAAGATCGGTATCCCAAAACAGGATAATCTCAAAGAAAACCCCTCCTAAATATATCATCACAAAACTGCTGACAAAGAGGTGGGAAAAAAAAAAACTTGAAAGCATCTAGAGAAAAACTGCATACTATCTACATACATGAAAATACATGTATATATGAAAATGACATGGTATATGCATATATGAACACTAACATGATTCTGTGAAAATGACATTATATACATACTACATAGCTGAAATGACTGTAGGTGTCTCATCAGAACCCAGGGAAGCAAGAAGACAATGGGACTCACCTTTAAAGTACAGTCAACCGAGAATTCAACAATAAAGCAAACATGTCCTGTGACAATGAAGGTAAAGAGAGATTGCCATGAAGGAAAAGCAAGAGAACTCACAGCCAGTGGACCTGCTCTACAAGAAAAGTTAATGGAATTTCTTTAGGGCTGTAAGGAAATTTTCCAGAGGTAAAGATGGATCTTTAGGAATAAAGGAAGACAGAAATGGTAACAATTTGGGCAAAAACTCAAGATTGCTTCTTTGGCCCTTACGTTCTTTAAATTTCTTAAGATGATTTAAATCAAAACACTTTACCTTTGCAGTGTGAGCTGATGTGATACAAATGGCCACAACATAAAGATCCAGGAGGAAAAACAGACTGATATGGTTGCAAGGTTTCTAAATTTTATATTAAATGTAACATTAACTCAAAGAAAACTGGAAGATAAGTTATATATGCTTTAATCCTGAGAACAACCACTAAAACAAAAAAATTAAAAGACAATATCTAAATAAAAGTATATTACTATCTAAATAATAAAAAAGGATCCAGGAAATGAGGAGCAGAGAAATTAAAAACAAAAGCAATGAAAAGAAAATACACAATGAAATAATAGATTGAAATCCAACCACATCAATAACTATATTAAATGTTAAAGGTGGAAGTAATTCAGCTAAAAAGCAGAGCGTGGGCTGGGATGTAGCTCCATGGTAAAGCACTTGCCCAGGAGGCAGGAGGCCCTGGTCAGGGGTTGGGGGAAAGCACAGCAGAATGAATAAAAATGCAAGACCCTACAACACGTTGCCTACAGAAATCACCTTAAATCTAAAGACATGAATAGGTAGAAAGTGCACAAATAGACAGTAAAAGATGTACTATCCAAACACTAAGCATAAGTTTAGAGACACTATTTGAATATCAGGTAAAATACATTGCAAGACAGAGGGTATGACCACAGGTAAAGTGGGGGATTTCACAATGACAGAGGAGACAATTCATCAGAAAAGATAATAGTAAATGTGAATACACTTAGTAACAGAAGCTCAAGATACATGGAAAAATAAAACTGACAGAATTTAAGGAAAAGCAGACAATTCTGCAATCACAGTAAGAGATCCTCCCATATCTTTATCAACAATTTAAGTGCATCTCCCCGCCACCACCACCCAAATCAAAATGAACATAGGCCATCTGAACACTATCAACTGCTTTCATGTAAATTACAGCTACAGCCACGACTCGAACACCTACAGAGCACACATGCCTTTCCAGTGCTCGTGGAACGTTCACCACTGCAGACATGCTGGACCACAGGGCAGGTCCCACGGAAAGAAACTGAAACCTACATAGAGTACTCCCAGGCTACAGGAAACTATCTCGGAAATCAAAGACGTAAGTATGAAACTCCCAACACCTGGAAATTGAGTAACACTTTCCTAAATAACCTACCAGTCAAAGACAAAAATCAAGAGATGTAATGAATGCTGAAAACATTCTGGAATTAGACATGAATAACACTGTGACGCCACTAAAAACTCCTGAACTGAATATTTTTAAATGGTGATTTTTTGTGTATGTGAATTATATTTCAATTTTTTAAAAGGACGTTAAAAACCCTGACCTTAAAGATAATAAAAATGCTTCATACCTAAACAGGTGGCATTTAGCTAAAGGAGTATCTAGAGAAAAACTTGTAGCCTTAAATGTTTATACTAGAAAATATCTAAAAATCAATGACCTAAAGGTTTTATCTTAAGCTACAAAACAAGCAAATAAATAAAAAATAAAAATAAGAAATCAACAGAAAACAGATAAAATTAACAGAATTAAAAGTAGGTTATTTGATGAGATCAACAATGCTGATAACTTAGAACTAATCAAGAAAATACACAAAACACCAACATCAGGAATGAAATTACCACCAAAGATACTACAGACATTAAAAAGGTAATAAGGAAACACAACTAATGAGATTAGGCCAACAAATGCAACAACTTGGATGAAGAGACAGATTTCTTCAACTCTAAAACTGACCAAAAAAGAAAAGAAAAAGTCTGAATAGTCCTATCCTGCCTAGAAAATTTCCCTCTTTCTTTAAATTAGTAAAGAAAATATATCACCAATCTTCACACAAACTTTGTCAGAAAATAGAGGAAGAAGGATCACTAATCAGCTTGTTTCACGATAGCAAATAATAATATAAAAACTTGATAAAGATATTACCAAACAATTAAATTATACATTAATTATCTTACAAAAATATAAAAATTCAAGAATATAAAAATTCTTAAGAAATTTAGAAAATTAAACCTATCCATATATAAAAGTGAAAATGCATAATGATCATGTAAAGTTTATTCCAGCAAATAAAGGTTGCTTTAATATTCAAGGATCAATTAATGTAACATATCACATCAACAAAACAATAGAGAAAATTTATATTATTTTAATCGACATAAAAATAGCAATTAACAAAATTCAGTACCCAATCATGATTTTAAAATATTCAACAATCTAGGAATTATAGGGAATCCCCCACACCTTGATAGAGTATATGTATAAAAATCTATTGCCAACAACATATATAATGGTTTCCCCTTTACAAAAGCTGAATCGCTCCCCCTGAGACAGGGAACAAAGCAAGAATGCCATTTCACCACTTCTATTCAACAATGTATGGAGATACGTGTCATGGTAAAAGGAAAGAAAGGACAGAAGAGGGAAAATGAGGGTGGGGAAAAAAAGAGCAAAAAAAAGGTCAGAAAGGAAATGAAACTGCCCCTCTTTGCAGATGGTACGATTGCTTATAGATTGTCTTCAATGTAACTCTAATCATTATCCTAATGGGATTTTAGAAACTGACAAGCTGATTCTGAAATGTGAATGAAAATACAAAGGATCTTCATAGGAAAAGAGCAATTTTAAAAATAAACAGATGGAGGACTTAGCCCTCCTTGACTGAACACTTATTAATAAGACTTTGGTAATTAAGACAATTTGATACTGGTGAATAGACAGACAAATAGATCAATGCAACAACAAAAAGCCCTGAAACAGACCATGTTGCCAATTGATTTTCACATAAGTTCCAAAGCAATTCAACAGGAAAAAGTCTTTTCAATAAGCAGATAAAACTGATAAAAGAAGGCTTTCCAATAAATGGGTCAATTAGAAAAAAAATGGTTACTAACTCTTCCCTTATACCATATGTGAAAATTAACAAATGAATCATAAACCTAAACATAATGCCTAAGACAATTAAATACATAAAATAATACACAGGGCAGGGGCAGGAGGATGGGGAATAAACTGAAATTAAACAGAGTGATGATCTGAAGTATTAGCAAGCAAGTGGAACGGCAGAATTCTCACACAGTGCTGATGGAAAGGTAAAGTTGTCTTCACTCTGAAATACAATCTGACAGTCCCTTAGAAAGTTCAGCATGCACCTACCACACTGCCCCACCATTCCATTCCCTGGTATTTACTCAAGAGAAATGAAAAGGATCCACATAAAAAAGATGTACATGAACGTTCATTATAGCTACATTTGTAAGAAGTAAAAACTGGAAGTCCATCAACACTTGAATGGATAAACAAATTGTGATAAATCCCTACAGGGGGATGCAAATCAGCAATTAAAAAAAAAAGAAGGAATCATTGATACATGAAACAACATGGAAGGAATTAAAATCATCAGGATGAGTGGCAGGAGCCAGGCAAAAAGGAAAAATACGGTGTGTCAATTTATATAAAATTCTAGAAAATACCAACTGGAACAGGATGTATTGAAAAAAGGACACAAAGACACTTAGGCGAGAGAGTGACGGAAATGTCTGTGATCTAAACTGTGATGGTGGTGATCAATTCTTATGAAATTAAACTCTTTAAATATGAGCAGTTTACTGCACTTCTGTGTGCCTCAATAAAATCGCTAAAGAAGGAAGTTGAAGAATTCTGAGGATCAGAGAACTGCAAAATTCATTAGTAGGAAGAGGAGAACCAGAATTGTTGTCACCAGTGTCCCAGGCAGCACTCTGCCCCCTCCGTCCTACCTCCTCCTCCCTTGCCTCTGCCTGCCACACGCCCCAGACTGTGCCCCTGAAGCAAAGGCCATCCACAGAGGCATAGACGCTCCCTCAGGGACAAAATCTCAACATTTTCATCCCCTTGCTAGTTCTCTGCTAGTCCCCCAAAATAAGGTCCCCGTGTGCTGGCTGATGCAGGCATCAAGCACGCTGCAGGGAGGCCCTGACAGCCGTCCACAACAGCTAGACGACAGCAGTAGAGGAGGAACAAGATTCAGCTTTCTACCCAGGAGGAAATCACTTGCAGATGTTTAGACGCCCGCTTACACCAACAGCAGAAGGTACAAACAAATCACAGGCCTATTCACAGAGGAGAGGACACCCAATTCCAAAAGGAATGTCCAGCTCCAAGGAAGGAGAAAGCAACTGCTTAGTCTTTCCTGGGGATGCAGGAAAAGAATGACCAGAAAATTCCAAACCATTCACTTTTAACTACTCAGTTCTTATCAACCTCCCTCACTTCACCATGTGTACTATGTTCCCTACCATGCTGTGTACAGGCCTTAATATACGCATGTGCAAGCATGTGCAAGCATGTGCGTGCACACACACACACATGCACATACACACATACACACACGCATGCACATACACACATACACACACGCATGCACATACACACATACACACACACACACACACACACAGTGTCTGGGCCCTATATCTCTCATTTGGAAGGGTGGTAAGACTGGACACACATAAGATAAGGTATGTAACAGTCTCTATAAACTACAGAGCCAAAAAAATGTAGGGCATAATTATTGTTTAACACATTACAGATTTAAATATAAAAGTGTCCTGACATGGTGCTCAAGCAACTCCTGCCTACTGAGGGGCTGAGTTTTACCCTGATGGTTCCTGGCATCCTCAGGGTCACCATTGAAAGCAACCCCTTCAGAATAAGACCAGAAGCATTTCCTTTGGCCTTAAAGTCTCGGGAGGCAGATGAGAAATACTTTTTTCCAGGTTTGAGAATTCCCTAATACCCAAGGCTGAAGCTGAATTGGCTGGAGAACCAGCTGTACCTTCAAAGCTGGCAATAATAAGTGCTGAAGATATAAGTAAGTTATGGCACCTTAACACAGAAATGCTCTCCTTCCACAGCACAGAATGAGATGGAAATGCCCACAGGCAAGACTTCCGCTCCAATATTACACAGAAAAATACCACCATCACAGCTACACTGTCATTTGCTGATACCCTCGGCAAATATTGACTGAGCACTCACATATGCCAGGCGTGGTTACGGCCTGGTGGTAAAAAGTGAGCACAGCAGACACTGTCTTTGCCCTTATGGATTGTATAATCTTGGAAATTTTGGTCAAATTCACAGTTGTTTTTAACAAAAAGTGAAAGCTTCCTTATTCACTTAAAGTAACATCTGGGGAAATTGTGAGTCCACATAACAAAGGGTGAATAAAAATCAGGGCAGCCGGTTCTCATGTGTGGCTTTGGGTCCCTCTCTTTACTTTACAGTTGTATTGGACATCTCAGGTGACCACTGGGAACCATGCTTGTCCCTGAAACACCAAGGTGCAGTCCACATCCTCACACACACACCAACCAGGCAGGGTGGGCACTGACCTCTCGCCACCGGGCCCCGGCACTGCTAGAGATGTACACGTTGGTCTTGCTGGCCAAATTCTTTCCCACTGAGCCTAAAAAGTAAGAGGAAGAGTTATTTTTCATTTCAAGGATGTATCAGAGAATCACCTTGCCCAATGGGAATTTCAAAGAACTATCTAGCAACTAAGAATGTCTTAAAACTACCCAGAGTGGGCACTGCTGGAGATGTGGGTGACTACTCTACATGGGGCTGCATATAACCAGCAGAAAGAAGCCCCTGTGAGAACAGGCAAGACAGACAAAACATTACCCGTGGCAATGATGAGGCCAGGGGCTGATTCCTTGGACAAGATGGGCATTCTCCGGAGCTGGAGGCTGAGCAGCTGACTGAGGCGTTGGGCCAGGTGGAGGGAACAGCCCTGAGAAAGCTGCAAAATAAAGTTTCAGGTGGTGTCAGTGTGTAACATGTTGCCTAGATCTCCTGCAAACCCAGAGGCCTGGGTGGGGACCTCAGGGCTTGACACAGAACAAGGAGGCCTGGCCCTGAGGAAACCAAACTCACAGCCCAGCTATGTTCTCACACACACCGCCACCCAGACAGAGCGGGTCATCTGCATCCACATAAATGTTCCTGGTTGAAAAAAAATGATTTAAGAACTCCCTAAGACTCTCAGGGAATAACATTTATAAATCAACGTTAACTGAGGTCGACAGGAAAGACACCCATCTCCCTGTATCACCCAGAGATCCTCTCAAGTGACTCAGAGTTAAAGAGAAATGAAATGATGTTGTGGTATTTATTTTCTAAGTTAGGGGAGAGGAGTTTCAAATATGATTCCAGTAATTCTGTCAGAAGAAAAAACAAGAATCACAAGTCATCAAGTCCCACAGATAAGCTCCCAGAAGTACAAAATACGATATCTGAACGTCAAAGATCCACATTACATTGGTAAAGGGTGTTCTATATTTTACAAAGATGTGGCTGTACAGGGCAAGGCTTCAAGTGATTTAAACTGTCCTCCATCGCTTGTGCCCACATTTTCATAGTTCTTTTGTAAACCACCAGGATAAGGCTTCTGCTATATGGCCGTGCCTCATTCTCCTGGCCAGAAAGTGGATACTCAGGGTTACTGAGATGTGTCCAGTGTTCTGAACAGGAGAACTCTGCAGGTGTTTACGGCACAAATAATAAGTGTGGCAAGGTTTGCTGGATCCATTTACTTTTGTCACAAAAAGATAGAACAAATATCCATCTTACTAGCTTCCCAGTTTGGCCAATGGAAACTGGACCAAATTAGGTTGGGTCTCAAAGATATATTTACTCTCCCCACCTTTTTTGACTTACATCGTTTTGCCTACGATGAAGTCTACTCTTGAACGTGTTTCTGTATCTTTGGACAATCAGACTTTAACCATTCCTATATGTTCTTTTCACCACCTGTTATGCTTTGGATCTAAAATGTCCCCCAAAGGCCATGTGCTAGAAGCTTGGGCACCAGCCTGTGCTGCTACTAGAAGGGAGGTACAACCTTTGGGAGGTAGAACCTAGTGGAAGAAAGTTACACACTGGAGATGTGCCACTGAAAGGCATTTGGGGACTCTAGCCTCTTGCTCTGTCTCTCATTTTTGTTCCCTGTTTCCTGGTCCCCATAATATCAGCAGCTTATTCCACCACATGCTCCCACCATGATGTTCAGCCTCAGCACAAGGCAAAGAGTAGGTACCAAGTGATCATGAGTTGAAACCATGAGCCAAAATAAATCTTTCTGCTTTATACACTGATTTTCTCAGGCATTCTGTCACAGTGACAGAAATCTAATACCTCACTTAAACTCAGAAGTAGAAACTAAAAGATGATTAATTGTCCTATAGTTCATAAATTGATCAGTCAAGGAATTAAACAGATGAATTTTTAAAATACCAAGTTCTGACACCCTGGCATGCATGGCATGCTCAAAATTATCCCAGCCCCATCCACAACAGCATTGTGCCGAGCTATCGAGGTTGTAAGACACTACTGAGGTAGGTTCAGTTCCTAGTAATGTGTGTATATCCATTTATAGCTTGCCTCTTGCTAAAATTAGAAGAAAAATCAAGAAGTACATTCTAAGGCCAGAGTCTCCAAAAGAATTTTCCCAAGGGTCACAGACAGACTAGAGAAGACTCAACATAGTTCACCAAGGACTAACAAAATCAGAAAATCCAACTGAATTGAATTAAAATGTTATAGTTTCTCCAAAAATGAGCACTTTTATTTTTTCTGAGTTCTTTCTGCCCACACCCAAGATCCATTTCCATTTTCTAAAGGATCTAGGTGAAATGGGAACAGAGGTATTCGGGGGTCACTTAAAGCCAGGGGCACAGTCTACAGAATACTTAGACTTATGGAACACTTAATGGAACCAAATGATATATTTTGGCATTCTTAAGTTTTCAGACAGGCCTACAGGCAGGAAATACTGAATAATCTCTGAATTATACTCAGAGAGAAATTTTAAAACTCCTTTCATACAAATAATAACTTTACACAAGAGGTCCCCAAACAATCTTGAAGGACAACTGGTGTTTCAGGAATTTGGTGGGGGGAGGCAGGGCAGGGTATCAGGGATTGAACTCAGGGGCACTCGACCACTGAGCCACATCCCCAGCCCTATTTTGTATTTTACTTAGAGACAGGGTCTCACTGAGTTGCTTAGCACCTTGCTAAGTTGCTGAGGCTGGCTTTGACCTCATGATCTTCCTGCCTCAGCCTCCAGAGCAGCTGGGATTACAGGTGTGTGCCACCGCACCCGGATCAGGAATTCTTTAATAGCAAAAGAAATGCCAACTTGTTTTCTACATAGTTAAGTCCAAAAAACTTATTAAGTATACATGTCTTAATAACTAAACAGCAATTTGAAACAACAGCACATGTAAACTGGAAGAACACAGCATGTTTCTATTTCATTTTTAAATAACCACGATTACCTATTAACGGAATGAGTGTACCTATTGGACATGGCACAACTGCTCAAATGTTAGAATCATTTGGGGCATTAACTACCCTTGTGTCCTGTTCTACCCTGACTTTCTCACCTGATTTTTTTATTCCCAAAGATATGATGTCACCAAAAGAAATAAAACATAACCTAATGCTGAAACTGTGAACTAACTCAAGCTAGTTGCTCAAGTAATTCATATGTCTAACAGATGTTGAGAATCACAATGTTTTCCCTCAAAACTTTAAAATACTGGACTGGGAGTATAGTTTAGCAGGTGCAAGGCCCTGGGTTGAACCCTCAGCACCAAAAAAAAAAAAAAATTTATTATTATTATAAAATAAAAATCACTTATTTTTAAATATCCACCACCCCCTGCCTTGTGAGTTCACTATGGCATACAATATGGTGCAGAATCTGGGACCAGCAAAGATGGAAATACAGATAAAAGTTTGCTTCACATGGTATCAATGAAAGACTATGTGATCTTGCATGTTTCCAATAAATATTAGATGTAGGAAACAACTACAGATCAGAACTCTATCCTTGTATTAAAAAGTCAAACAAGATTAAAACATCTATACCTCACAATTGATTTTCTCTCCATATTCTGTGAAGGCTGGAGCCTGAAGAAATTCCCAGGTTCCTCCTTTGTCAAAGGTGATGACTGATCTCATGTTCTCCTCGTTCATAGAACCATTAATCAGAGTAGCAATGTACACTCCTTGTAACCCTTCCACGCGATGAAAGTCAGCAAATGGCTCATTTGCAAAATACCTGCAGTAAGAGAAAATAAACAATGGTGAACCTGAACAGATATTTGCTTGGTATTTTGTTTATTGTATACAACATACGATTTAACCAAACATTTCAATATATACAAATCAGTAGCATTAAATACCTTCGCCATGTTGTACACCCACCATCGCCACCTAATTCCAGGACATTTTCATTATTGGCAGCCACTGTCCATTTCCCCTTTCCTTCCGAGGACTTGGCAACCACTGATCTGCTTTCGGTCTCCACGGATTTGCCAAGTCTGGGTATTTCACATAAATGGAATTACGTTATATATGATACTTTATATCTGGTTACTTTCACCTAGCATAATGTTTCGAGGTTCACTCATGTAGTAACATGTACCATACTCTATTTTTTTTTTAATGGCTATACAGTCTACTCTTTTTTAAACAGTGATTTTTTTTTAACTTTAAGAGCCAAGATGCTTATCTGATCAACAATTCCTAACCAGGGCTTTACAATGAGGAAGATACCGTTAAAGTTGGTGTAAAAAGCACATCTATTTCTTCACTACTGAAACTGACCCAAATCCACCAGTGAGGTTTGACAAATAGGAAACATTAAGTCAGACTTGAAAAAGACACCGGTTACAATGCTCAGCTTACCATTTAACCCAATCTGTAGAAATACAGCTATGGGTTACATAGCCACTGTCCAGGTCCTTATTAGCGTGTTCAGTACCTTGATGATAGATGACCACAATGCTTTTCTGTCAGGAAGCCCAGCAGCATGTCAACTACTTCCCAAAACATCACAGCATATTAGCAAGGAAGGTTCTAGAAAGTCTGAGGTTGTACTGGTTAACAGGGAAGCATACAATAAGACCCTCAGGCCTTGAATTGCTCTGCTAGGACACTGTGATTTTACTAGAAAGGAGTTTTGCAATGGTACACACACCGCAAATATAAGAAGTCTCTGAGAAGTGGTAACCACGACTCACCACTGGCTTTTAAAATTGGAACCATGCACTTTATTTCAGGGGTCTTGAGCCACTGGGCAACACAATAACACAGAGAAGTATTTTCTCCCCATCATCTGCCATGCAAATCTCCTCAACTGGAAGACTGCTCTGCCACCTCAGACAGGGAGATGTACCCTCCAATCTCCGAGGTAGGAAACCAGAAATAAGCAGTGCAACAAAGTCACTTTGAAACAGCAGACGGAGCACAACCCTAAGTAAAATGCCAGAGTTGAGACCAAATTCCCTGACACAGGACTCCTTAAGCCCCTTCTGGCTACTTCCTTGGAAGTGGCTGAAGGCCTATGTCCCTCCTGCTCTCTATTTACCTCAGCTCTCCTGCTTCTGAGTCTATCATCATGGAACCCACCATTCTGAGGTTTACTGGCTTCATTCCCACATCTGGGAGGTCTGAGTTTTTTTCGTTAGATAAGCCTGCTTCTTCCCCCGGTCATAATCCTGGAGTCTTTTATTTTATTTCCAAGCAGAAGTCCTGAGCCTCACAACCTCTCTGTGTCAGTGCAGCCCATCCTGGCATTGGCCCCTTGACCTTCCCTGGCACAAGCTGCCTCACGCCCAGTACTCTCTCGGACAGTCCATTGCCTTCCATCTTATCCTCACTGTCCTCACCAGAGCACTTCTGTTCTTCTCTCCAGAGTGACCTGGGCCAAGACTTGTCAAGCAGCTCACCAGGTCCCCTTCCACCATGCTCAGGGCCAAATGCACACACTGGTAGCCATTCCCACCAGGAGAGCCAGTGCGCCTCCTTAAGGCGCCCCAACAGGCCTGACATGTGATCAGCACATAAGTTCCTCCAAAGAGTCCTATATCTAGCTGTAGCTTTCTACGAAATTCCTACACAGCACATCCTACAAATGCCAGGGTAATCCCCTATTAAGAGTTCTTTGCTTAGTTCTCTAAGGAAATTAGAACCAGTTCCTCTCATTCATTTTGAATACCACGGAAGTTTATTCTAAACCAGCCTGCCCATGCCATCTGCCAATTCATCCTTTCCATTTCATCTGGCAGAGACTGAGGTACAGCTGACAAAAAGTCATTCGACTAAGCAAATCTGAACCCCTGTGGCCCTGAGATGAAGTAAGAGAAGAGTAAGCAAGCAGAGCAAGATATTGGTCCATGACCCCTGACATGAATCTATCATGAATTTCTTAACTGCCGGCTCAGGCAGGGTAAGAAGAAACTTTGCCACAAGCAAAAGGCCATCTGTATGTGTAAAGAAGTCCTACGGCCACAGAAATAAGGTCACTGCTTCCCGGGGAGCCTATCTCTTCAGCTTCTGGCTTCAACTCTGCCCTACCATGAAATATCACCTGAATATCTGACCAATGAGGAGGATGAAGAAATCATTGGCAAGCTGTGATATACCTCACGCACAGTCTGAGGCTCCTGAAGGTAGGGAAGAAACTAAAGAGTCAGTAAAAAGCCCAAGGGATAGTGCTTCATGATTTTTAATTATACAAAAATGTAAAGAGAATATTAATCACCCATGAAAATGAACGAGGTACTAACATATGCTACATGTGAATGAACCTTGGAAACGTTATGCTAAGTGAAAGAAGCCAGCCACAGAGGGTCTCAGGTTGTTGTATGATTCCACTGTTATGAAATATTCAGAAAAGGTAAATCCACAGAGACAGAAATTTAAAAGATGGTTGCCAGGGGCTGGAAGAAGGGGACAAAGTACTTAATGAGGGTTTTCTTTTAAAGAAATGAAAAGGTTTTAGAATTAGAGAGGACAGTTGTACAACACTGTAAATGTACTAAATACCACTGAATTGTTCACACTTTAAAATGGTTTGGTTTATGTTACGTGAATTTCATTTTATTTTAAAAAATAAAAATACACAGAAGCCAGGCAGAAGAAACTGGAAACCACCACCAACCAAACCAGGACAATCTGAATGTCGGGATGATTCAGGGCAGGAATGGTTTATAACACATTAAATAACAAATAATAACCTAGGAGTCTATATTAGGGGAGAAATGGAGTGAATGAAAGATAACAGTAGCTCCAAAAGAAAAACAGGAGGTGGAAAAGCACTGCTGGAGACTGGGTAGAAAGACCAACGCTGGGTATCTAATAAGCACCTCCAACCAAGTTACAAAGCAGAACTCAGGACATCTCTTCCACAGCTGCTCCTCACCGGTCCCTCCCTGCCTCACCTTGTCATCACTGCCCTATCCCTGCTCAGGCCAAGCAGCAGAGGTCCCCTGGCTACTACTCCTTCTCCCAGACCTCTTCCAATCCATCAGCAGATCTGTGGGTCTATTTTCAAAATATATTTAGAATTGAACCATTTCTGTACTCTCCACTGAGACCGCCCTGGGACCAGCCAATATCAATCCCCATTGGCCTGAACTAGGACAACTTTTCACCATCAGTCTTCCTGTTCCTGCCCTAGTCCCCACAGTAGTCAAATTTCCACACAGCACTAAGCATAATTTCTGTAAAACAAAGCATGTGGGTATTTGCTCAAAATTATTTATAATGCATTCATTTGTCTTTTGCACTTTTCTTTATAGAACACAGTTCTCAAATATTTAAAATAGAAAAAAAAAATTAATAAGACAAATCTGATGCTATCCATCCCACCTATCAGAAAAATAGTAAGTATTTTCTATGCCCTTGAAGTATTTTCTATGCCCCATCTGAGCCCCTGCTCCCCGAATCTTGTGCCTTATTTCTCTGTCCCCTTCTTTAGCTCTTGGAAGCATCCTGACCTCCCCCCCTCTTAAGGTACAGCACTACAGCCTCACCTCTGGGTCATTGCACTTGTTGGCCCCTGCCTGTAGGACTCTTCCCCTCACCCCCACCCTCAGGGTCTACCTAGCTGACTTCCTCCCTCCATAACTCAGGCACCTGCTCAAATGGATCATCCTAGAGCAGGCTGTATAAAATAATGCCCTCCTCATTCCCTGCCCCTTATCTTGCTTTATTTTTCTTCCCAGCACATTACCAAGCAGATGACACATTTGTTCATACCCTGTGTCCCCTGCAAACAGAATATAAGCTCCGCGGAACAAGGACCTGGTTGATTTTTTTACTATCAAACACAAGACTTCACTACCATACCTAGAACACCATCTGGTACACAGCTGCAGTGTGGCATAACTGGCCAGCACAGGGAGAGGTAGCGGGCAGCACAGTCATGTCCTCCAGCCTGGTGGATATCACCCCAGACCAGTCAGTGAGCTTCATAGATGGCTTTTTCCAAGAACAGAGAACAAGCCTATCACAGCTATAAAGGTTTTCACATGATAAATGGATTTATGGCACAGAAAGGAACTTAACAATCTACTGAGGGTGGGGTATAATTCAGGGGTAGAGTATTTGCCTAGCAGAGCAAGCCCCGGGTTCCATCCCCAACATGGAAAAAAAAAGAAGAAGAAAAAAAAAAATCTATACATCCCTGCCAAATCTACTCCGTCCCCCAATCCCTTGGTGAGTGTAGTTGACAGAGAACACCCGGATGGGACTGCAAATCATTTCCACACATGTGATTTCTGGACAGAGGATCAATGACGTTGGTATCTTTCCTACAAAATACCACCTTTCAATTACCTTTAAGAAAGAGAGTAATGATGTCAATGAACTTGAGTCACCTAGAGGCAAGGCCACACAGCCACATATGCCAGCTCTCTCTGACTTGATGCTATTTTCTAAGTGCTCTTTCCCATTGGCTCAGAGACCACAAAACCAGATAACTGAATGAAGGGAGCCCAAGGGAATGGTTAATTAACAAAGTAGCTGTGCCCCTCAGAGTCACACAGAACAGCAACTTTCAGCCATGGCTGCACATAAGAATCACAGGGGGCGCTTTTTAAAATCTTTAAGCCAAACCACACCCAGACCCCATCAATGGTAATCTCTGAGCATGTGAGCCAGGCATGGGGTCTCTGGAAATGCCCCAGCTGAGTCTGTGCGAGCAGCTAACACTGAAAAGTACTCAACTAGAGAGAAGTTGGCAGCTGCACTTGTCTAAGAAGGCAGGGGAGCCGCTATGGTCTCCTTACCTCACCAAGGTGTCACTGCCGGCCCCTCCTGGGCTGTAATACAGCACATTCTCCAAGGACAGGGAGAATTTCAGCCCCTCTGCCTCCGAGATGTATAAATTAGTGCGGTTGTTACTGTGACTGACACACACGAACACCTGGTCCTCCGAGGCATCTGCGATGTAATATTCCTTAGGAATCAAAAGTCAAGAAATACACAAGTCAGAAAAATGATTACGCCCTGTGGGCTTTCTGTACACATGAAAGCAATGACTTCCAAAAGTCCCAGTGACTAATGTGGGCCTAGAGCCCAGAGAAAGCTCCCCAATCTTGGCAAACAAGCTCCGACAACTTTCCTCTGGAGAACCTGAGGCTGGTCTGCAGCTGGAGCAGACCCCTTGTTGGCAAATAAATGGAGCACAGAGAAAGAGCGGGCCTCTGAACTCCATAAGTGACCTAGAAACCTCTTTTCAGGTAATAAGGTCTCCTTCTTTATCCCAAGAGACCTTTCATCAGTATAAGGTACATTGTAGATTAATGTGCATTTCATTTCCTTTTATATTCCCTGAGGGGACAAAGGAAAGCAGAGCCCACAGAAACTAGCAAGGTGCTGATGAGACTGTTCTCCATTACGTAACCCCTGAACCACTAACCTTTCTCAAAATGAAATGTTAATGCCAAGGCCTCCCAATGTCACCACCTCCTCCCTGCAGTCACTAGCCCAACAGCCCCTGACACTCTGTGCTGGGCTTTCCTATCAATCCCTGTTATAATACTGCATGGTCGAGCACTACGACTATAATATATGGTTTCCTCATCTGCTCTATTCTTGGTCTCTCCAACCTCTACATTTCTACCAAATAGGACCCAAATCTATCCCCTTTGGGAATGGAGCCATCTGTAAGCAATACAGCAGGTACTTAATAAATAAAGGCTGTGCCCAAACTTCCCCCTGCTTCAGTACTAACACACAAGGCCATTGACTCTGACTCCAACCCCTCTGCCAATCCTACTCCACTTCAAGCAAATTAAGGCTCCTGTTCAGTTCCACTTCAAACAGTGAAGTGGGAAACAAGAGACCAATAAGCCCAAAGCACAGTGGCTCTCTCTAGAGACCACTCTGGAAAGTGACTTCAGGGAGCCTCCATAAAATACCCACCCAGCAGGACATCCACAGGACATCCTACCCAGGGTGTCTATAGGGAGGCAGTAAGCCTTCTTCCCACCCTCCAGCAGACCTCACTCACATTAATAGGGTGTCTTGTGACAAACTGAGCTGCTCGCATGGGCTTCCGGCCAAAGGAGACCCAGAGCTGGACAGAAGACTGCTGTTGACTGCCCAGGAGACGCTGCCAAGGAAGAGGAGGAAAAAGTTAATTGTGCCAGATGATAGCTGCTCAAAACAAGTGACAAGGGAAACATGTCAGACCCCTCCAATTCCACTGAAAACACAAAATACAGACTGTACCTGAAAATTCCTATTTTTGCAATGCATGCTCTCACTGGATAGGCTACTTTATCCTGCACACCTGGACTATAATAGCTACTAGAAATAAATATTCCACAGATATTAGATGGTGTGGGCTTAGGGTGGGCCATGGGGCTGTGACACTCAGGAGGAGCAAGTGAAAGAGATGGAGACTGTTGTAAAATAAGGCCACGGTGCCAGCAGCCTGCAGCCTCCAAACCAGCCCGGGTGAGATCCATCCCATCATGCACAGTTTCCGACTCATATTTTTGGCATACAAGGATGCTTGAGTCATAAGATTAATTTACACCAAGACTTGAGGGAATCTTCATTGACTCTATTTTCCAATCTCTCAATACTTCTCATTAGGTATGGCCTTTGGGGAGAATATACCCACCATATATTCTGTGGTAGAGGAGAATGATGAATCTCTGTGTTTCGGAGATTTCAACTCACTTCTAGAATCTTGGTAAATAAGCAATAGATTAAGAGGCTGCTCTACCACCTGAGGAAAACAGGAAATCTCTCCAGCCCTCTGTTTACCATCCATAAAATGAGTAGTTTACTTGGATCATAACTTCCCTGTGGATGGCTTTAAATGGTCCAGGAACCTCATAAATTATATATATTATACACACACACGTATATATATTACACACACACACACATATATACATATACACATATACATACACACATACATATATATACATACACACACACATATGTATGATTTTTTTGCATATACACTCCTTTATTTTGCTACTTTCATCAGATTCTCAAAAGGGCCTATGCCTCAAAAAAGGATAAGAGCAGCCATAAAAACCTCTATGTGTTTGTTTGTTTCCAGCTCAAAAAAGTGTATGATCAAAAATTAAAGAAAATGCTGTATATCTATCAGGAGAGACACATGGTGGCACACCCTTATGTGGACGTAATCACACAAAAATGACCATTAAACTTACTGGAATTTGGGTTCCCCAGGCAGAGAGGTGACTTTGGCTTTATTTATTCTAGACTAGTTTGCTGTTTACTAACAATTTTAAGTTCCTACAGAGTCGGGAACATACCATCTTATCTGTAATATAACAACTGAGTACCCTACATTAGTGTATGTCCCATAAACACTACATGAGGATCAAGCTGAAAAACACAGTTGTTTATAATTCACTGGGACAGTATAAATATTTCAAACAACCACTTGTTTGTTTTAAAGAAACCATGTAGAGAAGCATGAGACTGCATTTCAAAAACAGCACCCTGAAAAACATGTTCATAGCTCATATTGTGTATGAGGTGACATGAAATGATAAATCCATTAAATATATAAAAATAATAGCCAGTTGCGGTGGCACATGCCTGTAATCCTAGTGACTCCAGAGGCTGACGAAAGAGGATTTCAAGTTCAAGGCCAGTCTGGGCAACTTAGGAAGACCCTGCCTCAAAATTAAAAAATAAATGAAATGACTAGAGATGTAACTTAGTGGTAAAGTGCTCCTGGGTTTAAGGTCCATGGCCCCCGCCAGGGAAAAAAAATGTAAAAACATATTACCTGAGTGAGAAAACAATATTGTTATATATATTGTTATATATAAATTCTAAAAGCCCTCATTAAATTAATAAAATTTAGTCATATCAGATGATTATTGTACATCATCCTACACATATATAAATCCTTAAGAATATATGAATATGCAAATACTAATGAAATATACATATTATACTTAGTATTTATTTTCACTACTTCCAATTCTACTGCTTAAAAAATTTCTCAGTGACAATCAGGCTCAACATGAGTTAAAAGTTCTTAATAATGACTTCTAGGAAGTCTGAGAATTGAGAATGTATATCTCAAAGCCAGTTTTACTTCTTAAATGCAAAAATCACAAACATAATACAATCAACAAAAAAACCCCTCAAAATTCATCCATCCCCTTACCTTCTGGGAGAATTATTCCTAAACCAGGACGATTCAGACTCACTTCCGAAAGCATCCTTAAAAAGTTATTGTATTATTTCACAGTTACCAAGAAAAACATTAGCAACTACACTATGACAAACTACTGACTATAAGTTGTAAGCCTTGATGCTTTTCTTAATAAACATCATGGTTAGATGTTTATTCATGTTTCTTCAATGTTCCCCCAAATGCTCTTGTGTTGAAGGATTGGTCCCTAAAGCAGCCATGTTCAGAGGTAGACCTTTAGGGGAGTGAGTGGGCATGAGAGCTCTCACCTCACCAGTGGATTAATCTAGTGATGGACTCCTGGGAGGTGGTGGAAACTACAGGAAGTGGACCTAGCTGAAGGGAGACTATATCTTGCCTCCAGCCCCTCTCTCTCTATTTGCTTCCTGGCTGTCATGAAGTGAGCAGCTTTTCTCCTCCACTCCCTCCTGCCATGTTTCCGCCCTGCCACAGGCCTAAAAGCAATGGAGGCAGATGACCATGGTCTGAAAACTCTAAAACCATGAGCCAGAATACAAGGGGTCACCAGCCTACAGCTCTTAGGCATCCTTCCAGCCATCTGTGCCATCCCCCACAGGCATGGTTACATAGTGACTCTGCTGTGCTTACCCCCGACACCCAGTGTCCCTTTCCTCATGGACAAGAAGTTCCCCTGATTGCTACCCAGAATAAAATACCACAGTTCTCTACTTTGTGTGCAGCTGGGCATGGTCATATGACTAAGTACTGGTCACTAAGATGCAACTTGAAGGGCCATACTGCATCTCTAGGAAGGCTGTTGGAGAGGACTTATCATCTGGAAGAGGTACTACTTGGCCTTTTTATCCCTCCTTATTCTTCATAACTGATAAAAGCCCAGGGGATATCTTGAGGATGGAAATCATTACTCAGGATGGTGGAAAGGAAAGACAGAAGCCTGGGTTCCTGGGACACCAGCCCTAGCCTGCCTCCCCAAGCAGCACTAAAAACTGAATATAAGTTACTTTATTTCTAGTCTGTTGTCAGTCACCAAACACAATTCCAAAGTGATGCACGCAATCTAACTGTCACACACAAACTGGGTCTTGATATAAAAACCGTGGTAAAACTTTTCCCATGAATAGTGTACCTTACTGCTCCATGACCACACTTTTTTCATTAAGGTGTATATCTTAGACATTTAAGAGATACTCGGGGCATATTAGGTTATTTGCAGAAGTGCTCTTCAAAGAACAAACTCACATATTTTACCAGTTTTAGAACTGCACAATGCTATCTGCAGGATACATTCCTTGAAGAATACCTAGGTCAAAACTTTTTATTTTTCACAGATATCACAAAATGGCCCTACTAAAAGGTTGTGCTGGTTAATATATCCACCAGCACACACTTCCATAAACAACTAGGAATTATTTGAATGTGTTTATCTAAGTCAATCTTACAGGGTCTGAGAACTTATAAGACTTTTTAACTTAATTAATTTTAAAAATGTTTTAATTAATAAATTTTAGTTTAGGTTCTGATGATTAAAAATAAACTAATACAAGTATCTGATTAACCTAGATTTATATTTAAGATTATATCACTAGCAAAAAGAACTAAGGATCAAGAAGAAGGAAAGAGAATGTAAATAAATAACACATTCTTATCAATATGAAGGCCTAAGAATATTGCAGTGAGCTATTCAACCTAAAGAGTAAGCTGGGAAAACTGGTGAAAGAAATGAGGTGTCCCAAGGCATGTGGTGGCACAGGGACAACAGTTCCCAAGCACCTGAGCCCTGGCTTAACATTTAGTTCCACATTCTCCTTTAAAGTTTCAGTGAAACCTCATCATTCACAGGAATGTTGTTTACACTGAACATCATGAATAAAACATGGAAACCATGTTTTATTCATGGTGGTGGGACCTGTAGGTCTTCAGCTACAAGCTGACACAGGTAATCACTTGAGCCCAGGAGTTTAAGACCAGCCTGGGCAACATAGAGAGACTCCATCTCAAAACATAATAAAAATAATAAAAACATGGATAAAATATAACATTTGGGATTTTCTTTAAAATATCCTAAAGAAAACAGTAAGAAGCAAGTAGACAGCTAAAGAGATTGGCTAGTATAGGTCATATTGGAACTGGATAAGGGCCCATGGGTTGGTCATAATATTATTAACTGTTCTTTTGTCAGGCTTGGAAAGGGTCCATAATAAAGTTAGTTGGGCACAATGGCTCATACCTGTAATCCCAGCAACATAGGAGGCTGAGGCAGGTGGATCACAAGTTCAAGGCCAGCTTCAGCCATTTAGCATTTTTTTTAAAGTCTGGGAATATATATATTTTATATTTATTTATTTGTGTGTGTGTGTGTGTATATATATATATATATATATATATATATATATATATATATATATATATTTATATTTTTATATATATATATATTTTTTTTTTTTAAAGGTCTGGGAATATAGCTCAGTGGTACAGCACCCCAGGGGTTGATTCCCAGGTGATAAATGGAAGCATTTCTGAAATGGCAGACTAAAGAAACTAAAGAACTCTAAAATCAGCTCACCTGTAAATGCAAGAAAAACACTGCCAAAAATTCTCAGAATCAACTTTTTCAAGATTTCTGAAAATCAAATAAAGGTTTGCAAAAATCCAAGGAGCAGTTGTTCCACAATGCCAGAATCTTGGCAAGAATGGCCAACTTTGCCATGTTTTCACTTGCTCTGATCCCTTCCCCTCCTTCTAGCACCTAGGTTGCCTTGGAAACACACAGCCTCACAACCACAATGGCCGTGGAAACCAGCAGCCTCACTACTGGAGCGAACAGAACAGGTCTGCAGTTCCCCAAAACCCCACAGTTCCTAACTAAGCTGTCCCTACTGTGCCTGTCTGATGACTCACAGAAAAGCCACTTCTCAGGCCTCATCTTTAATAAC